CCAAGGTACAGCACCATGTGGACGAAGGGGATCTCGGTGTTCGCGAATCCAGGTACCACAATCATGGCCAGAGAGTGCTGTGCTGTCCCCCCCTTTGTGGGCGGTCTCGGAGCCTGTCGACTTTTTCCGAAGACGCCTTTACAGATATGCACGTCACCGGCCGGCGGTGTGTCAAAAAATACGTGGGTTCTTTGTGTGTTGTGTTTTTTTTTCCCGAGCTTGTCAGAAATCTGTCCCTTTTCGCCATCACGAAGGCAATACAAGAACGTCACTTTTTTCCCTCTGAAGACCATAATCGTGGAGAGGAACTCAAGCATTGCCTCTCGTTTCTGCAAAGAAGGACAGAAGAACCGAAAGTGCTTAATCAGTCGAAGCTATAAAACATTTTCTTCAGTCGATTGATTGACTTACGAATTTAAGCGAGTGGTGCATGCTCGTAGGGTGACAGCGCCTCGGCACCACAATAACGTTTCCTTAATCCACGATGTGACTTGTTCGCGGTGAGGAGGAGGCCGGGGAGCGCGCGTGGGCTCGAGTATCAAACGTGACGGTCCGATCGTTCCTGCAGAACGGGTGGGATAGGAGGGGAAGGGGCCACGCGACGGTGAAGGGCGGGCATGGAAAAGCTAGAGCAGGACTCTCGGCAGAGGACGTAAGGAGACCGATGAGCGGACCCGCATCGCATGCCATGCAGGTAATTTTCGACATTTGCAAAACTGTCAAACCCGTCGTGGGCGCTCAAGTGTGTTTCAGGAAGAAAGGTGGCTGATAGCGAGTAACCGCCACGCCACGGGACGGGTAAAGATTTTGTCGGAGCTTCAAGAGTGGGAGCTGCCGTGTTGCGATGGACCGGGAAAAAAAAATCGAGCAGTTCTTCCCATAGCTTGCCCGTGATGCGCGTGGATTGCGCAGACAAGTTGGAATGGCGCTCGGCGAGATAAGTCACCCGCCGGCTAGATTTGTGCACCTTTTCATCTAGGCAGGCATATGCTGAGCTGCAGGCAGATTGGTCCTGTTTGGAAGTCTTCTCTCTTCGTGAGCCGATGGACAGGCGAGGCGGTGACGCTCGTGCTCGTCTTCTTCTTCCCGATAGCGTGCCCGTTGCTGTTCCACCGGCATCACTGTCGATACAGCCTTCGAGCGACATGAGAGGATCCCAGTCCGATCATTGCCCTTTCAATCCTCCTGCTGAATGAACTGCTATGACTAAGCTTGCAGCAGGAATACGGGAAGCTATGCAGCGGAAATACAACTGCACGAGAAGGGACGCTGTTTGGTAAGAGATCAAGAGATACCACATGCCAGCAGCCCCTCTACACGTGTCCACGCTGAATGTTGGTTCCGCCTGCCACATGTATTTATCCGCTTCGAGCCGTGTGCATCGGGCTGCCCGATTCGATCTCACCACTGTGGGCATTGGCAGAACCTGATGCTTAGCCTTTTGCCGGAATCGCTTTGCTGACGTCTTGCAGAGTGCGTTCCTTGCGTTGGATTTGTATTCTCTCGATGTGTGAGCAACTTAGGAGCGTGTGTAGGTGCGGATCAGTGTCAGGGCAGCTCTCCCGTCCTTGAAGATGAATTCCACATTTCTCAAAAAAGATGGCGCAAAAAAGCGGTCCAAAATGATCACGCATATCGGGTCAAGACTCCCCACGATCACCCGATTCATACTCATCCCTCGAGCTCTTCCTGATCTGCCGCTTCCGCTCATGACCGATTCAGCACCCGACACGGACACGGAAGGACCCGCATCGCAATCCCCCCACAGACATCAACACTACGCCTGAAGACGATGCAGTACGCCAATCTCAATACACATCACTTCAGCCACAAAGCTTGCATAACGATAGAACCGAAAATGAATTTACAACAACTCTGATACACCAGCGAGAAAAGCAAGCGACGAAGCGAACAAGCTCGTCTCGAGGAAGATAGCATCCTTTTCTCTTGAGCTCGATCATCGAGATTCGCCTGGAACGAAACAGGCTCCACCTCTATCAGTTCGCAACCGCCGTTCCCGTCAGCACCCTGCTGCTTACTTGTACAGAGCACGCTTGGCAGCACGAACGACGATCGCCGTGTCCGGGAACGAGAGCTTCTCGAGGTTCTGAGCGTACGGCGTAGGCACAGCAGCACCCGTGACACGCTCGACGGGTGCATCCAGGTGGTCAAAGGCAAAGTCGTTGACGGTAGCTGCGATCTCGGCGCCTACCGAGAACTGAGGGAAGCCGCTCTCGACAGTGACGATGCGGTTGGTCTTCTTGACCGAGTCGATGATGGTGTCGACGTCCATGGGAGCGATGGTGCGCAGGTTGATCACCTCGGCCTCGACGCCCTCCTCCTTCTTGAGGATCTCGGCGGCCTCCATGGCGTAGTTCATACCGATCGAGTGCGATACGATGGTGATGTCCTTACCGGCACGTTCGATCTTGGCCTTGCCGATGGGGATGGTGAAGTCGTCCGAGAGCGCCTCCTGCGAGATGGGGAACGACTGACCGTAGAGGATCTCGTTTTCAAGGAACACGACGGCGTTAGGGTCGCGGATGGCCGATTTGAGCAGACCACGGCAGTCTTCGGCGGACCAGGGAGAGATGGTCTTGAGACCGGGGATCTGACCGTACCACGCGGCGTAGTCCTGCGAGTGCTGCGCGCCGACACCGGCAGCGGCACCGTTGGGACCACGGAAGACGACGGGACAGGGGACGTTACCGCCGGACATGTAGTAGGTCTTTGCACCGGAGTTGATGATCTGATCGATGGCCTGCATGGCAAAGTTGAACGTCATGAACTCGCAGATGGGACGCAGACCGGACAAGGCAGCACCAACGGCGAGACCGGCGAAACCGGACTCGGTGATGGGCGTGTCGATGACGCGCTTCTCGCCGAACTTGTCGAGCAAGCCACGTGTGATCTTGTAAGCACCATTGTAGCGAGCCACCTCCTCACCGAGGATGAAGACCTTGTCGTCGCGGAGCATCTCCTCCTCCATGGCCGAGTTCAACGCATCACGGACGGTGATTTCCTGGGGCTTTCCGTCGGTGGAGGCGTTGCGGGTGGAGGAAGGGATGAAGGCGGTGAGTGCGGCAGGGTTGGTGGTGAGGCGAGACGAGCTTGCGACGGGCGAGGAGGACGAGGAGGAGGAGGTGGCCTTTTCGAGCAATCGCGAGGGCTGCTTGGCCGCTGCGGTGGTGGAGACGGATCGGAGACCAGATCGGCTGGCGACCTGGACGCGGGCCAGAGAGGCGAAGGCGGAACGAGCAGCGACCATGATGATGACGTCGACTACGGTGGTGACGGTGACGACGACGACGATGTAGGTGTAGGAGAGGGTGTAGAGAGGACGAAGAAGACAAAGCTGGACGGAGGAAGAAGTTGGTGAGATTTCAGCGCAACGCTCGAGCAACAGCGACAACAGAGCCACACCGACACAGAGACAGTGCGCGCGCACACACTCTTGAATTCTGGATTTGGAGAGAGCCAGCCTCAAAGCGAAGAAATCCAAAAAATTGAACAGCAAGAAAAAGAAAAAGAAAAAAGGAAGCACGAGCCGTAGACTGAGCTGCAGGCGCGTCTTTGGCTCGTCCAGGGTCTGTTTCTGGCTGGAAATTCGCATCGATAGGATCATTTATGGTGGACGGACCTGCACGCCAGAAATTGGGATCAATCAATCCGCCGTCGGTCAAATTTCACCGAGGTTGCGTCGAATACAATCCAGTCGACCCAGCTTGCCAGAATCAGTATGCTCGGAGTTTGTTCGGCCACGACTGCTTGAATACAAATTCCCAACAAGTCGTCTCTCATTTCTTCTCGCCCACACGAAACTCTAACATCGCTTGTATGTTGTTGCTATGCACATTGCGAGCGAGCTTCTGTAGACATACCGTTTCTATCCGGTCGAGATGCTGAAGATCGTGGTGACCGCTTGCCCGATCAACCAGCGTCGTAGCTGCCTGTGTGCTGAGAGAATCTCGCAAGCTGTCGTCCAAAGCAGCTCGTGCAGTAAAGTAACACCAGAACTGGATTTTATCGATGCCGACACGTAAAGGCTATCCGAGAAAGGATTCAAAAAGAAGCGCATCCATCGAACAACAAAGCCTTTACTGTGTAGTACAGCTCGAAGGTACTTGTAGCGCTTCGGTCTCTGTGGTGCACCCTTGCATTAACGCTGAGAGCATGCTCGTCATCGCTATCAGAGAGCCACAGGAGGCAGGCGTGGCGATTGAGATCTGATTGAAATGGAAGCCGCCTCGTCTAAGGAAACTCGTTCGAAGCAGAGGACGAGCATGCATGGCAGATCATCTATCGCGTCTTCTCGCGTTTAGCGGAGACATCGGGTCACGACGCCCCCTGCGCTGTACACTGAGAAAAGGGATTAAACCGATACAGGGCTGCAGCGGGCCAAGGCAGTCTCGGATGGTTCCGTCTCGAAACAAGCAACGGCAGATCTGCGCAGTAGCAGTGTTTTCGTTGAGTGGGCTCACCGGCGAATTTGACGGTTCCTGGACACGATGCTGCGACAAGTCTCGAATCGAGATCCTGTTGATTGCCCCGATCGATCTCTTGTACAGCAGCTTCTGTGACCTTTTTCAGAAGCGCGTTGGTCTGATCACACACGAATCGGCAAGTCCGTCCATCGCAGTGTGCTGCTACCTTTTTTGGTTCTTCCTTTTCTCGCCTTTTCGGATTTTCGCAAGCGACAGCCAGCCGGACCCGGACAATGGTTCTGCTGTTCCAACGCTCTCAGCTCACTTCTCTCAGCTGCCGTTGACTTGAAGCTCGCCATTTGAATTTGCGGTACACTTTTGTCGCACAGAGCGGGGTTGTCTTCTCCGTATCTACCATCCCCTTTCCCCTCTCATCTCACTATTCGCATCGGTCCCATTAGCACGGCGTCATCCGAATCGCGTCACTCTTTCACTCCGTGCTCCGATACCGCATTTCTTCACGCCGAGGTGACTGGTTTTTGCACCGTCCAACAGAGACATTCAGGTCGGATCGCTTCCGAACTGGGCGTCCGCATCTCCTTGTATTTCCATCGAGCCCAGCCTCTGCGACTAGTCAGAGCATCGCGCACCAGCACAGCAATTCAGCCAGCCTCTGCCACGCTGCCACGCTGCCATACCTGCCTTGGGACTCTTGCATCGGCCGTCCCGCTTGTGCACTCAGATCGACGTCCAGCCGACTCAGCTCTGGCTTTAGCATTCAACAATCAGCATCGATACCCTTCCTTCAGGCTTCGCACCCTGCAGCATCACTAACATAGCCTCGCGTAACCACCTCCCAAGATGATGGACGACCTCACCGAAGCCAGCAGCGACTATGCTGCCAACTCGTGGGTCACCTGGTTCCTCTCCACCAAGGGCAACGAGTACTTTTGCGAAGTCGACGAAGACTACATCCTCGACCGCTTCAACCTCACCGGCCTCAACGCAGAAGTGCAGCACTATCCACAGGCGCTCGATCTCATCACCGACTCGTTGGAAGACGATCTCTCCGACTCGATCCGCGACTCGGTAGAAGCGCAAGCAAAATTGCTCTACGGTCTCGTACACGCACGCTACATCATCACCACACGCGGCTTGGCAAAGATGCTCGAAAAGTACAAGCGTGCCGATTTCGGAAGATGTCCCCGTGTCCTCTGCTACCAACAACCTCTGCTCCCCGTCGGTCTCAGCGACAATCCTTTCCAGAAAGCAGTCAAGCTGTTTTGTCCACGATGCGAAGATATTTACTCGCCCAAGAGCAGTCGACACGGTACCATCGACGGCGCATTTTTCGGAAGCACGTTCCCGCACATGTTGTTTATGGTCTATCCTAATGTGCTGCCGTCCAAGTCGCCAACCTCGCAATCGCCGTTCCTGCTCGGCTCGAGCTCGCAACACCGATCCGATGCGCGCTCGCATGCGGATCAGGCGGATGTCGACGACTCGATCATGTCTATCCCCGGCGGTGGTGGTGCGGCGGGCAACGGCTCTTTACCTGGAGCCGGTGGTTCGTCCTCGGCGGCAGCAGCTTCTGCGGCCGGTGGTGGTCCCGGGTCGAATTCCGCTCCAGCTAATTCGACGGCGGCTGCTGCGGCAAAGGTGGAGAGGTACCGACCGCGTATCTTCGGCTTCCCCGTGCACGAGACGAGCAAGTTGCAGAAGTGGCAGGATAAGGTGCGGGATCAGCAGATCGAGAGGTTGGAGAAGGTCGAGGCTGCAGGGGGGATTGCTACGCCGGGTGCGGCTGCGTTTTTCAGGAGGGTGGCGCCAGCTGCAGCGGCGCCAGCGCTGGCGGGTGCTTCAGCGGCGGGATCGGCAGAAAGAGCGGGGTCAGCGACTGCGGTTCCGTCAGCGACGGCGACAGCATCAGCACCTCAGCCAGCAGCATCAGCGACGACAGCGCCGGTGGGGTCAGCGGCAGCTCCGGCTACAACGACGACCAGCACACCGTTGCAGAGCGTACCCACGGGAGCGAGGTCTTGAAACAGGGCATCTCGGAGTTTGGGCGAAGAGTGGCTGTATACCAGATTCTGATGCAGAGTTTTCGTGCATGGGTTTGAAGCAAATCGTCACGTTCTTGTATAGCGTTGCTGTGTGGGGCGTAGTGGTTTGAGGTGTGAACAACGCACACTTGCACGCACGCTAGTCCGTCTCTCATGAGAACAAAAGCATTGGAAAATTGACCCACTGAATCGCATACTTTCTTCTTAACATCTATACATCTGTGGAACGGACGATTTCGGCAACCAATCTGCTCATATCCTCGGCTCTGGCTTTTCCTGCTTCGAGAACCTCTTCGTGATTTGCTGCACCTTGGGTGTCCTTTGCGATCAATTTTTGGATGGTTTCTTCGACTTTTTCGCCACCGTTTTGTTCTTGCTCGATGGCTTTTTGGAAGTCAAAGTAGTCGTGGAGGACGACGTTGTTGGTGATGAGGGAGATGGCGAGGACTTTGATGCCTGCGTGGGTGGCGGCGATGACTTCGGGGACGGTGGACATGCCGACTGCGTCGGCGCCGACGGAGCGGAGGAAGTTGGCGTCTGCGCGGGATTCGTACGATGGACCTAGAACATACGCGTACGTTCCGGAAGCTAGGGAGGGGAGGAGGTTGAGTTTCTGAGCTGCTCGGTAGAGCGCCAACCGGAGATCCAAAGAGTATGCGTTTGAGAGAGGTGGGAATCTAGGTCCGAATGCGTCCAAGTTCGCACCAATCAACGGGTTCATAGATGTAAGAGTCGGAAGGGAAAGATGATCGTGAATCGCCATGATCGTTCCAACAGAAAAGGAAGGGTTGAGACCGCCAGCAGCGTTGGTAACGATGAGAGCACGGATGCCGAGGAGCGCCAGAACGCGCGTGGGGAAGACGCAGGTGGAGGCGGAGTGACCTTCGTACGTGTGGAAACGACCGAGACACGCGACAACGGGGATCGACGAGAGGAAGCCGAAGGCGAGCGAAGAGGTGTGACCGGCGACGGTGGATTCCGCGAAACCCGGGATCGAGGTGTAGGGCACGTGCACTACGGAGGTCAGCGTCGAGGCTAGTCCGGACAACCCGGATCCGCTATCATAAAGCAAAAACAAGGAGAAAAAGGCAAGGTCAGCGATGAGAAACAAAAAAGGTGAGAGGGAGGTGTCCAAGGGGCCGACGTACCAGATGATACCCCACTTCGGGGAGGCCAGTTCGGCAGGTACGACGGCACGAATCGCTTCCACCGCCTGCTTGAACTGCGGAGGCAGCGCGTCTAGGTCTACTTTGCTCATCGTCGCTTGTTGTCCTGGATGTGATCGAGGAAGGGAGGGCTACTGATGTGGTTGAAAGGGAAAGGAAAGAAGCAAGGTGGAAGGAAGCGGTTGGTGTTGCTCTCTCCTTCACTACCTCAATTCAGGAAAAAAAAAGGGTGTTGGACGCCAAGCAACCACCATCGGGTATTCGGATTTCCCGGTTGAGCAATCCACACGGGCCCGACAAAACACAGCAAGATATGACCGCCACTCACTCACTCCCTCTCTTCCCACACCATCGTCGACGAGTCACTCACACGTTCGATACACAGTCCTAGCTGGAACGCACGAGCTGGGAACGAGAGACACTGGGAATTGATGCTCACCGGAACGTCAATTTTGCGTCCGCGACATCAGCGACAGGTTCGATAAGAACAGGGTCGAAAACGATAACCGTGCGGGGACGTGCGCTGGCTGTCTCGGCCATCTCCGACACCGCGATTTGCAGCCCCAAGTGCTTTGAGGAAGATCCGATGGCTTGTGTTGATTCATACGATCAGACTCTTCACTCACACTCGGTGGCAGGTGTCGCATCAGATATCATCAAGTGACTCGCTGATGGCCTGTCGGCGTCTATCTCTACATGTCGTTAGCAGTCGGGGCAATGGAGAGACGATCAAGATTCGTCCGAGCTTCCTTCGTCGTCCTCGTCGGCATCCAAAAGCAAGTCGACTGCCCGGAGAGCATCGTCTGTCGTTCTTGCGTTTCGGGAAGCCGCCGTGACCGACGCGGGTGTGATGCTGCCGGTCCTGCTCATGAGTGCGGATGTCGTAGCTGTCGGCACAGAGGTCGACACGCTCGAGGGATGGTCGGCTAGCTCGAACGATTCGACTATGTGGTCCAATGACCGGTGCTGCTCCTCATCCTCGAACCAATGCAGCCCACGCTGAGCTCGACCCATCATCCATGAGCTTACCTCGCACGGGTGCACCCTCCCTTTAGGCGAAACGGTGTCGTGCTCATCCGCCGTGTTGTACCGGCGAAGGGAGGTGACGAGTCGTAAGCGCGTCTCTGTAGCAATCTTTTCTGACCTTCGAGGTCGTCGTAGTCTGCGAAGCGAATATCGGTATCTTTCGATGTAGCCGACGTAATCTTTCTCAGCATGCCCGACAAGCAGCAGCAATTCGAGATTCGAGCATCGATCGATCAAAAGTTGAAGCGGGTTGACACTTCCCGACAAGTCGAGCTCTATCCCAGCACCTTCGCCATTTGCCTCGGACGATGAGAGGGTGGGTACGATGACCGGTACGACCAAGCCTAGTCTCTTGAGCTTCGGGAGGTGAGCAAGTGTCGCTGCCGTGTTGGTCGTGAATCGGAAGCGGGGTCCGTGTAGCTGCAAATCCTCCAACTCGTTCCATCTTTGCGCGAGCCAAAAGCCGCGGTCGAGATCTGCGCCATAATGTCCCATCAGACAGCTGTATCCTCCAAGCTTGGCCGAAGTCTGCGCAAAGCGGCTTTGCAGTCCGCGCGGCACACCTTCGAGGTGAAGCGTCTGCAGGCCATGGCAGTGCGACAGGATGATCCGGATGAAAGGGACCAAGTCCTTTTCGAAGTGCGTTTGAGCTTGAGAGGCGTCGAACAGCGCTGGACCGTAGCCGTGCTCCAGAGAGATGAGGCTTCGTGCACGTACGGTGAGATTACGTACACGGCTTCGGGCCAGAGCTCGGATACCTATGCGATCGTCGTCGAGCGAAAGGGCGAAGGAGCGAATCTGCTGCAAACCGTAAAGGTGCACGTCGGGAAGAAGGTGCATCGAGAAGATGGCACGGTGACAGGTTCTACTGACCCTCGCCAGCTCTAGCAGCTGCTGCGACCGTGTATCGCGACTGCTTGCGACATTATCTTGCGCGGCTACAAGCACGATATGGACTATGAGCTCCACAGGCAGGCGGGGATGTCCGCGCACAATATCTGAAGGATAGATTCTGTGGACATCTGTGCTACCACCGCCGATGGTCTCGATGTGCTGTTGCGTATAGACGGCGGTCCTTCTTCGTGGCTTCGGCGGTGGCGCAGCCGAAGTCCAAGGTTCGGACAGCCGAGCGAAGGACCAGAACGAGTCTGCAATCGTCATGTTGGAGGTCGTGCCATAGATGCTGAATTGACCGGAACGGCGGAAGCACGCTCCAGAGTGGTTTGCGTTCTGACAGAGCGGCAAGGGGTGCAAATGATTGCAGAAGATCCGATGTGACGATGATGACCAAGACGATGGTGGAGGAGAAGCAAGATGGAAAAAAAATCTCTTGCTCGTGATCACAGATCACTTCGGCTGAATGAGCGTCGAGGATTTTCCATCGGCTTCTCCCGAGCCTGTCACGACTGCATCATATCAGCATATTCAGACTCACTCATGGATCACATCACAGCACCAACTTCACAGCGAAAACGATTAAGAATGGCTAAGATTGCCGGATGCGAAAGACATGCAGAGCGTGACAGAATGAGATGATGCGCGACCATTGGGAAAAGAAGGAGAATGACAGTCTATGCGACTGGGATATAGGAAGCGTGCTTCGGCTTGCAGGGAAAAGCGCGACTTCTAGAAAAGAGGAGACTGTGGGATGCAGACCAGGGCGCGGAAGGCGTCCTTTAGGTGCCAATCTACATGGCAACACAGTTGCATCCTCCGCTGGCGGGTGCGTACGGGTCCTCGCCCTTGCTGACGGGGCCCCACACGGATGGTACGAGGTAGTCGCGCGTGCTCTTGCAGTAGTTGATGAGGCTATGTTAGCGAGACATCGGAACAAGAGAAGCACGAGGAGTCAGCAGAAGCTCCCTTTCGACCGATGAGAGGGCAATTGAATCGCACAGCTGTTCGCGATGTGAGAAACTGATCCTGCAAATGCACCTGACTGCGATGCAATGGCCCGTGCCTTTGGGATACTCACCTTTGACTGGCCTCGGATACACGGATGCGAGGTCGATCGAGGTCCTCTTTCAAGCGTTGGTTGTGCTCTGTGAGTCTGCGCAGCTTGAGCTCGGACATGGACTGTTTGTGCGGCTTGACGTTCATCTCGGCGGCGTGACACTTGAAGGTTGATCGTGCTACACGGATCGATGATGGCGACGAAAGCGAGAGGTGTCGGATGCGATGCCGAGGAGGTGGGAGACGAGATAGAGCAGACGAGTGACAGCACGAGAGTGAGTCTTGTTCAAGAGGGTCCAAGAGTGTAAGCGCCAAAGAGCCAGAGACGCAGACGCACACTTTCTCCGCACACAACGCCAAAATGGCGACTGTGCGCGTCACCGCCAACCCGCCTATGTGAATCACTCGGCCGCGTGAGAGCTTCTTAGCCGTTTATCCTGTGAATTTTAACGGCTTCGTTCTGTTAGTTTTGCCGCTCAAATGTCCGTTTCGCTGACCGAGAGATCAAATGCAGAATCAGAATTGAAAATCAGATCTTCCTGGCGTCCTGCAGGTGTGCAGCGATAAGAAGTTGATTTGCGCAAATCAGCACAGAGCAGCCAGCAAAAGGCAGCGTCGAGATTGCTTGTCGAGTCAATCAAAATCAGATTTGCTTCATGCACCAACGACAGGGCTCGACAAGCTTTGTTTGAGCTTCGCCGGTTGAGAAGAAAGCCAGGAAGTGAGAAATCTCCACATTTCACGTTCACGGCAATTGTTCGACATCATCGGTTGCCATCATCGTCGCCATCGTTAACGTTTATGTCCATCACCTCCATACCTTGACATCAACGTCTTTCTTTGCCCTGTTAACGTCCTCTAATCAGCGTTCACCGAGGGTTCCGAAACATACAGCACCTCAAGCAGCGACGATCAGCACCAACTTATCGTGTAGTTGACTTTGACTTTCCTCAACCGTACGTATCCGAATGCACAGCGACTTCAGCATGTCCGCCCGGCGCTCAGTCATCACCGCCTTCTGGTTGCGCCGTCGCGGCAATCAGAAGCATCGCAGCACGACTCCTGGCCACACTAATTGGGTCGATTGCGGGGACACTACGTCAATCTATAGGCAGGAGAAGCTGATGACATAGCTACATAGTCAAGTCGATGCGCTTGTCCAAGAACGCATACTGATCCACGTTCTTGTCTACCTCTTCTCCTTCACTAATTCTTACTTCTTTCGACACCAACACCACTCGTCTTCGTCCCACCTGCGGCCTCGACTCGTTATCGATTCATTTCGATTGACTGAAACAACAACCGCGCCTCTTGTTCGTCACCTGCAAACCCATAACGACGTCCCCAACTTCACTCCACTCAACACCCTGCCACCTCCTACAATACCATACGACACTGCTGCCTGACACGCTGCTAACTTCATCCGACGACGAACGATCCTCTTGGACTGATACTTGATGCGGCTTTGAGCACCTCATCGTCTCGATCTCGATTTCTTCTTGTCCGGACCTGGGTTTTTCGACCTAAAAAACTGGCATCCCGATCCGGTCTAACAACTTCGCCCACTTCGCCTCTTCTACCTCGCATTTGCTCTCTCGGCCCGCGGAACGCGTGCGGCTCTTGCCTTCTGCGTGGACGCCCGCCCACGTTTTTCGACGGCAATTTTCTTCTTGCTTTTGGGATACGCCCGCGACCTCCGTCCGCCATGCGCGCTGCTCGGCTGACCTGCTTTGCTCGTCGATCAAATCTGATTTGATTGATGGGTTGGATTGACCCTTCTTGGTTCGGCGGCTCTTTCCGCGTTGGCGCCCTAAACTATTTTCCCCTTCGCGAAAACCTCGACCGAAAAAAACCTCCATCCGCCCTCACCGTCTTGGCTGGTCGGTGACCTTGGTTGTTCTTCTTGCTCCTGGTCCTCTCCTCCGCTTGGTCCTGGCCGGACACACCAACCGGCCAATCCGCGTCGCCCTATTGACCCCCACATTCTCGCTTCGTTCTCTGCTTGATCCGATCTCGCCCCCTGCTGCCTGCCTCTCTGTCTTGCTCCATTCCATATTCCTCCGAACTGCCGCCCGCTCCATTCGCCGATTCCTTCCCCTTCCCCATCGCTGCTGTTTCGCTTTGCCCCTCGCCTTCATCATCGCCTCTTCTCCTCCTTTCCGTTCCGACACCATCCTCATTCTCTTTCTCGTATTGCCTTCATCGTCGTCGTCTCCCGCGAGTAGATGTCTACGGCTCGTCTCAGCGCCAACGCTTCCGCCCTAGCCTTTGCCTCCTCTGCCCGCTCCTACTCGTCCCTCTCGTCTCGAGTTGCTCGCAGCACCAACACCCGCACCGCCTTCCAGAACGCATCGCTTCTGGCCTCTGCACGCACCAGCACCAGCACCTCCAACAGCACCTCTCACTCGCTCTCCTTCGGCGTCAACACCCGCCTCTTTACTACCGCGATGACTGCTGCCGGTAAGTTTGCTTTCAGTTCGACTCTCCTCGACCGCTCCCGATCCGAAACGTCTCCTCATTCCCAGCCTCGCTGCTCAACGGAAGCGCAGTCAGGCCACACGAAAGGCATCGTTCCGCCATCGGCTAGTCGGCGTGATGGCTCGACCGCATTCCGTCTGATCCGTCAGCAGCCAACAGTCAGCCATTCAGCCAGCCAGCCTCACATGCGCTCGTCTGCAAGGCTGCTGCTGTGCATGCGCAAAGGCCCCCCAGCCGGCGAGGGTCTCACGGTGCAAGCACGACCTTCGTCTGTCCCCCGCGCCGAGCTCTATTTTTGTTGGCTCGCACAACACAGCATTTGGTGCCTCTTCCGCGCCTGCTGCCTGGCTCGAGCGGGAATTGCGAAGAAAAGGGACGAAAATAAATGCTTTGCCGTTCGTCCGCCTCTGTTCTGTTTTGATCCGGGCTTTGTCACCAAGTTCTCGTGATTTGGCCGGTTCCAATGGCAGAGACAGAGACGGTCGAGGGTGTAAATTCATCCAAATTTCCTAATCCGCGAATTTCTTCCGGCATCTTGTTCGCGCCGGAAGTGACGGCTCAGGTGCGCTCTTCTGTGCCATTTTGACCGGTCGCGCATCTCTGCTCGAACGAGTCGATATTGCCGTTCTTGTTCCTGATCCTTGCCCTTCCCCGCATTGCACCTCCTTCCTTATCCACACCTTACTGACCACTCCTTGACATCTCGATCTTCTCCTCCACCTCCTCCATATTGGCGCTGCACGTCTCTACGTCGCCATGTCGATCGTACGTCCGCGCGGTTCGGCGCCACCAGCCAAGATCAAGGTCGCCAACCCCGTCGTCGAGCTCGACGGTGACGAGATGACGCGTATCATCTGGCACAAGATCCGAGAGGACCTCATCCTGCCCTTCTTGGACATCGAGCTCAAGTACTACGATCTCGGCATGGAGCACCGAGATGCCACCGACGACAAGGTCACCGTCGAAGCCGCCGAGGCCATCAAGAAGTACAAGGTCGGTGTCAAGTGCGCCACCATCACTCCCGACGAGGCTCGTGTCAAGGAGTTCGGCCTCAAGAAGATGTGGCTCTCGCCCAACGGTACCATCCGAAACATCCTCGGCGGTACCGTGTTCCGTGCGCCCATCGTGCTCGACGACCTCCCCCGCCCGATTCCCGGTTGGACCAAGCCCATCGTCATCGGCCGTCACGCGTTCGGTGACCAGTACCGCTGCCAGAACTTTGCCGTCGACAAGGCGGGCAAGTTCACCATGCAGTTCACCCCCAACGACGGATCCGAGGGCCAGAAGTGGGAGGTGTTCAACTACCCCGACGGCGGTGGATCCGGTCTCGCCATGTACAACACCACCGAGTCCATCACCGGTTTCGCCCACTCGTCGTTCAAGATGGCGCTCGAGAAGAACATCCCGCTCTACATGTCGACCAAGAACACCATCCTCAAGGCGTACGACGGCCGATTCAAGGACATCTTCCAGAATCTCTACGAGACGGTCTACAAGAAGGACTTTGAGGCCAAGGGTCTCTGGTACGAGCACCGTCTTATCGACGACATGGTTGCCCAGATGATCAAGAGCGACGGCGGCTACCTCATGGCTCTCAAGAACTACGACGGCGACGTCATCTCGGACATCACCGCGCAAGGGTTCGGTTCGCTCGGCATGATGACCAGTGAGCTGATCACCCCGGACGGCGACATCATGGAGGCCGAGGCGGCGCACGGCACCGTCACGCGCCACTACCGTGAGCACCAGAAGGGCAACGAGACGTCGACCAACTCGGTGGCATCCATCTACGCCTGGACGCGCGGTCTCGCCTTCCGCGGCAAGCTCGACAAGAACGACGACCTGGTCTACTTTGCCACCTCGCTCGAGGAGGCGTGTCTCGACGCCATCAACGCCGGCAAGATGACCAAGGATCTGGCGCTCATCTACCACGGCAAGGGCATGAAGCGCGAGCACTACGTCACCACCATGGAGTACATTGACGAGGTCGCCAAGCTCCTCAAGCAGAAGCTGCAGGCACGAGGCATCGAGGCCGGCAAGCTTTGAACGAATTTTTTTCCAAGCATTTTATCTTCGCATACGTCTCGTTTCTCTCCCTAAGCAAAGCCATGTCGGCACTTGTCCAAAATATTCAACGTTGAAAGGAATACACATGAAAATCTGCGAATGTCTGGACTGTGCGCGAAAGAGGATTCAGAATTGTAGTCAGCAGCGCAAAGGTGGCCGTGGCGGATGGCTAATGTGACTGCTGCGGATGGGCCGACAGAGACGTGGCAAAGGACCCGAGGAACGACTCAGCTTTCCCTCGCTCTTTCTGCCACACGCATCGCGCCTGGAAGTCTGTCGTGCGTCTGTCGACCTTCTGGCTGAGTCGGCTTCTATCGCCGCACAGTCACACTGACGATTCGCTTTCCTCGCCTTGTAGCAGACCGCCGACGCCTCGCTCTGAAGCTCACCAATCTCGAAGAGTCAAGTAGCGGGGGAGCTCACGTTCGGTGGGGGACTTTCCTCCTCACCACCACGCTTTCCCTCGTTACTCTCGTTGACCCGCCCCTTTTCCATCAAAGGCCTTCTTTGCTTGATACTTCGACAAATCACACGGTTTTGAGTCGGCATCGCACCTCTCGCTCCTGTCAGTGATCCTGCACCCCCACCATCGCTACCTTTCTGGGGTCCATCACCAGGCGTCGTCTGTGTCGGCGCGACTCGGGCGGCCCCCTGACTGCGACCAAGAACAGATATCATCTGTGTCGCTTTCAATGTCGTCCATCGAAAGCAGCCATGTGAAGCACGACGCACGGGTCAAGGCCGAGCCTTGCATCGACAACAAAGAATCGATGCACGCTGCGCCGGTTGAGGCCGACCCACGCAACGAGTGCAGTGAGCAGAAGCACGATGCCCAAGTGAATGCTGTGCCACGCGATCCTCCCCAGGGCGCAGAGACTCATGCGCTGGCGCGAGATGCCACGGTCAAGAGCGAGGGAACTTCCGCGTCAACCAGTGATGGCCTCAAGCCCGAACAGCCGACCGCTCCCGAGACAGCAGAGCCAGAGCAAGAAGGCTCCGCGCCTGTGCCAGGCGAGTATTCGTACCTTCTTGCCTACCTCTCAAATCAACAGACTTTGCTGAGGCTGCTTCGAGGGCATGAATCACCGGTGATGCTGTCGTCCTGGGCTTGCGAATATCTTTCTTCGGTCCGCGGTCGCGCGGTGACGATCGACGAATGGTACGACCTCCTCGGCTCCGACCATGACTTTCCCGACGAGGCGTGGCTGTGGATCGCCCAAGTCCAGTACGAAGGCTATGCGGGAGATCGAGACAGCATCCGTGAAATCAAGGGGGACCTCAACGAGGCGATCGACTGGTATAATGATGAGCGACCCGATAAAGCGGTCCCGCAAACGATTCGGAAGCAGTGTATGAGCATCCTGGGTGGCAGACGCCGTTGGCTGTTGCGCGAACGGAGATTCGAGACTGGCCAGGAGCGTTCAGACAGAGTCGCCGTGCGTCGCGCTCGAGAAACGGCAAGGAAGGCCGCTCGAGACCGAGAACGACAGGAGCGATACGAAGCTAGTGAAGCGTCGAGCTCACGCAGCTGAGTGCCAGCTAGTGGATAACGCGGTCCATTGAAGACCACTGAAGACAAGAGTCTTGCTCTCGCGCCACGACTAGGTTGCATCATCGTCTCCATCTTCGATAGCATTTCTGTCAAGATGTACCCTGGGCCAACTTTCAAACTCGTCACTTTGGCGATCTTTCGCATCCGCTCTCATTCGTACCAACACTTGCTCAGCAAAGCTTGTCGTCCAAATCGATCGTTGAAGCTCGGGTCCCAACGTCTCGCCCGTCGTCTGCAACAGGGATTAGTCTCGTATCGTCCATCAGTGGCATCTCCAAGCTCAACTCGAATCTCATGGCTTTGAGCCGCGTACCAAGTCCTGTCAAGTATCATCAGCGGCAAGAACAACATCAGCAACGTGATCAACCTCAGCATCATCGGGCCTGTCCACTTCATCACCATGACTCTCAACATCGTCCTTTGGCCGTGTTCCGAACATAATCACCCCCTTTTGTCTTGTCTTTTTCCTTCCAGTTCATGTCAATGTCGTTCTTTCCGAATCCGCGTGTTCCGACTCAGCTTATGTGTGATATGCCTCGAAGTCACTCATGACATGATGTGTAGTGCATTTAGTTGAGCGCTTGCAGCCCGAAACGACGGTCACACGTTGTCGGTAAGTGGTCACAAGACATGGTTGCATTGGAAAAGTGAGTCAACAGTTTCGGCATTCCAGCTAACATAATTGAGCTTCCTTCGGACGACTCGCACGAGCCTGCGCAGCAGGGTGCTCGGACTCCGTGACAAGACTGCATCGACACTCTCAACATTCCGATATGAATGCTTTCGGAGAGATCAACCTGAATGGGGGTTTTTTTTTTTTGGCTTCTCGGGATCAAAGTCTTGATCGACATCCGAACGGGGGGAAATGTCAGCTGACAAACCCACCCTCTTTGATCCAGAATGCCGAAGAAGCGAGGGAATACCCTTGTTTTGATCGGCCGATTGACATTCCTCACTCGATACAGATTCGGTTCCAGAGGACATCCCCTTCTAGGCAACATCGAACTTCGGACATCTCGCCCGGCAATCTCGGAGAAGCAAAGAGCGATGCCGACGGAAGGAAAAGTCGCAGACCCTTTTCCCCCGACCCGTGTTTCCTGAAGCAAAGGATTCATGGGGAGCATGTGCAGGGTATGTGACCACCGTACGTTGTGTCTCGGTGATGTAATGAACGAGTGTGTACACCTTGTTATCTTTCGACTCGATATGTGGGTGGTTCGACGATGATGTATGACGAGCAAGACAGGCTGTGAGCAAGCGTGACAAACCCAAAGAACAACATCGTGATGCTGAGGATGACCGAGGACGGGAGACGCTTTTGGAAAGTGCGCTCTGCGTGGCGGTACCACAGTGGCTGCCTTGTTTCACCTTGCTTCCGATCCGTTCAACCCTTGGACCACCCCGGTCAAGACTAGTTTCCCTTTGTCTTACCGCTCCTTCCGGTCGAGTGGTCACCCCCGCGAGTGTCGTAGAAACCCAACCAATGAGTCGTATCCCCCTGGCATCCTTATCTCTCCGCACTACTCGCGATCTCGACGAAGCATCTCGTTAGCGCCCCACTAAAAGTGTGGAGATAAGCGTCCGCTAAACACCACCAGATCAGATCACAATTTGCAGAACTTGACAGGCTAAAGTTGGGACTAACTGACGCAAGATGACGATCGTCCAATTTCCGGCTTGTTCGACCGAAGAGGCCGGAAATCCTGCGGGTCGAGGGCTTTGGAGCACGGACAGATCGGGGCGATCCCTTCGGAATTGAACAGCGAAACGAAAAAAGCGAGAGAGAGAAGCGAGAGATACGCCGGAATTGTGTTGATCGCGCGCAGGCAAAGATGAACTATAATTTTACCCGATGCTCTGTGTGACGTGTGTGACATGCCTCGCTTATGCACGGCGGCATGATCGTCGTGATATCGGTGTTTTTCTGGCTCTTCATTGGCGGAGATAGCGGTGACGAGGAAGCGAGAATGAAGTGAGATCATCAAGATCAACGTCGGTTCTGATCGACAACGGAAGCAAACGAGCGCGCGCAAGAGTGATAGAGATAGAGGGAGAGAGCATGTAGTGGAAGCGTGCGGGATCGAAGAGATTGTGAGATGCATGAACCGCTGTGATTGACGTGACAAGATGCAGACCGTGCCGGCGACTGCCAAGACGTCTGCAGCCGCAGGCGCAGCCGCAACAAGCAGCATCAACACGCGGGAGAAACAGTGCATGGCATTTCTCGAAACTTCTCGGAAAGCAGGTGATCAGTCGCATCCCCCTAACCCTTCGATACGGACATATCATCTTGTGTGTGGAAGGTGGGTACACGCAGACCACACCATCCAGCCCGCCGCCCGCCGCCCTCCGCCCTACGCCCGAGTTTCTCCCTCCGAGAACTCGAATCTCCGCCGCGCACTGCATTCCTCGGACCGACATGTGAGGTTTCTTCTCCTCTGTCCTCGTGTTCTGTCTAATGCAACACATGCAGGGCGGATAGAGAGAGGCGCAGAACGAATACAGGTGGTTTCCATTCCTCGATGTGTTCTTCTGTTCTTTAGATTCTACGTCGAGCATTTTGCAGGAATCACGACCGTCTTCCTGCAAGAGAGCAAAAAAGGGAGGCAAGCCACTCACAACATGTGGGTGATGCAGAAGAAAAGCGCCACCAGCTGTGTTCCTCGCAGAGTTGCTTCTTTTGGAGGATTCCTGCATCAACGTCATTGAGGAGACTATGCATTAGTCTGTGTTTTGCTGCTGCGGGCGGCTACTTACCCGAACCGGAGAGAGAGAGAGGAAAGGCTTGGCAAAGCCCGTCAGTTAGGGTCCGCCCCCTCCTAGCGCCTATCTATGCTCGCTAGTGCATTTGCTTATCTTGGGCTTGTCTATGGCCAAACTTGTACACACACACTCGCATTTCGCTTGGGAGGAACGATCGTCATGGGATGGTGTGTACACAGCAAGCGTCATGCCTATCGGTGTATCAAATAGAGTTCAGCGAGAGGTTGATGAGGATGAGAAAGCAACGAGAATGCGTCAGAAGACTCTTGGCTCGCATGTCCGTCGGGGGGTTGCCTATCAGGGTGGGCCCCCCAGTCATCGACGAGGGAGCCCGTCCACAGAAATGATACGCTGGACGATGGAGAGTTCGGACACCGACGGGTGTCAGCTTGTTTTGAGAACCCAATGCATTCCTTATCTTCGCTTATTCCTTGAGTTGGATGCTACACCAGGACAACAACATCGTCGAGAGGGTAGCTATTGTCGCCGGGCGAAGGTTAGGGATCCTCGTCGTGTGATTGGATCGATGCTCGCCGTGGGGGCTGTCTCTGGCTGAAACATCCATCCGTTGCATGAAGCTGCTCTTCGAGGAAGGCGAGACACCACATAGATCACACCCTTCCTCTCGATACATCGACACAAAGTATAAAGACCAGATCGTTTCCCCCCGTTTCGGTCTGATTCGTCATCAGCAACTCAAATCACCCCTTCCACCCATACCATCCTTACCCTACACACACCACTTTTCATCGCACCTTTCTCTAACGCGCGCACACAATGAAGCTCTTCCAATCGCTCGCCGTTGTGGCCGCCGTTGTCGCTACCACCTCCACCACCTTTGCCGCTCCCACACCGAGCTCCTCCAAGCTCGTCGCTCGCTACGACGGCGACGTCATCGACGAGGTCAATGCCGCACTCAAGGACCTGCACCTGAAGAAACGCTTCGACGGCGATGTGATTGACGAGGTTGACGCTGCTCTTAAGGACCTCGGTCTCAAGAAGCGCTTTAAGGGTGATGTGATCGACGAGGTTGACGCGGCTCTCATGGATCTCGGATTGAAGAAGCGTTACACTGGCGACATCATCGACGAGCTTGACGCAGCCGAGAAGGACCTTGGCCTCAAGAAGCGATACGACGGCGACATCCTCGATGAGCTTAGCGCTGCCGAGAAGGACCTTGGCCTCAAGAAGCGATACGACGGCGACATCCTCGATGAAGTCAACGAATGCCTCAAGGACCTCGGTCTCCGCAAGCGCTACGAGGGTGATATCCTCGATGAGATCAACGGCTGCCTCAAGGCTCTCGGCCTCTAAACACTCCCCGAGACTTTCCTCCTTCAAGATTCCGCACAGTCTCGTGATGTTGTAGATCTCTTAGGAGCACTCTCAACCTGCTTTTAGCCTTCATACGCAAATGCTCCAGCTGCCTTCTTCTGCAATGCGCTGTTGTAGCCCACTCGACTCGTTGACGAGGAGCGTTCCATTCCAGAACTTTTCGTTCACGAGAAAACCTATATATCCCACTCGCACGCATGCATCTATTTGTACTCTGTTCGCGCGATCTTAGAACTATCATTCTCTTCCTATGTAGAACAGCGTGTGTCTCAAGTGCGAGGCAGCCTCCATCGATGGTGTTGCCATCAGGTCGCTTCATGAGGTCGAGACTCGTGACTTGGCATGGCGTAGCTGTTGTAGCGCCGTTGAAAGACCAAGGTCCATGAGAGCAAACATCGACTTCGTAGCGCTGTATAGTGCGATCTACTTGGCCGCACCAGCAGTTGAAGCCCGGACATCGTGTGTTCAACGTGTGTTCAACAGTGTTTAGAATGACAGCCTCGGCTTCATTCAGCAGATCCAGCACACAAGAGAGCCTTCAGTCGAAAATGACGATTGTCTGTCTCTGCAAAGCTAAAAATACATTGTTCGGATTGAGGACCTGCTCAGCATATCTCTGTTTGATCCTTTGGCGGGGTACAGGGTCTCGATTCGCCCCTTTCCATGGCATCCGCTTGATCGTCGGCCTCCTTCTTCTCCTGGTTCGCCGCATTCGCGCCCGTATGACTCTTACCCCACCTGAAATCGCCGAATCCCAACAACACATTCGCATACACCGTTGGAGTCAACACGATGCTGCACAACCGATTGCAAATCGCGCCATACAGCAGGTGATGCACCAACGGTCTGTACCTCTTGGTCGGCACAACCACGAACAGCATGAACCAGATCTGCGGCAGCAACGTGATCGCCAACAGTGGCGCAACCCCGAGCAAGGTGAACTTTGTCACGAGGTTGTAGACGAAGTGAGCAAAGTTGTACATCCTGAAGAAGACGAGCGTGGAGCGTGTGAGTTCGAGCGACATCCAGATTCGAGTGACGAGGTGTTGATTGGGACCGGTGAGGGTCACAAACGCGTTGAAGTAGGCGTTGGAGCCCCAGCGACGACGCTGTGAGAGGTAGTGGGAGAGGGACTGGGGTGGGATGGTGAAGCAGGCGGCGCGCGTTTCGAGCACGGTGCGGACGTTCTTGGAGCGAGAGATGATGGACCAGCAGAGTCGACGATCGGTGCCTTGATATTGGACCTGACGGTTGACGAGGTTTCCGTTGGGGACGTGTTTGCGGTATTCGGCAGAGGCTTGTCCGAGGATGGAACCGGTTCGAAGCATGGTGATGGCGCCGGGCATGCAGGTGACCCGACCCCAGGAGGACTCGGATCGTCGCCGGATCCACTGTCCGTAGGTGTACTGGAATCCTTGAAAGTGATCCCAGAAATACCACAACCCGCACGTTCGAAGGCTACGTCCCGGCTTCTCGAAATCCGCCTCGACAATCCCGCACGCTCCCACCGTCTGCTCCCCCTCATCCATCAATCGATCCGCCAAGACATTCACCGATCCCGCTAGAATCTTGGTATCCGCATCCGTGCAAAACACAAAGTCAAAGTACTCCAGATCCGGCTGATCGTACAACCTACGAATGTGATCCAACACCAACGCCCTCGCTTCCGTATTGCAGTGTCCCGTAGCCTCGTTATCGCTGTTGAACAGGTCAAAGGCGAAGATGAGCGAGTCTTTTTTGCCTGCGTTCTTGACTTTGCGAACGATCATGATGGGATGACCGGATCGGAAACCGAATTGAAGTCGAAAGGCGGATTGACGGATCTTCCACGAGAAGTATGGGTGGTCTTCGACTCGGCAGATGGTCGTTTGGATGATGACGTCGTCTTCTACATCAAACCCATCGGCCATGATGGCGATGATGTTGAAGTCCTGTGGTCGTACAGGATTGTCCGTGATGATCGAATCGACCGTGTCGAGAACGTCCTGGGTCGACTCTTTGTACACGGGGACAAGGCTGACGATCTTGCGAGGTGGATGAATCACCTTTTCCTTCTTCTTGCGGAACGGTCTGGCGATGGTTGCGAGGATGAAGAGTAAGCTCTGCCAGAGGACGGAAAGGATGTCTCGGGATTTGAGCGCAACCATGACCACCAAAGATGCACCTATTGGCGCGAGAAAGAGGAAGAGGATGACCATTCCGAAGTTGAGTGCCCCGATGGCCATCATGAGACCGATGCGGCCTGCGTCGACTCGTGATTGGACAAGTGGTGCGTAGTCGGGGAAGAGGGATTCGTCAAATGCTGTCTTGCTGTCGCTGGCGTGCATGGCCACCTTCTCGACATCGCGATCCTTGTCCGTTTCATTGACGGGTTGGACCTCGTCCATGGACAGGGATGGGGCTGAAGCTGCTTCTGATGCTGTTGAAGGGACCTCGTTGGAATCCGCGGAGGGATCCTGCTCAAAAACCTGGGCTGGATTTGATGCAGATTGGGGAGCGTCTAGCCGAGTGCGCTGCTGCTCTTGTTCCGTTTTTGGCTGCAGTTGAGCGAGGAGATCGGGCTGGGTCCCGGCCTGTATGGCATCCGTCTGAACGCTAGAGACATCGCAATCATCAAGCTCGTTTGATCGGCTCGACCCGCTGCTTTCGCTCGATGTCGCAAAGGACCCTTGACGTGGGTCCACGAGCTCTTCCATCCACTCTTGTTCAGACGTAGAAGCAGAGGCATCCTCTGGAATGGGACCGGAAGCCTCGAGATCTGCTTGAAGCTGTAGAATCCCGACGTGGCTCGACTGCTGCTCGCTCTGTTCTGCAATGTCCGGATGTACCATGACGGACGACTTTCGTCGGTCCACGAGCTTTGATGAGTTGGATCGATGAAATCCAGGAGTCATCGGGGTCATCGGGGTCATGGGCGTGCTAGGGGTCGGTGGCTGGCTTGGGAAACTCGAGAAGGTGTACGATGAAACACCTCGCGTGAAGCGAGACGTGTCGAAGCTTCCATCATCGAAGAGATCATCCTCTTCGACCGACGAAGCTACGGAAAAGGCTCGGGAAGTGCGTCTGCTCGAAATCGCCGAAGAGAGTTTTGATATCGGATCTCTTGTTGGAAATGGTGTGTAGGGATCCACGTTTGGAGGATTGAGGTACCGCCTGAAGCGTTCTGGTACGGGTGCGAATCGGAAAAGGTTGCTTGAGTGCGCTTGGGAAGTCGAGGTTTCCGCTTCTTGCTGCTCGTTTGCTAGAGCTGCGAGACTACTGCTGGCGATGGTACGGCGCTTGGAATCTGAGGGTACAGGGGACAGTTGGAACGGGAGCTTGGAAGTTGAAGCCTCCGAGGCTTGCTGAGCTGCATGCTGGCCTTGCGTATCGCGTAAACCAGCCATCTGGTCGAAGGTCCACGACGTGCCTTCTACGATGGTATCGAGGTAGGATGCTGCGCGCCTCGACGAACGTCCGGACCTATTAAGAGCGTGCAGTCTCCTGTTGTTGCTATGTGGCTGCGATGAAGGAAGCGCAGGAGACGAGTAGGATGGAGGTCCAAGTCGAGGTCTTATTGATGCCGATGCTGATGTACTCGACTGTGGGTCTGGCGAGGGTTGTGGTCGACATGAAGCAAGAGGCACCCGTTGAGAAGGACAGGAAGAGGGAGAAGGTCTCGACATCCTTGCCACAAGACCTGATGTCAAGGCATCAAAATGTTGGTCTCAGGGTCGCGGTTCCGGCTGACAAGCCAAAAGCAATGAGTCCCGAATTCTTTTCGTTGGAATCATCTCGAGAAGGTTCGACGCACGCAGACGACGGCGAATGCGAACATTGCTAGACGAGCGAAGAGAGAAAGGCTGGATGTGATTGGATGGAAGAGATGGGGATGGTGGAAGACGAGCAGGTTCGTTGTCCCACGCCAACGATGGAAGAATGCATGAGGCGAAAAGTGGATCATCGTGGCGTCGGCCACGAGAAGTTCGCCCCATTGCACGTTTGGCTTCCCTGTTAGACCGCAGGGTGTTGGGAGAGGGAGAGCGAAGCAGACGCGCTTCATGCTTGCGTAAAAGCGAGAGGATGGTGAGGAGGGAAAGGAAAGGGTGTTGGTGTGGCTGCATTGAGCTGTCGAACAAGGTTTGGCGAGGCGAACACAGAGTGAGCGGCATTTGGCGAACAGCCGAGATGAGCTCCAACGTTCGCTTAAGCACGCCGTCGATCTCCTTTTCCCCGGCTTCCTGCGTAAGCGCCAGAACGTCAGGTAACGCCGAGCATTTCGCCCCGTCTCTTTCTCGTTTCGGAGTTTGTTTCGAATTTCGAGGATCTCAATTTTGTCTTCTTAATTTCGCACCACGCTGCAGAGAACCAACGTCACGGCGACCGCTCAGCCCAGAATCCCGAATTTGTCTTGTCTTGTTTTGCTGCTGTGCCACATGTCCTGAACCAAGTCTCGATGCGAAAGACGGTCTCTCTGTCACGTTTTCGATCATCTCCATGTGCCGACGCGGGCTTGCTCAGATTGGTCGGGCTGAGCGCAGATCGCGAATTACAGACTTATGCAGACGTGTGCGGTGATCGCCTCACGAGCGCGCGTGGCGACGCCTCGTGCCGATTACTGTATCGTTTCGGTGAATCATTTCGACGGATGTCTACCTCAACATCGATTGATTTCCGTGAGTGTCGCTCAAGTGTTCGCCCGGAACACTTTGTCATGTAGTCGTGAGGTGGAATACCTGGCAATTCTCTTGAATGACACCTCGGCTCATGTTCTGCTTCCTTCGCTTACAGCATTGGTCTGTGCATGCGTCTCGTCGAAGCTGGCGACCTGATCCGATTCGACAATGCCAGAGTGAGCGATGAGGCTCCGATGATAGCGCCGTAGCTCAGCTTGCGTCGCTAGAGTGCCACGACTTGCGATGTCTCGCGGCTATTACCCGCCTCTCGACCGCCAACCGCCTTGACAAGGCGAAATCCGTACTCAGCAGACCTCCCTCCTTCGCACGCTTCGAGACTCGTCTTTCGGAGATTCTCTGGCCGAGACACACGAGCGCTGCCGCACGCGGACCGGAAGTGGAACCTCTTTCTCACGGTATCACATATGTTTCACCCACTCCGAGTATATCCTTGCGCCAATGAGGCGAACATGGCACAGTCAGCATCGCTGCATGTGGACGAACCCCCTCCTGATCTGTCAAGGTCCACTCCGGCGGTCCACATGGCGAGCAATGCGCCAGCGGGCTTTTGCCTTGGCCCAGTTCGACAGATCGCCTCGCGGCAGGCAAAGCCTGATTCCGCTGCACAGAAGTGTGGCTTGTCCCACAGAGTGTGGCTTCTCCTACATGATTACAGCGAAGCGGATAGGCATCCTCTTCTTCTATAAAGGTGGAGCAAGACTTCTCGTCAGCAACCCTTTCTTCCCCATCGTCAAACCATCTACTCTATATACTCCCATCCATACCTCTTCTCGCAATGTCCTTGTACACCCGACGCACCTCGTTGCCCGCTCTGGACGCTGGCAAGATTATCGTCCAAACACCCGTCAAGGAGAACGACCTCGAGATCGTCCGACTTGCGGCACCTGTGCTCAACACCGCATACTCCACTCCCTCTCAAACCACAAGCTCCGGATCCGCCGATGTCTCTGAAGATGAAGATGATCTGGACACCGAGCGCCTCGAGAACATGAACTTTGCCGCTATGCAGCGATGCCCCTCGCTCACTGCTTCGCAAGACAGTCTCTCGCCCTCTCCTACCCCCTCGCCAAGCTCCGACACATTTTTTGGAACAACTGACAAGACTGTCGAAGCACTCAAGACTCACAAACCCCGCACGTACGGTACCGTTCTCGTCGTGGGTGTCGGATTCGTTGGCGCCCATCTGATGGAGCGATTCTCCTCCGCTTACGAGGTCATCGCTTTCGACGTCTCTGAAAATCGCTGTCAATACCTCCGAAAGGCTCACTGCTCCAACCCCAACGTCACTTTTATCTCGGATCTCGACGCGGACGATCGAACAAAGTCGTTCGACCTGTGCCTCGTTTCGGTCCCTACTCTGCTCACACCGGATATGAGCCAGGTGGATCAGACGCACATCCGATCCGCTTTCAACATGGTCTCTCGCGTAGCTCGACCTGGTTCGACCGTCGTAGTCGAGTCGTCGGTTACGGTGGGCATGACTCGAGAGCTGTTTTCGCCTCTTCTCGCGCGTGGAGTTCACGTCGGTTTCAGCCCGGAACGCGTGGATCCTGGACGAACCTTCCCCGCTTTCGAGGACATCCCCAAGGTGGTTTCTGGTCTCAACGAGGCTTCGCTGGAACGAATCACAGAGCTCTACTCTAGGGTTTTCACCACGGTCGTTCCGGTGAGCAAGCCGGAGGTGGCAGAGTTCACAAAGCTGTACGAAAACTGTCAGAGGTTGATCAACATTGCGTACGTCAACGAGATCGCTGACGCATGCGCCAAGCACGGGGTGGACGTTCACGAGGTGGTCAAGGCTAGCGCTACAAAGCCATTCGGATTCATGCCCTACTCTCCATCGTTGGGTGCCGGAGGACACTGCATTCCAGTCAACCCCTTCTACCTGTTTGCGAACTGCGATCTTCCTCTGCTCAAGTCGGCTGCTATCGCAAATCAGCAACGACCCGTGGAGAAGGCAGTCCAGGTAGCGAGGATCGCAGCGGAGAGTCAAAAATCCACCGGTAGGGAGGGGCCAAAGCCAAAGGTGGCCATCGTAGGGATGGGTTTCAAGAGGGGCGAGGCGAGTCTGGCGTACGCCCCGACGGTGACGCTGGCAGACAAGCTGACCGAATTGGGAGTGGACGTCAGCTACGTCGATGACTTTGTCACTTCGGACAGGTGGAGAAAGGTTCCTTCAGAACTCTTCCAGGACGCCGAAAGGTTCAATGCTAGTTTCGATGCGGTCGTGGTAGCACAGAAGCCGATCGCAAGCGAATCGGCCGTGTTGGAACAGCTTGACCAGCTCAAAGTGATTTACTTCACAAAATGATCTTCTCTCTCATTACAGCACGGCTTTTCCTTGTAGATAGTTCCGTGTCACCTCTTCGCGCTTCTGTGTACATTACATCCTTCCAGGGACGAGATAGAAAGTTGTTATCGTTTTTTTGCTCTACCTCTGGCCTTCGGCACTGTCTGACGTCAGGGAACGATGAGATCTCTCCGCCTCGGATCGGAATTGTGGGGTGGAGATCGAATTCCAATTCCGCGGCGCACAACTGTATCTGAAAAGAGAGACAAGAAGGGAACCACTGCCTAGGCGCTTTGTTTCACATGCTGACTGAGCATGAGCATGAAAGGAGCGCTGAGGCCACGTACGGGCTTTGTGCCGCATCGAATTCGCCTCAGACGGGCATCTCGGTAGGGAAGGGAGTTTAACTCGATGCGGCCCGGTGTAAGATCAAGACTCCGAACGGCGAAGTCGGCCTAGCTGTCGCGTGGTGTGCTGTCGTGTGGCGCCCCGACGAATTCGCTCCAAGGGTACCAGCCCGCCGGTTTTGGATCGATGTTCCAGATCCCTGGTTGTTCGCTCGATTCAGCGGAGCTTCAATTCGAGGATTCCGTACAGCGAATGCATTACACTAGCCAAGACAGAACATATTTTGAATTTAGATAAATTACTGCTTTTTCAAGATAAGGAATACGAGGCCACGTGGGAAAAATCCGAAACGGTCGCCAAGCAGCTGGCTGGCTGTCTGACGTGGTCGGAGCGAATTCGTGCCTAGAGCAAGTGGACGCATGGAGTGAATCAGGAAAATTGCTTTCGATTCGAGAGCCTCGGTTGCTCCTCGGTGCGATGCCACGGAGTGAGAAAAGAGAGGCTGGAGCAGAGACCCTTCCAGCTCGTACGGTATCCAGCGAGTGACGCTGGAGTGAACGAGAGCCTGCGGTGGACAGGGTAAGCCGCTTCCGGCTGATCAGCTCGACGTAGGGAGCAAAACGCACCAGGAGATCTTACACTTGTCGATGATTCTCAGTTCCTTGAGGCTCTGCCAGGATCGTGGTCCGTCTCACATCCACAAACTCATTTCCTGAAGACGCCCACCAAAGCGCTTCTTCTCCTCCATCACACCCGCCATCGGCCAAAGAACAGCCATCATCGACGATATCAGCTTCAGTGGAAGAAAATCCCAAGATGGCAAGGCGGTCAAGAGCCAATCGTGTCTTGCTGGTAGCATTGATGTTGATGGCGATGGTTACGGCGGCACCGATCTCGACGGGGAGCTCGAACGCACTGTCGAGTAAGGTGACTTTGACAACTCGCTCGATCACTTCGAGCACACAAGCGGCGACTAGCGCTAGGATCGTTACGAGCTCTACATCTGCAAGACCTTCCAGAGCAGGGTCACGATCCAGCACAGCCGATCGATCTGCTTCTCAATCCACAACCCAGCCTAGTAGAGGTGCAAGCACAAGCATCGAGTCGAAACCATCAAGCCTGCGGTCGTCAACCATCATCGGTGGGGATGGCGTTACACCCTCTACCGCTCGTACAGCAATACCAGCAAAGCCCGCTGCAGCATCCTCGGTTCAGACAACCTCACCCTCACCGACCAACAAAGCAGCATCCCCACAAATCATCAAGACAGCTGCACGTTCGACTCACACCCGCGCTTCTTCCACTCGAACCCGATCCGCGAAATCTACCGTCACACGCGTACACTCCACGCGCACTCACACCCACACCCACACCTCGGTTTCACACGCTCTACACACCCCCAGCGGTGCCAAGATCATCGCTCACCCCATCCCCGGGTCAACCTGGGAACGTGTACGAAAGATCCTCCTGATCCCCTTGAGCATAATGACGGTCTTGACATTTTTAGTGGGAGTGGGGTTGTACATCGCTGCGACCTGGGGTAGTGGCGAAGGTTGGTTCGGAAAGGACTTGGACAGTGGCGAGAAGCTTGGTGCTGTTCCGGGTGATATCAAAGTGCTGGTTGAAGAGAAGAAGAAACAGATAGAGATGGATGAGGGCACTGAGGAGAAGAAGGAGGAAACGGGAAGGAGAAACAGCGACTGTAGCTTTCAGTTCAGAGTACCTTCGTTGGAAGGCGATCCCGCGAAGCAATCCTGATTGTGAATGTCAGCAATATGGACACGACGACTTTTGCAAACATTCACCGCTTGCCTTCATACACACGAAACGGCTCTGTGTATGTATGCGATGAGAAGAGAAGAGAAACACAACCTTCATTGACGACGAGGAAAAGGAAGTTAAAAAATGACGAAAAAGTAATGCTCCGTACTGGGCTCGAACCAGTGACCTTCCGTTGATAATAAGACTCAGGTTCAATCCTGAGGCACCGTGTATTAGACGGATGCGATAATCCAACTACGCTAACGAAGCACGATGGTCGAGGGGTCCAAATGTTGCAATTACAAAGTATCAGAAAACTGGATTGACCTTGCAATTCGTCGTCAAGGCGAGCCCCATTGAGGCAAAACGACTTTCATCTGTATCATAGCACGAGGTCGGTGGATCCGGCGGCCCAGCATCTTCGGACCATCGCGTTGGGTGGGAGAATCGACGGGGCGCAGAACGAATTTCATGTCGGTGTGAGGGAGAGAGAGGTGCAAACACGCTGTTTTTGCTTGCAAATGAAACGATGGATGTAGACACGCCACAACAACACGGCGTCTTGGAAACAGTACACGATCATCGAAAGTTGGTGGCGTTTGTACGCTTCGGGTCTCGAAAGAGCTGGTATCAAGGAACCAGGAAGACACCGGTGAGGGGCGCAAGGGGGTGTGCCACGCGGCCGGCCACCGGGTTGTTCTCGGAACGTCGGAACGGACACTTGCCGGCGATCTCTCTGCCTCGAATCTTTAGCGTATGAGGTCGGACGAGGGCGTTGGAGGTCACAGCGTCGCTCTTTTGGGATGAAATTCACAGCATGCGCGAAACAAAGCCGCGGAAAGGATGGGAACGTCTTTGTGCCATTGTCAGAAGCCTACATGTGTTTGTCCGAAGAAACAGCTTCCTCAGTTGCATGCCCTTAGCGGCATCACATCGGCGAGCATAAAAGGCTCTGCTCAGATCTCTCCCTGACTTTCACCCTTCATCCCTTAACAAGTCACTCACACACCGTGAGCTCGCAGGTCGGTGCTCTTCATTCTCAACTTTTCCCATTCCTTATAGCCACTCTCCACTCAGAACGCAATGCGTTCGACACCATCGCTGTGGACGCTGGTCGTCCTCTTCTGCATCCTGCTTTTCCAGACTCAAGCTTCACCTACACCCAATGCCATCGACGATGACACCTACGATTCACATCAAGCATCCCAGAGAACTCCTTCGAAGCGAATGGTGCCAGATTTGGGCGGTAACGGAGGATCATTGATGCCCACGATCCCTGGTATGGGCAGCGGAGGAGGAACACTCATGTCCATGATCCCTGGAATGGGCGACGGCGGAGGTGGAGTAGTAGGTGGTGGTGGACCTCTTAGCGAGATGATGTCTATGATCCCTGGTATGGGAGGAGGAGTTGGAGGCGGGCTGGGCAGTATGATCCCTGGTCTCGAAGGCATGATGGGTAGAGGTGGAGGAGACGCCAGTGGAGCTGGAATTGGAGGAGCAGGTGGTGGCGCTGCTGGAGGTGCATCCGAAGCTGGAGCTACCGGAGGTGCCAGTCCAGGCTCTGCTGGACAGTCGGGCGGCAGCGTCCTGAAACGAGACGGTTCTCGCTTTTCGAAGCTCACGAAGAAATCGTCAATGATAGCCGGCGGTAGCGCTGGTGGCAATGTAGGAGGAGCTTCTCCCATGGCTGGAGGTGGCAGCGGAGCTTCCAGTGCAGGCGCATCCTCTCCGATGGCCGGCGGTACCAACAAGGCTGTCCCTTCTCCCCCTTCGAGCGGTGTATCTAGCAGCGTTGTTGGCGGCGGCGAGGCAGCCGGCTCTCAAATCTCAAGCAGCGCCAGCACCGGCGATCAGACCGACGGCTTGATGAACGACATCAAGCAGAAGCACGACAGATTCATCCAAGTGATGCATGACCTTGCATGCAGTCATCAAAGGTTCGCCGACGTAATTCGAAAGCTAGGTGCTGGAGATATGGGTAAGATGTTCCCTGCACTCAAGCAGTTCAGCTGCGCTCAAGGCGGCCAAGCTGGCAGTGCTGCCGCTGGCGGTGCTGCTGCTGGAGAATCGGTGACGGGAGAAGGTGCGGGTGTCAGCGCATCTACTGGAGCCACCGGCGGAGAGGGAGCTGGAGAAAACTTCGGTGATGCTGCTGGCGGAACAGAAGGTGGAGGTATGGCTGGTGGTGCAACCGGAGGAGCGAATGCTGGAGGAATGCCTGTAGGAATGACTGGCGGTGCAGCTGAAGCAGCGGGAGCGGGGGGTATGTCTGGCGGTGCAACCGGAGGAGCGAGTGCTGCAGGAATGCCTGGAGGTGCAGCTGGAGGAGCAGAAACAGCCGGTCTCGGTGGCGCTGGAATTTCTGGTACCAGTGCTGGTGCTGCCGGAGCAGGAGGAGCCTACCAACCTGCAGCTGGTGGAGCAGAAACTGGGGCAACGTTCGGCGGTGCAGCTGGCGCAGATCCTCCTGCTCCAGCTCGTCGAGGCATGGTCAAACGATCCGCTCAGCCCATCAATTCCGGCGACACTACTGGCAGTAGCGACGATGGAAAGGTAGCCGGTCTACCTTCCGTCAGTCACGAACAGATGAAAGCGCTTCTCGAGGCACTCGACATGCGCAAAGACGGTCAAAATGCCCGCAGCAACGGTGACGGAACGGGTGAGTAGGTTTCGTCCTGCAACGACTCGACGAGGAAAGCCCGAGACTGACTAACAGATCTCTAGCTTTTCGCTCCCGAACGCTGATCGCCAGAGAAGAAGGAGCAGCCTCTGCAGGATTTCCGTCGAATGCCACGTCAGGTCGGCGACATAAGCGATCGCCGTCGCCATTAATGGGCGGCATGGGCAGCATGCTCGGTGGCGGCGGCGATGGAGGTGGTGATGCTACTGCTGCTGCTGGCGGTTGTCCTCCGCTGCAGCTGATCTTTGCTCGTGGCACAACAGAAATTCAAGGCACCCTCGGCATCGTCGGCAGACCCCTCTGCACCGGTCTCCAACAACAAGTCCCCGGCACACAGTGTTACGACGTAGTCTACTCGAGCGACACGGACTACTTCGTGGCGCCATCACAAGGAGCAGCCGCGGCGACGAGCGAGATGAACAGCATCTCTTCGCGCTGCCCCTCGACCAAGTTCGTACTGGGTGGATATTCAAAGGGTGCCATGGTGGTGCATCTGATCAAACAGGCGAACAACGTGGTGGGCGCAGTGACGTTTGGCGATCCGTACAAGATGATGCCGGTACCGACGACGCCCAACTGGAAGCTGTTCTGCCACATGGGCGATCCAGTGTGCGAGAACGGCATGAATGTGATGGCACACCTGACGTACAGTATGGAGGACATCAATGCGGCAGTGTCGTTCTTGGTGCAGGCGTACAGGTCATCGGGCGGAGGTGCTGGTGGCGGCGCAGCTGGTGCTGCTAGCGGTGTCGCGGGAGGTGCAGATGGTGCGGGCACAGGTGCCGGAGGCGCCGCTAGTCCTGCAGGCGGAGCAGCGGCAGGTGGTCTCGGTGCGCTGGGTGGTCTCGGTGGGCTGAGTTCTGGCGGGCTGAGTGGTCTACTCGGCTCGCTTGGCTCTGGTGGTGGTGGTGGCGGTGGACTTGGAGGCTTGGGTCTAAAGAAGCGCTCGTCGGCAGCCAAGTGGTCGTCGAATCGGGTCCACGGCAATCACCGACGCATGGTGCATCCTCATCACTAAACCTGGCGACTCCGTTGCTGTCGTCCTCGATCGCATTTCAACACTTGATACTATTTCTCCCCCTGATCCCATTGGTTGTTATGTCAATCTGGACGATGTGCGCTGGTGCATACATGCAACCGTCGTGTTTCCAAACATTGTCGTTACTGAGCAAGTGTTTGCATTGCAAGATGAGAAGGCGTAACAAAAAGGAGGCTGAAAGGCCGGAAAACTGTACAGATGTGAGAAGAAAAGATAGTCCGTGGTCGAATCGCGTGCGTCAGATGCGACAAGCTTCGCATCGGGATTCGAAAAAGTGTACGCGCCGAGTGCAAGATACGGCAGGTGCGCATGCGGCGTGACAGAGCGTCGTCAGTGACGAAGGCTACGAAGCCATAAGCAGCGCGACCGGGTATGCGATTGGATGCTTGAGTGCGGTGACCTCCAGATGCGTCGACGAGGTAATGTCGCAATCGAAACAGCATCTGGCCGATCTTGGCTGTAAATCGGCAATCAGAGAAGCACAGCAGCGGCAGCTACGGCAGCGACGCACATGAAAGTGGCAGAAGCAGCTGCGCCAGAGACAAAGTGCGTCGAGGAGAGCAAGGAGAGGGCACCGCTCGAAGATCCGCCCGAGTTGAGCGCGTTGGCGTTAGAATTGGAGCTGTTGCCGTAACCTGGGATGGTGGTCAAGATGGTGCCTCGCGAGACCGAAGGAGCAGGGAGGACTTGAGAGGCGGGTGGGTTGTAGCCAGAGATGATCTGTACGCCTGTGTATGTGGTCAACACGCCGGCACCACCACCAGCGGCGGCCTGACGTTTTTCGAGTGGTGCAGGAGAAGGTGCAGCTGGAGCGAGCTGATTCGCCGAGGCTACTGCGACCAAGGAGAGGATGAGCGCCACGAGCGCAAGTACGTATGATGTTGATCGCATCGTGCTGAAGATTTACGCGGCGAAAGTAGCAGAGGACGCTGGTGCTGGAGGGAAGAGATGATGGTGGTGGAAGGATTAGAGAGGTGTTGATGATGTGACGCGAGACTTGCACCAGCCCCTGTGTGACTGCTGTGCTGCCTGCTGAGCGATTCATCGGCCAGCGAGCGCAACAGCGCAACAGCGAACGGCCACACTGCGACTTTTGAACTTGAAATCCAAAATGTGAAATGGGTGAATTTCAAGCTTGGGTGTGTGTGTGTGTTTTGTGCCGATGCACCGCCGATGCGCCGAGCCGAGGCCAAGCAAAAGATTCAAATTCGAAATGCATTTCCACCCAGTGTAGTCAGGCACATGAGCACAGCCAAGTCTCTTGACGTCAATCAACACGGCACACCCCAGCTTTTTTCTTCTCCTGCAGAGAAAAAGAAGATCTGACACAAGGTCGACAGAATATCTCACAAAACAGACTCGGACGAAAGGATGGTTGGAGCACGGCGCTCTCCCTCACTATCGAGGCGATCAGAAGCACAGAGAATCTGTCAGGCAGAGAGGCTCGAGAAGAAGAAGAAATGGAACGGGAAAAAAGATTTTGACATGGGCCATCTTGACTTGCTTGCAACACCTCCTCTCCCTCTCATCATCAGCACTCGATCATTCACAACCAGGCTTATACATGGCTCATCTGCGACTGGCCACTACTGCCACTCTCAACACGCGCATCTCCATCAACGCCGTCAACACCGCTCGTATCGCTGCAGCTGCCCCACCATCGCACACTCGCTCCTCCTTCTCTGTTCCACGAGCAGTCACCGTTCGCCTCTGCACCGCTCGAGCCTTCGCTACCACCGCACCCTCCACAGCCAAATCACATCGACTCAACAAGATGCCTCCCAAGAAGCAGGCCGTGGTCGAAAAGATCCGTCTGGGTCGTCCATCCAATAACCTCAAGATGGGTATCGTTGGTTTGCCCAACGTCGGAAAGTCGTCTTTCTTCAACGTTGTTGCCAAGTGCGATCTCGGCAAATCCGCCAACTTCCCCTACGCTACCATCGAACCAGAAGAGGCCCGTGTACCCGTTCCCGACGACCGATTCACCTGGTTGGCGGCGCAGTACAAACCCAAATCCGAAGTGCCTGCCTTCTTGACGTGCATCGATATCGCTGGTCTTACCGCCGGTGCTTCCACCGGTGCCGGTTTGGGAAATGCTTTCTTGAGCAACGTCAGGAGCGTCGACGGTATCTTCCAGGTTGTCAGGGCCTTCGACGATGCCGAGGTCATCCACGTCGAGGGTGACGTCAACCCCATCCGTGATATGGAGATCATCTCCACTGAGTTGAGACTCAAGGATATCGACTGGATCGAAAAGGCGCTCGACAACGCAAAGAAGAACGCCCGAAGCGCCGGTAACGTCAGTCTCGAGGACAAGAAGAGGAAGGAAGAGGTCGGCATCATCGAGAAGCTGCTCAAGCACGTCCAGGAGGACAACAAGGATATCCGCAAGGGCGACTGGACCAACAACGAGGTACGTACATCCACCACCACGTTGCTTCCACTGCAACTGCTTCTTCCGCAACTGCTGCTTCTGCTGCTGCTGCTGCCGCACCGAACCCCTTCAAATGATGATAAAGAGTGCGCATCATGAGACACTCGACAATTCTAATAACCCAGCTCGTCGATGGCCCATCAAGCCAACTGAGATAAATACTATTCAACTGATTCCGCAACTTTTGCAGCAAACCATAGCAGCAAGAAGCAGTGGTGTTCAGGAGCAGCAGGCATTGCAGCAAACTGGAGAATGGTTCCACTGACACTCTTTGACTTCTCCTTACCTTTGCTTTTGCGCTTCCTCGCCACTTCAGGTCGAAGTCATTAACAACCTTCAACTACTCACCGCCAAGCCAGTCATCTACCTCGTCAACTTGTCCGAACGCGACTATGTGCGAAGGAAGAACAAGTGGCTCGCCAAGATCAAGGCTTGGATCGACGAGAACAACCCAGGCGATCTGCTCATCCCCTTCTCGGTCGCCCTCGAAGAGCGTCTGCTCGCACTCGGCTCTCCCGAAGCGGAAGCTGCCGAGCTCGCCGCGCTCGGAGACAACATTACCGGTGCGCTTGGCAAGATCACCAAGGCAGGTTACGACGGTCTCGACCTCGTACGATACTTCACCGCCGGTCCCGATGAGGTTCGTGCGTGGACCTTCAGGAAAGGTCTCAAGGCGCCAGAGGCGGCAGGTATCATCCACACGGATTTCCAAAAGAAGTTCGTCTGCGGTGAAGTTTTCAGCATCGACGACATCAAGGAGCACGGTAACGAGAACGGTGTCAAGGCGGCAGGCAAATACAAGCAGATCGGAAGGGAATACAAGGTCCAAGACGGTGACATCTGCTATTGGAAGCACGGCTAGAGGCGCGGTTGCGCGATGCCCTTTGCCAATATCACTCGATACATACACTTACAGGCTAGAATGAGTGCCGCGTGACTGCCTTCGGCTGATCCGAGAGTCTAATGTGATTGACGAGGCGAGCAAATCAGGACCTTCGGCTTGGCCGTGTGATATCTTTGAGAAAGTGGCGCAGGATCGATCAACCCACATGCTGCCCGCTCAACTGTGCACGTCTGCACTTGTGCACAATCACAGCATTCGATCAAACTTAGGCAGACGGACTGTTGCAGTTTCATGTTTCATTTCTCGTCATCACCACCACCATCATCGTTGTCCGTTGATTCTTGCTAACATAGCCTCATCAGGGCTCTCGCATATATCTAGGGCAGTCGCTTTTGCAACTCCAAAAAGTTGGGAGTACCAGCACCGGTCACCGCGTCCCAGCCCTTCGCGGCGGGGAACCCAGTCGTGTTGCAACCAACGCTGCTACCCTCGGTAATGTCGTTGAGTGCAGGAGTGTTGATCCAGCTGCTGTAGATCAGTGGGTTGATGAAGCCCAGCGACGGCTGACCCTTGCTAATCCTGTCGTCGTTGAGCAGACCAATCACCGAAGAGAACGTGGGGGCAGAAGCCGAGGTACCGTAGATGAGGTAGTTGGCTCCGCCAATACGAATAACGTAGCGCGAACCCTGCGCAGCAACATCAGGGTAGCCACGGCCGGCAGGGTTGTACAGACCGGAATACTTGCTACCAAGCGACGCAATGTAAGGCAACACAGCGCCGACCTGGTAGTAAGCAGTGGGGAAGAGGTTGCTGAATCCACCGCCAGAGTAAAATCCGGGAAGATCACCGTCCACTGCGATTTCGGGCGCAAAGTTCTGCGTGGCTCCCACCGTGGTCGCAAAGGGGCACGACGCAGGGAATGCTGGCAAGAATGTCGCCTTGCCCTTGGGCGAGTAGGCACCGTTAGAGTAGCAATCTCCGTCCGGTCCTACACCCGAATCACCGGAAGAGTAGACCGTTGTCACACCGCGCGCTCCCAACGCCATGATGTAATTGCACACCCTCAACGCGTACGCCTTGGGCACCGTCTGCTCATCGTCACCGTACGAAGTCGACAGCACCTTGGGCAGCTTGTCGTCCGACAGCGAGAGGAGGTAGTTCATTTGAAGCTCGTACGGCTCGTTAGTGTTGTTGACCGTGTTCTTGTCCGCAATATACGGAGGCGATCCGGCAGTAGTGTAGTAGGTGAAAGGGATTGGGAAGCTGAATCCGCCGACAGTCTGCACGTCCAGGTTGGCTTCACTTCCAGGGTCGCTCTGGACGTTGAGACCACCGGCGATGCTCTGCACGGTGAAGTTGTATCCGGCTTTGGCTGCATCGGGTCGCTGCTGCGAGAGGAAGCCCGAGAAGTCGGCGTAGTTGGCATATTCGGCCAAGAAACCAGAGATACCAAGGTGGAACTTCTTGGCTGCTTTGGGCACATAGTCGACCGTCTTGTAGAAGGTTCGTAGGCAGAGCGAGGTGACCTTGGCCGTATTGCAGACGGCGGGTTGACCGTCAGCGGACTTGGCGTTGGCATCGGTGGCCTCGTCGTCGTCGAGCTTCTCGATCAGGATCTTGCTGCCGGCAATGTCGCTGCTGTAGCCACGAGGCTCGGTGAAGAGGGTCAGAGGACCAACGTAGTCGAGGTGCCTCGCGACGTGTTCGGGTACGCTGTATTCGGGCGAACGCACGGCGAGCGCGCCGCTGCGCTTGTGCTCGTACACGCCCAGGTCGGCATTCAAGAGCTCCCTCGCCTTCCATGCGGGGACGTGGACGGTGAAGGTATCCTTGGAGAGCGAACGAGCAGCAAGACCCTCGTCGATGTTGATGCCCGCCTCGCGGAGCCACAGCTCGACTTCGTCGACGGTACGCTTCTCGGGCTGGAGGAATTCGGCGACCTGTTCGGCGGAAAGGTGGCGACCATACAGCTCGTGTTCTGGGTCGGATGTCTGACGGAGCCTCTTTTCGAGCGCAGCGACGTCACGCTGCTTGAGCGCGAATCGGAGAGCCACAGGCTCGTCGTCGGCAGCGTCGGATCGTCGGACCCAGTCGGCGGGTACGTGGACGGACTCCTTGACGACCATGTTGGGCGAACGACGGACCGCGGCCGCGTCGGCCATCAAGGCGAGCGAGGTCAAGGCAACCAGTGCCTTGATCGTGACCAGCTTCATCGTGGTGGTGAGCTAGGATCCGACGGACGGTGTCGTTGGAAGGATGTATGCGGGTGTATGCACGGCGAGCAGTCGAAACGCACTGCAACAGGAAAAGTGGAGGGGAAGCGGGGGAGGAGAAATTTGCCAGAGGAGGAGGTGCAAGGCCGATGGATGAGATAGGTCGAATTGTTTGGTGTTCGAGTGGATGACCAGCTATATATGCGCCCTGCTCTTGGGGTTGCTGACTGCCTCTTCGCGAACAGATCCATGCGAGCACACTGAGCCTGGAGGGAGCGATGGGGTTCGACGCTGTAAGAACGGAGACAGCGGTTGAAGGGGACCTGAACGGTAGCAGGTGAACACAGCGCGGCAGCGGCGGTCGCTACTGCTGCTGCCGACGCATTGATTGCATTGCCGCCATTATCATGTTGCAAGCCGCACTGACGACGTCCGTCTGCCGTCGGCGTGCATCGGATCTGGTCTGACGGTGAAGATCGATGCCGTATGCTGCCATCACGAAGCGAAGTACAGTAGCGAGGCGATGCAAGCAGGACACGGAAGGCAACCATCCGAGTTGAAAAGGTAGAGGCTATCCAGCCGGCCATCTTCGAAGCGGGCAGAGTTGGCGTGGAAGCGAGCTCAAGGTGTGCATGAGAGCGGATCAGGGTCTTCCATATCAGGTTTGGCGCCGAGCCGTTTCCATCTCGCTAGCGTTAACTAAGGTGTTGCTCAAGATTTTCATTTTCGACAGTGGAGCTAAACTCTAGGCGAGGGTGTCGCAGAAACGGCGGAGGCTGTCGCAGAAACACACACGGCAATGGTGAGACTCGAGCGCCTAAGCGAGGTCACGGCGTGAATAGGCGATCTGTCTCTGATCTGTTTTTGTTTTCTTGAATGCTTGGCCGCCGCAGAGTGTCTTGACCTCGTGAGTACTTACTTCGGGCTGCATGTTGCCGCCATTGTTGCCGTCTTGATTGAGTCATGTCCGTTTCATTGCCGTTTGTCGGCCTATGCGGGGCTGATAGGGGCAACGCTGACGATGGCCGATGATTCTGGTTGACCTCCTGGTCACGCCTGTCCCTCTGTCAGCCGCTGATCGAAGAGGGACCGACATCGACATGAACGCATAAGCGCAGATACGACGGAGGTCGGTGGGCCGCTGCATATATTCACCGGCCAGAAGACGTTACAGAAGCGCTAGTCTGAGTGCGAAACTCAGACTTTCAGCGCGCATTCTCAGGCGAAGGGCCAAGAGACTCTCTCCCATACTTTGGACCTTCACCTTCGAAGCTGTCGTTCTTGCTCTGCAATCCCGACTCGCTGTCGTTCCATCGATCGACGACGAGGAGTCGAGGCAGAAAGCTTGCAAGAGATGGGATTCGAGGCGGGGTTGCAAAGTCAAAAAGAGTGCCGCCGGTGCGGAGTCCAACATCGGGTTCTCATGCATGAGATGCAACCGCTTCTTCTTCTGATAAGAGCAAGTCGGCGACGATTCCAGACAAAGCAACATCGGCCGCAGCGATCGCGTGATATGAGTCTGACGGAAGCTGGTCTTCCGAGTCGTATCTCGACGCTTCATCGGTGAAGATTGCCGATCGCAGAACACAACTACAACCTTTTCGTTCCCGAAGCTGCCGTGCAGCGGATGGCGTCGGCGGGAAAGAAGCTCCGGGGACACGAGCTGTTAAATCGGATATGCGACCACTTCGATAAAAAGGAAGCAATCAAGATGCGATTTTGCCAAAATCACGATCGGATCGATCCTTCGATTATCCCCATCGAGGTGTCTCACTTTGGCTTCCACACGAGACAGGCTAAAGAGGCTGTCGACGCGGTGCTTTTGAAACAACGACGCCTCGTTGGCAAGAGCGTCCCTGCCCAACCATCGAGACTCGACCGTCGGACAGTATCCACTGCCTTCATGCAGGCGATCTCTTGCTCTCCAAATCGCCCTGCAACGAAGGGCCAGGCAAAGAGAGGGAGTCGGTCTCGACTTTCGGGAAAAGGTCTGTATCGAGAGCACGTGGAATATACGCGCGCAATCGCGCCCATTTCCTTCTTGGCAACCGACACGGGAAGGGATTTCGAATTTCCCGTGTTGAACAGTGCCAGAAAAGAACCCTGCAGGTGTTGAGGCATTCTCTCCCAAGGCTCGGCTGCTAAGACAATTGCGGCGGATGGCGGCTGCTTGTCTGCTGAGACACGATGACGAGGGTCGACTTGTTGCGCTCCTCACAGCGAGTCAGTGGACGGCGAGACTGCATGTGCGAATGCACCGATGCCATGTAAGGCACACCACGAATCGGCGTGTGGGGAAGAGGAAGAGGAACGAGTAATTGGTTCTCCAGCCAGGCGCTTCCATTGTGTTGGTGTTTGAAAGAGGCGAGTCGCTTCCCGTTGCCTGTTCGAGGACATCGAAAAGCCATGCGGTATCCTGGTCCCTCGCCGATTCCTGGCTGATGGCTCGATCGTTGAAGCCAAATGGTAACCTGGGAACACGAAGAGCCGGTTGCTGCGGCCGATGGTGGGAAAGACACCGAAGAGTGGAAAGAAACTCCGACGTGCCCAGTACCACGATGGTATTCAACTCCGAGTCCAGACCTTCTCTGGCTTGTCGATTTGCTGGTTCCTTGAGTTGACATCCCGCTTGCAAGACGCTTCGATGCAGGATGTCTCCGTCGTAGACGCCGAAGAAGCTCAGCAGGCTCAACGTCAATATATACCCTTCCTGTTCCATATCCTTGCTCGAGAGCGAGCTCCCATTTCCCCTTCCATCGACCCTCCCGCTCCCTCTGCTCAAGCGTTCGATCAGCCATGAAGCTCCTCCCACCAGCCTCCACAGCAGCGCTTCTACTGGCCACCACCACCACCACAACCGCCTACGTCCTCCCCTCTTCCTCTCCTAACTCCGACCTTATCCCACGATACGTCTCGGGACTCGTCGCTCCCTCCAGCTACACCTACTCCTGGGCGATCGACGGCTACCGTCTCGCGCTCAACACCACCGGCGCTCCCTCCTACCTCACCCGCTACACCGTTTCCAAAGATGCGACTAGTACGACCCAGCAGCACGTCGACTCGTGCACTGCATTTTGCGAGAAAACGGCTGGATGTGCTATGGCGAGTGTGATCAAGTTTCTCAATTTTGACGAGGGGACGGTGATATGTGCGGTGTACGGGACGGTGCTGCCGAAGACAGAGGCGAAATACACCACGGGCTTATTTAATGGGAAGGGGGAGGTGAAGGCTAGTTATAGTTTCGCGAGGAATGCGGGGGCGGTGAAGGGTGCGGTCACGAGTAGCACGGTGAGGTCGGCAACGACGAGTTCCAGTGCGATCGCAGCGCAGAGTTCGACGAAGAGTAGCTCTACGATAAGCTCTCCTTCAACTGCATCGACTCGAGGCACAAGCACCACTGCGTCGACCACCACATCGACTCAAAGCACGACCACGACATCCTCAGCATCCACGTCCACATCCAGCTCCTCAGCATCTACTTCCACTTCCTCAGCATCAACATCCACCTCCCCAGCACCCGCACCCTCCTCCACCCCGATCTACGACCAATGGCAATGGATTGACGTCCCGGGCACCAGCTGCGCCGACGGCACCGCCACCGGCTTCGCGCTCTCGCTCCATGCCAACTCCACCGAACTCGTCCTCTCCCTCCAACAAGGTGGATCCTGCTACGACTACCAAACATGCTACGTCGACAAGCGCGCCTACAACGTCGGTGGCTCCACATCGCCCGCCTTCAACAACGCCACCTTCTACTCCCAAAACCAACCGTCTTCCCTCAAAGGCTGGTTCCCCTTCGCCCGGGGTAATCAGTACAACCCCTGGGCCAACTCGAACTATGCCTGGATTCCGTACTGCACGGGCGATTTCCACGCGGGGGACAACGTGGTGGATTACAATGGCAGGACGACGTATCATAAAGGATGGGGGAATGTCAAGTTGGACGTGGGTAAGGTGAAGGAGATGGTTCCGGGGGTGAAGCGGGTATGGTTGATCGGGAGTAGTGCGGGAGGGTTTGGGAGCATCCTACAATACCAGAATGTGCAGGACACGTTCGGGGTACGGGTGGACTTGCTCGTGGATTCCGCCGAAACTCCGTTCTCCATCCTCCGCCATCCAAGCCAGAACATCCAGCCACCCAACAAGGCTCGTTGTCCCAACTGCAACGACACCAACTTTGACTCGTACATCGTCGGCCTCGCTCAGGCGAATCCGACCGCAAGGTTTGGGAGTACGAGTTGGAGCAACGATAGCACGATTCCTGCCAACCAAGGTGTTAGCAGCCAGGACTTTGCAACCGAGGTGGAGAGGTTGTTCACGGAGGAGGATGAGACGACGACGAATGCGAGGAACTACATGGTCGAGGGAAGCGGACATATTCTGTTGTATACGACGCAGTATAGTGCAAAGGATGGGTATACGATGGCGAATTGGTTGAACAAGTTCAAGACCGACGATGCGGGGTGGAGTTCTCATTGATAGCAATCTCAATTTCGTATTGTGTTGGAAACCATTTTTTTGACTGGACAGCAAGGATTGTGAAAGGATCTTGTTGAGGGGACATGGGCATCAAATCATTCCAACCCTTCCGCTTTCGGGCATACCCAACGCAGTCGCCACCGTCATGCTCCCCTGCGGTTCCACCACCACCTTCTCCAACACCAATCCTGGTTCCAACGGCCACCATCTGATCGTATGCTTCCCCCCTCCACTCGTCGAATTCGTCCTGAGCATCGTCGTCACTTTTCGAATGTTGGCACTGACGACGTTGCCCCAATCGGCGCTGTTCGTGCCCGGGGTGATGTTATCCGGAACTGGGGTGACCGTTGTCCTCGACGCAACATCGTCGTCGAGTTCCAAGACGTATTTCAGGGGTCGTTTGTCGCGATAGTTGAGGATGGGCGAGAGGTAGAGTGTCACATTGTAGGCGGAACCGTTGTTGGTAGGAGGAGGGGAAGTGGAGTGGATGAAGGGGAAGGAGAGCGAGGGGCCAGAAGCAGGAGGGATGGAGTCGGCGGTAGGGGGGAGCACGGTGATGGCGGAACCGAGGAGGCCGTACTGCGGTAAGACTTCGAGGTAGGTAGGGGTGGAGTTGGAACGGGCGGGTTCGACGAGCGCGTGCGCGGCGAGCATGGAGACGGATCCGTCCGAGGAGGAGACGAACGTGCCGGCGGGATGCGAGCTTGAGGAAAAGGTGCAGGGGTCCACGGTCAGGCTGACGGTGACGTTGGTGGGCGACCACATTCCGACGTACTGTTCGGAAGGGAAGGTGGTGGTGTTGATGTACACGATACCCGTCTGCAGCCTCTGCGTGCTGTTGGTGGTAGCACAGTCCATCTCCGCCAATTGCGACCAGTCTACCTTGACCGCCACCTCGACTTCATCGTCAAAGTTGCCGCCTGCTTCGAACCCATCGCTTCTCTTCTCCACCCACCCTCCCACACCTTCGAACAGCGCTCTCTCGGTGAGGTTCGTCCCTCCTGCCATGCCGTCCCTCGCGAGCGTCTCCAACGTCGCGATCCTCGGCTGCTGCACCTGCAACCAGCTCGCATTCGTCGTTGCGCTAAAGGCGAACTCACCAGCGTCCGCCGAGCTGACCCAAACCCTCCTCCGCTGGTTCCCCTCGTACCTGCTGAGCATCTTCAAACTCGGATCAGGGCAGTTGTACCCATCCGCGCAGTTGTACTGGTTATCACCCGGCCAGGCACCCATACTGCCATCCACCGACACCCTCAGGTTGCTACCCATAGCCGTATCTGGCCACTCTGAATCCACCACTTCCACCTGGGACAGCGCGGGCATCATATTCCGCATCGGTTGCTGCCAGTACTGGCTTCCCATGTGCGGTTGCGACATCATGTGCTTCCACTTTCCACCCGCGAGGGCGTGGTAGGACTCGGTGAGGCGCGCGTCGTTGTGGAAGAGCGAGCGGGCGAGGAGCGACCAGCTGTTGGCCGAGTTCTTGGCCTGCGTGCCGGCGAGGTTGTTGCGTGCGATGGCGACGTACATGCGGTTCAGATTGGACGACGCCAGTGTAGGGTACGCAACGAGTTGGTAGAACGAATCCCAGTTGGGGGTGTTGCGGAAGTACGGGATCAGATCGCCCTCGACGATGGAAACGAGGTGATCCCAGTGGGAGAGGACGGATTCCGCCTCGGCGTAGTGTACGCTGCTCCACGTGCTGGCGTTGACGATCTCGGGTTTGATGCGTGAGTTCAGCCACGAGTAGCCACGGATCACCTCGGCCACCTTCGAGGCCGGCTCGTGGCCGAAGGTTTTGGCAGCCCAGGTGTCGAGCCAGCTGGACACGTTGGTAGGGTGGAGCAAGTCGGTGTTGTCGTAGGCCATGTTGAGGGTAAAGTGGATGGGGACTTCGACGGGCTTGAGGTCGCCCACGTTGAGGATGAACATCTCGGTCTGCTGGTTGAGGAATGCGACGTTGAGCTGTTCCCACGCGTTCATGAGGTTGACCGTGTTGACCCATTTGTACGCGCGAGGGGGACCGACGTAATCAGCGTGGTAGTAGAGACCGGCACCACCGCTTCGATTCTTCTTCTCCTCCTCCGTGGGGATCCTCCTGATGAACCCGAAGTTGTCGTCGGTCCAAAGCAATGTGATGTCTTCCGGAACCTTCAACCCCTCATTGTAGTAGCCCTGAACCTCGGTGTACAGACACATCATCTGCGGAACGCTGATCTCGCCGCTCTTGGCATCGCGGGGGAGCAAACTCTGCTGTTTGACCATGATCTCCTCCAGCAGCTGGATGTTGGCTCCGGCAAGGGCTTTGTCGCCGTTGCCGCGCATGCTCATGGTGAACATGGTTTCGAGACCTTGGGCGCGTTCTACGCCGTACTTCCAGTAGGTGGTGATGTTCTCCGTGTTGGTAGGGTAGTCCCAGGGACCCTGGTACCAGGTGTTCCATTCGGGCGTGTTGCGACCCATGGGTTCTTGGTGCGAGGTTCCGAAGACGATGCCCAATCGATCGGCGAGCTTTTGATTTGGCCCAGCGGCACCGGTGCCGTTGACACCCTTGTTGGGGAGGTCGGGGAGGCCGGCGACGGCGAAAGAGTCGGACCACATGGCAGGCCAGAGAAGGTTGGCTTTGAGTCGAAGCAGCAGCTCAAAGACGTGGGTGTACATGGCATCGTTGAAGGACTGCGGGGCGGTTTCGGGTGGGAAGGGTCCTTTGAAGTGCGTTCGAGCCCAATTCGTCAGGGCGGGTGCTTCGTCGTTGAGGAAGATGCCTCGGTACTTGACCAACGGTGGACCGTGTGAGCAACGACTCGTCCCGAAACTCTTCGACGAGGCGGATGACTTGGGAGAGTAGTATTCAGCAGAGTGCGACTGCGTAGGCTTGACATCGGCAAACCACTTCCACGGGCTGACTCCCAGCTCTTCGCTCAACGTGTACAGCGCGTACGCAGCACCTCTCTTGTCCGAACCCATCAATACCAACCCAGATCCAGAGCTGAGCTTCACAGAGGACCACGACTCCCATTGACCCTTGACCTTCGAAGCTTCCTGTGATACTGCTGAGTCCATCGACATGAGCTCTGGCATGAGACTCGAGCTGTCGAGACTGCCGACGATGATCATCCTCTCCTTGTTTTGCTGAGCTTGCATCTTGAGCGATGCGGAAGTGACGTTTCGAACAACGACATTGGAAGAGGGCACCATCTGCATCAGGTCGGCAGCAAAGCTGGCTGCGGCGTGGTGAACTACGGGAGCGTCATGGCTAGATGTGAGAACTTCGGTAGTTTCGCCCGACTTGGCGATCAGATAGCCGTCCGATGACGAGGCGGTGGAAAGACACACATTGTCGTTGTTGGTGTCTGTGTTGCTGTTGGCTTGGGCGTAGGTTGCCGTTAATCCCAGCAGTAGCGTCGTCCATAGCGATAGCGCACGCATCGCGGCACAAGATTCCGCGACGTTTCGACGGAGATGGGGCGAATGAACCTTCAACTGAGGCTTCAGGTCTCTGTCGGGGTAAAAACGTCAATGAAGATGTCGGAGACGTATATATAATGTCTCGCAGTGGCGCAACGTTTGACACTTTGGCGTGGAGCAGAAGTGCGGGGTAGGCTCTGCGCCATGTGTTGCACAGGACATCATGCATATACAGGAGAGATATGACCGGCGACCTCTGTCTCTGTTTCTTGGCGTGGTAAAGGGGGTCAAAGCGTGCTTGTGACTCTGCGAAGGAGCCGCTTTGCTGGGACCAGAACAGCGGCAAGTGAAGTTGGCATACTGAGTCTAGGCAGGGAAGGGGGAGAGATTTGCACACGGTCGCTTCATTATTGCCCTGTCAGGACCCTCGAATACGTGACTTTGCAAGTCTGACCCTGTGCTCAGGAACACCCTTGACACCTCACCTGCCGCTAATGAGAGCCAGAGTCTGTGACCGGCAAACAAGCTGCCTCGAAAGCACTTGCGAAGGAAGGACGGTCCGGCTCGCACCGCCAAGTGTGCTGTCCATGCTGTGCTGCAGATATCGGCACGCCGAGCAGATGTACAATGACAAGCAAGGTCGAGTTCGATGAGGACAAAGGTCGGTCAACTTTCCTTTAGGCGGCCCTCGCTTAACCGGGGTGCGCGGACCCGATTGAGTGCCGAGCTTGTCGAAAGATCGCACTGTACAGCTTGAACTGCAGACTTCACGTAAATTGTCCTCTTCACCTCTGACTCTATCGAACAGCGGAATCGTTCCCGTCAAAATCAAACAGGCGACAAATGTAAAGGAAGGAACCGTAGCCAAAGTTATACGGCTGAGCATAAAGGGCTGAGTCTGTCAACTAAGCATCCGATCCACCTCGAAATCGCCGAGGAATCCATCCAGAGATTGGCGAACAGCTCCGAGAGACAACGACAGACGACCGATGAGAGCTAAGAGTGGCGTTCGTGGAGTCCATGACAGCTTCTCGAAGCAACGAACAAGGATCTGGCCGAGGGTATTGCATCAAAGTGGGCGGATTGAAATTGCCGATTCGCCTAAAGCGACAGCTGAGTTCCCCACACTTTTCTCTCGCCTGACAACCCGCTTCAACCGGCGTTTGGTCCCCGCACACAGACCGGCGACCCCTCCGGCAGCTCGTCTCGCTTCATGCTCGGTGCACCAGCGCGAACGCTAAGCGAAGCGGATTGGCCTCCTCTCGGAGATTCGCACACTCGCACACCTCATCAAGTGGACATCACAAGGTATCAATCGGGCAAGCTTGCAAGAACGCACACGCACCAATGGAAGGCAGTGTAAACGCGTCATTCGTTTAAATGATCTTAACTGTGGGGTATAAGGGCGTCAAAGTCGTAATGGCATCAGTCCGTTCCCTCATCCTTCACGTCCGACATTCGAGTGTGACCCTGACTGTAAATTTTTCAACGAATCGTCTGTGGTTCATGCGCAAACACGACCCTTCTCGAACCAATGTCTGAGCTCGGTCCCAGCCCCTCGTAGCTTCGACGAGGCAATCCTGCGTCACGACCACCCGGCATTTGCAGCTGTTGTTGCTGCTGCCCGCGGTAAGAATAGCCTTCTTGAGCATAAGCTTCGCGAGGCGAAGCGCGCGGAGGCGACGAAGGGTATGCTTGCTGCTTTGCGTACTGCTCCTCACGGGACAGCACAGGCATCGTGGTGCGACGGACGTTGTACTCGCGAGGATTGCTTCGCGCCGAAACTGCAGCCGGAGGAGCCTCTTGACGATCCATATCATCCATTCTGGTCGTGCCGCTGCCGTAGTGGCGTCCAGAGCATTGGTGACAACCGCACACGTCCGAGTGAGGTGGTTCCATGCTGCGTCGACCTGAAGGAAGCATTCGACTGTCCCTGATAATGCCGCCAAATTCGTCGACGTTTCCGCTGAAAATGGCCGCAGAGGGCGAAGATGAAATGTCATTGATTCGCGAGCCACCGCCGCTGCCGCCCGAATGAGCGTTGGCGGGGAGACTGTCGTGATAGCGTCGGCCGGAGCTGACCTCCTGCGCATACGTGCCGGCACCAGACATCTGATAGCGCGACGCAATCTCCGGCACTCGACCGCGGGCGCCGGTCATCGAGGGAAGCGACAAGGTGGGGTCCATGGTGACCCTCCGTGCGGCGCGTTCCTTCTCGAGCACGTTGAGCTCTCGCTGTTCGCGCTCGATATCCTTCTCCGCCTGGTAGCGAGCCTTCATGCGCGCCACAAAGCTGCGTTCCGATGCAGTGGTATCGGTGCTAAGCGATCGGGTGACGCTCACCGCAGAAAGACGTGTCGATCCCACCGCGGGAGCGTACCGGTCGAGATCGTGATCGCGGACATCTGCGCCGGACGCACGCGGATATCCGAGACCAAGCTGCGAGGAAGCGCTCTTGTCGTTGACACCACTGTCGCTGATTCTCGAGCGCGACCAGCCACCGTTGTTGTTGAAGGTCGATGATGTCGGAGGGTTGGAATAGATGGCTGAGGCTGGACGCTGGTAGCCGAGTTCGACGGTGGCAGACATGGGCGTTCGCGCAGCTGCGAGCTCGTCTTCCCGTTCGAGCTGTCTCATGCGCTCGCGCTCGCGTTCCCATAGACTTATCTTGCGAGCATTGGCCTGATCGAGAGCGGCAGCGGCAGCGGCAGCGGCGGCGTTCCGTTGGCTCTGAGCATCGTAGAGGCTGTCAGACTGACCTAGTCCAGAGGCGACGTTGTACATGGAGGCACTGTCCTGAGCAAAGTTGGCAGTCGGCGACGTTTCGACCTTTGTGGTGTGCTCCCTGTACTGCTCAAGTGCGCGTTGGGCTGGCCGCACCTTGGGCGAAGTGACGACTCCAGCACGGCCGGGTTCTGCCGCGCTGACTATGGGCGAAGCGTTGTGGTGTCCCTTGGGGATTTGTGGTTTTTGCTGCTGCATGAGAAGAATTCCCTCGCTATCGTCGGGGGTCCGCGGGATCCGGTTGCCATCTTCCGAGCCCTGTGCGCTGTTGGTCGCACTGAGGCTAGGAGCAACAGCGTCCGAGTCTTCGCGCGGCACCGATAGCTTGTCAATGATGCTGCCCTCCGTCGCCGAAGAGTTGTTGCCGTCGCGGTCGTGCACCTGCAACGCGTTGTTTGCAAGTCTGTCGGCATTCGAGGGCTGAATAGAGGATGCGCTGATGGCCGAAGAGCTCAAAGAAGGAGAAGTTGTCTCCCACAGTTGAGGCTGTGCCGCCATGGACTTGATGGTCAAGTCTGTGGGTGCGCGAACGAGGCTGGCAGTGGCGCTGGGTGGGTTGAGCAGGATGCTGGATTGGTTTGACGGAGGTAGCGAAGAAGATTGACCGGCAGTGCCGTTGTCAGGACGAGCAGTCTGGTCGGTGGCGACGCTGCGAAGGGACGCAGCCCCCATCTCGACTGGCGGTGGCGAAGAAGTTGGCCCGGTCATTGCCGATGGTTGGTGCAGCGTTCGTCCCGTCTCTCGCTGAGGTTGCAGCCTCAAGGAAGAAGTTCTAGGTAGCGTGGATGCTACAATGGTAGAGTTCGCAGTGCTGCCCTCGGCGAGTTTACTTTTGGACAGTGCGTGTTGCAACGGTGGACGATGGTTCGGTGAGGTTTCGGATCCTCGGCTCACATTGCTGTTGATGCTTGTGCTGCGACCAAGATCGGCAGCGTCATCGACTGCTAGAGGTGCGGAGGGCGAAGGAGGACGCCAGCCCATCTCTTGAGCTCGCAAGATGATCTGCGTGTCCTCGTTGATCTTTGCGTTGATCTGCGCTTGAACGGCGACGGAAGCCTCGACCTGGGCGGTGAGGCTGGCGAGGTACTCAGCCTGACCTTGTTCCACTTGGGTCGATTCGGCAGCCTGGAGGGCAGGCATGAATTCGGACGAGGTGAAGCACAGAAGCTCGTTGAGCTTGCCGACATGTGGACCGATGCGGCGCACCGATTCGCATCGATGTTTGAACTCGACATCGGCGAGACCACCGACGGTGCTGGCGACGAGCAGAGACGAGACGTGGCTCTTTGCGGCCATCGAGAGGGCATGTGTGTTCTTGGCTCGACCCATGTCGTTGGTGAGCGACTGAACGGTCGCGACGTACTTGTCGTGCGATTCGAGAGCCTTGTTGGGTGAGGCTTTCTTGACGTTCTTTTCGTGTGCGGCGTTTGCCTTTTTGATCTTTGCGTCGAGAGTGTGAATCAGCTCGTCGTGCGCGCGCTCTTCCTTTGCGACCTTCTTGAAGTACTTTGCGCAGGCGTCGTTGACTGCCTCGTACTCCCGTTGCACGTGCTTGGCGTGGCGAGAAGAGACTTCGGCAAGGCCCTCGAACATGGTCGAGGTGAGTTGGAGTGTTTGAGAGGGCGTTTCGAGGACCACCTTTGTGCGTTCGAGCTCCGAAGCGCTCTTTGCGAGCTTCCGTTCGACCTTAGCAAGGCGAGCCGAGAGGTCGCGATATTCGTCGAGGTTGACGAGGAGCGACTCGACTGCTTTGAGAGACTTGTGCAAGTCGGCGCGCTCAACGAGGCTGACGTCGACCGAGTTTGAGGTCGGATTGAGCGTCGAAGTGGAAGCTGCGTGGTTCAGAACGGGCAGGGCGAGCGGAGAGAGAGGACGTGGGCTTGCGGCACCGTTCGGAGAAGCGCCATTGATAGGAAGATCAAAGTATTGCTGTTGAGCGGTTGGACTCTTGGGCTGTGGCGAGGCGAGGGATGGACGCAAGAGACTCTGCGAAGTCTGGGGTGAGACTTGTCGAGAGCCCGGCCGACTCTGCTGTGGCGACAGCTGCGCGGGTTGTGCGGACTGGGAGGGCGGCAAGAGGCGGCTCGAGGTGGAATCGTAGCTGAGGGATGCTGCAGCACCATCAGCTGACTGCGTCGAAGCAAGCGTGGTGGAGTTGACGCCGACGTTGAGGAACGATTTGCCAGGACTGACGCTCAGCGGGGCCGAGGCGGGCTTGGAGTCACCGACGCCCATGAAGCGTTGCACTTTCTTCATGCTGACTACGGGTTATTCTGGACGATATGGTACCGATGGTGTTTGCGATATATTGCAATCCAAGTGATGCGTCCGATTGTGGCTGCCTTTCGATGATGCTATAGGATGTCTCCTCAAGGTCAAGCGGGCCGGAAGTGACTGGGCGCCGACGAGGGGGTTCCGAGCGTGAAAGAAGGAGGAAGTGGAAGTCGCCGCAGCGAGCAGCTGGGATGGTGGCGAGGAAGACGTGGTGGATGTCGTCGAGGAGGATGCAATGGTTGTCCATGCAGCCGTGCAGTTGCAGCAACATCACAGTAGCTCACAAGCTTGGTCCAAAGACAGCAGGCTGCGAGGCACACGCGCTCAGCGGAAAGGCCGCATTTGACACTCCGTCACCGGGCGGACGATCCGAAGAGACTATTGTCTGCCATTCGGAGCAACAAATCTCGCTCTTGCTCCCACCTTCCTTCTCGCTTATGTTCAGGGGCGTTGCGATTAGGAGCCGATTCGCAAGCACACTCACGTTATCGGCTCTTCCGCAGCTGCTTGAGGCGCAGCATGGCGTGACCCAGCTCAACACGTCAGGAAGAAGACCGACACCGTTGACACCAAGCGGATTGCATTGGGGAACCACGCCATGCCAAGAATCAGAGCCGGCATTGCGGTATCTTTTTTGATTTCAGCGATGTAGCACGGATCGCTAGACGACAGCCGGCTCTCGATGATGAAGCTCGCGACTCAATACAGTATACTGTATCACGATGAAGATGTGGATGCGTAGGAGGTTGCAGTGCAGCTGGAAACAAATCAGCCGAGGTGTTGGTCTTTTTGGCGCGTGGGACGTACAGTCAGTCAGGTGCTGCGAAGTCCAGCAGTAGAGAAACGCGTTCTAGGCTCCTGATGCGTGACATGCAGGATGCCCCTCTTTCCTGCGTTGGCTGGTTAGAGACTGCGCCGAGACTCAGGGGCACTTTCCAACTTTTTCCAAATTTGGGCATCGAGCCACCCTGCATGAAACGTCTGCAAGAGTCGCGCGATAGTCGATGTAAAAACTCCCAATGTCAGACCGATACTGCGTACATACAAGTCTCGGAAAGAGCGGTCGGCTCCGAACTTCGATGCATCCGCCTGAACCCGACATGAAGAGTGTGGAATTTTGTAGGGGCTCTGGAACGGCAGCTTGGCTCTCTGATTTCAAATCGCCGTTTTGTGCTGTGCTGCTGGATTGAGTCTGGAAGATTGAGCTCGCGTATTGACCAAACTCGAACAACTTTCCCGACCTGATCGCCGTCACCACCACCACACCATCGTCACCTATCGCGCAGATACCACATTCACAATGTCGCTGGCCAAGTCTGTCTACAACACCGTCTTCAAGCGTAACTCGGTCTAGTAAGTCTCGCCGGCCAGTCGATAGCCAGTGCAGCAGCCGTCGGAGAAACGTCACGCCCGAGCGCGCAAGCTTGGATCGCAACTCCTCGATACCGATCTCACGAATCAGCGCCTGTCAATGCATCATCAAATACACTGCGTTGTTACGGCATCCGCAGCTGGAGCGCTAGCCTGGACGTGGCTGCTGTGGCTTGGCGACCCTCCATGTACTTGTTCGCGAATACTGACCCCCGCTGCACTTTCTCTCTTCTCGCAACGCCCATAATCACTTGTACACTTGCAATCACACAGCGTCGGCACCATCTTCTTCGGCGCCTTCGCCTTCGGTATCGGCTACGACCTTGCTACCACAGCATGGTGGGATTCGCATAACAAGGGCGTAAGTTTTCGAACGCATCGACACGGGATTTGATCTTGTCTCCGACCCATCGGCAGGGCAGCACGACCATGAACGCAGCGCGGGCAAGAGATTCAGGAGTTGATGGAATGCTTGGCAACGCTAGCTAGCGGTACCGACTCGGACTCTTTTGTCTTTATTGGACGGTGGATCGTTCGATGCACGGGCACAGTAGGGACATACTCGGACTAGAGAGTTGGCAGACCAGTGCTTTACAAGGATGTTTGGTCAAGAGGCGTGCTCACCACTTCACGGCATTGATCGCTCCGAGCTTCAGATCAGCGCGATCGTTTCCGACCCGACGCATGCTCCTCTGGCTGGACCCCAGTCATCGTCATGTCGAACTTGTGTTGCTGCCTCCGGTTCGGTCGGACGTAGGATTCAGGGCATGTTCATCTCATCTCAGAGGAGACACAGACCACTGACCAACTGACTTCTTCCTCTTGATCCCCTGCATCGCCCCACTTGACGCCAACAGAAGCAGTGGAAGGATATCCGAGGAAAGTACCTCGAGGACTCGGAGTAAACTCGTACAACTCAACCCACACATCTTCTTCACCATGTCGACGTAGCTTTCGTGTCAAGCTCTGCGCTTCATCCGGCTTCATTAGCAAAATACAATTCTCTCAAGCTCATAGCGCCCGTGACATCGCCAATAATCAGTGACAGACGAGTCGAACGATAGACGATAGGCGGAGAGCTCTTTCGCTTCGGGTGACGCCGATGAGGACTCGGGTTCAAAAGTGGAGGCATGCGGACCGGAGGCTTAGGAAGAAGAAAGGAGGCAAGAGTGAGATGCTACGTCACTTGAAAAGCTCACTTGCAGTTGGAATGGCTCGAAGTCGACGTCCGACGTTGAGAGAAGGTTAAAAGGGGACGGATCGGCTCTTCCATCTCCGATCTGACCGGCACATCCTACGATCGGTCAGCTTGAGTGCACGCATGAATTGACCTGTGAGAGACCAGAACTACAAGCTCGAGTCCATCGTGAAGCTCGGGTCCGTTCCGTAGATGCGCTCGTGGCGACGAAGGCATCTCGCAGCGAGATCAGGTGCAGCCAAGAAGAAGACCAAGTTGATCACGTTAGCTCGACTCGCAGGATGCTCCAGTTAAGTCAGAATCGTAGCTCGTGGCAGCAACGTGCCATTCGTTGCGACGCGATGGTGACGAGCGATTCTTGAAGGCCAGCGACCTCAGGAAGAAGGAACAGGCGCTGCTGCTGTCACTGCTGCTGCTTCGACGCTGGCTTCATGCCGACAACTTAGATGGACGCCAGGAGGTGCAAGCCCAAGCGCAGCCTCACCAGCAAGGCACACGAACTGAGTTTCCCAAAATAAAGTTCTATCAAAAAAAGGAGAAGTCACTTTATCGGAAACTGAGAGAAAATGACCCACGTCCCTGCTATTTTCGCTGAGAAAAAAAAGGGGGTTGCGGATCTGCCGGCCTAATTCCTGGCAGTATCCCTTGCATCTGTCGATGAACACTTTCTGTCGCCTGGATCTTCCTCCTGCTTTGCTGCGTCGCGATGGATCTCGCTAGAACTGCTCAAAACAGCTGGCAGAGGAGGTCTAGTCGGGCGCTCCGTTCAAGATTGACGGTGCTGAGAAAGGACGTACAGCCAATGGCCAGCAATGCAAGAAAAAGCCTGTAGCCGCCTTCTTAAGAAATGGATGCTGCGTAGCGCGTGCGGCAAATGCTCGCGTTTGAGGAACAAGGTGTGCCCAGCTTCTGCAGCATTGGCGCTATGCGAAAACCGCACAAATACATCCGCGGGGCGAGGTGAGTTGCATGCTCGCCCTTCACTGTACCACACGCAGCCAGGCCTTTGCCGACGCTGGACTATGGACAAATTCTGCACGCTGTGCTGCACAGTCGCTCATGTCCGCTTTGGGCTCGAGAGACGGTGCTGCAAATGCGAGAGGAAGGCAAAAAGAGCATATCGGAAGCTAGCCGAATTTGACCCTGTGGTGCCCTTGCTTCTCGAGCTGCAGAGCGGCTATTCCGACCAGACCCCTTGAAGTAGCCTCTTTTCGGAGGGGAAATCCCCCCCTTTGAATGGCTGCGAGCGTGTTACTTTCCTGACGTGTGGCGTTATGCCCGGATCGACACTTGGAAGTACAGTAGCTGCGACCTATCATTCGCCTCGTCACATCACACTGTTGGGCGTAGAAGTGACAGGATACTGCTCGATTGGCATGGGCATGGATCGATGCTGGGCTTTATTGATAATAACATTCCTCGACGCCCTTGAATCGCCGCCATCTGCCAGTCTGAACTCATCCACAGCGATCTTACGCTTCCCATTGTTCAATGGCGACGGAAGGGAGGGAGACCCAGGCACTATTCCTTGAAATGGTCTTAGAATCGCTGCTGCTTGTTACCTGATCCCAATGTGCGGCTGGCTGTCAAGCGCTAGCATCGCCTCCCACGCTTGTTCCTTGCGTGCCTGAACTTGTCTATATCGAATGCCACGCTCCTTGCTGTCGTCTGCATCTCGCTGTTCTCCTTCATCTGTCCTCTGAGCTCTTCTACTGCTGCAACGCTACTATAGCGCCCTTTTCTGGATCCATCCCTGTTGCCGCCGTGGTGTCGGCCTATGCTCCTCCGCATCCAACAACATCATTCGCGTCTCTTGGTCTCTTGATCTCTTCGTTCCGTCTTGCCTCCCTTCCTTTCTTCCTTCCTTCCCTTCCTCAAACCTTGACCTTTCTTTCCATTACCCCTCTCATCTTTCCATCGTCCATCGCAGTGTCGCTTGTATTTCAACCATCTGTTTCCAACAGCGACTCTCACCTTCGTACTCGATCATCACCTCCAACGCATTGCCAAGCACCGAGCGACGCAACCACGCTCTCATCGCTGACCAACGAGCTCGAACCGCCAGGATACCCACCACGCTCTGCTACAATACCCTGCAAACACGCTGTCATCGCCCCACAACCTTCGCAAACACCCACCGGAACTCCACCAAACTTTCGTCTCGGCCTTCATCTGCTTCACGCTAGCTGTATCCCAAAGTTGATACTGTGCATTCCCCTCCCAACCAATCGCACCCTCCGATACCCACCAAACTTGGAAGGAAGACGACTTCCGAGCCTTCTCGACACGCTTCGCCCCACTCCTGCTCGCTTATGGCCGCTCTTGGAGCAATGCGAGTGGATCGCTTCTAAACCCAAGCTACTTCCACATCCTCGCTCATAAAGATACAACCCTAGCCTCCTCGATACCACAGACCGCAGCTTCTCCAAATTTGTTCCTCTAGTCAATTCCGATTGCCACAAGACAATGTCGCGAGCCTCCATTGCCGAAAGTCACGCCATGGATGCGGTCATGTCCCGCACTGCTTCCAGAGCGGGCAGCATTTCCACCTTGTGGAGCTCGGCAGAAGTACCGTTCTGCCTCGACCCACGTACGCAGCCCTCCTTCGACACTTTCGATATGCGCTCTTACCGCGGTCACTCTATAGCGGGTTCCATATCAAGGTACTCGACCAGCTCGAGCAAAGCCTCAGTCGACTTCGCAAGACTCAGCATCGACATCCCCGACGAGTATCCTCACAGGCCAGATACAACTCGCCTCACACCGCCTCGCGCTTCCACTTCTACTTCCAGCACCGGCAGTTCTCCCTCCAGCCGCATGCCCTCCCTCAACATTGGCACCATCGACGAGAATTCGCCCATGCAGCCTTTCAGCCCCCACACTCCACTCGATTATCAGCCTCCCGCTCTTGGCGCTCAACATAGGGTGCTATCCTCTCGGTTTTCGGAGGACACCATCGACGAGCCCCTTGTCACCCACTCTGCATCTCAGGGCACTTTCGGCGCTCGGCTCTCGGTTCCTCGCAAGGCCTCGGGCCTCTCTGAGGCTTCGGGTAACCACTCATCGCGTTCCTCTTCCGTGCAAGGCACGGATCCCTTCATGGCAGCACGAACGCAAGCTGCTAGTGCACAAGCCCCAACAGACCTCTATCGCCGCGCCTATCGCTTCTTTGACAAGGAGTATTCCGTCCAGGCCTCGCTTGACTCGGACGTCTCGAAAAGCTCGCCCGGGACGCACAAACGCGCACCAGCCGAGGGACGTCCTATAGAACGTCCTTCTTACGTGGGCAGCGACCTCTCACACGAAGGCTCTCTTCCCTCGTGCTCCCGCTCTCAAACCTCGACGCAAGCAAGTACCTCCGACGCGGCATCGGCCTGGAGCCAGGACGACACTTCGGCACGGCGTCATCCGTGGGCGCCTGTCGTTGTCACCACCGAGTCATCAGCATTCGAAGCTGAGCTCGGCGACAGCACAGTGATTGCCCGTGACGTCGGCGACGCATCCCTGAACAAATCCGACAGTCTTAGCATCCCTTGCCTTCCCTCTCTGCCAAGCTTCAACTCGGCGCTGACCGCCACGGCAGCAGACTACACCAAGGAGATTCGACGTCGCCCAAGCACGGCAGATGTCTACAGCCAAGCTCCGCACCACTCGCCTAACGCCAACTACAAGATGCCCTTGTCCCCGGATCAGCCCATGCTATCGCCAACCGACTCTGTTCGCTACCAGGTGCATTCGCATGTACCTTCTCCCGCGCTTTCGCCACTTTCCAAGCCTGTCTACGCCGACATCTCTGCCGAGGTGAGCAGCACATCCGCCAACTCGCGAACTTTGCGTGGACGCGTCGCCTCCACGCCCAAGCTCCGTCTAGAATCAAGCTCGTTGTTTTCGTCCCAGAAAGCTTTGCATCTTCAGCATCCGCTGCCACCTCTCCCGACCCGAACGAGCAACCCTGCCACCGACCGTCGTCCTTCGACCTCGCAGACCGATGGTCGAGAGTCATTCTTCGGCCGTCGTTTCCGGTCTCGGACACTGGGTGAAGCAGACCATGCGGATGCAGCGAACATGAAAGCGGCTGCGGCCAATACTGCGCCGCGAGCTGCACCGTTTCTCGTGTCTCCTCAACGTCCTCTGGTGCTCTCTAGCCTTTCCTCCGCTGGGGCATCTTCGCTCGTCTCTCAGCGTCATCCGAGTCACATCTCTGCAGCCAGTTCAGAGGCCCACTCTTCTCTCTACCCCATGCAGCAAACACCGGGCTCGTCCATCTGCTCGGCTAGCTCTCCAGCGACCACGCTGAGTTCGCTCCCGGTCACTCCGCGTACGACCTCCACTTTTCCTCGACCCAAGAGTCGCGGCAACAGCTCGGCTTCCAAGTCTGGAGGGTCAAGCTGGGCCTCGTACCTAAATTCGGGCTTGACGCTGCACATCGAAGGCGACCACGGTCGTGCATGCCAGATCGATATGACCTACCTCGCCTACGACCCTTTCGGAAGACCGGAACAGCTCGTCGAGGATACCGACGATGCCCGTGCAATCACTCCAAAGAGACCAAAGTCGAGGGGCGACAAGGACCAGGAAGCCGAGCAATCGGGCACGCTCGAGTTTGGACCTAGCCATGAGATGCGTGTCGATGGGTTCACATTCGCCGTCGGACGCAAGTCGGATTCATCTGCGCTGCTCAAGCATCTCACCGTGGGCGAAGACACAAAGGCGGACCTGCTGACGCGACAAGCAGCTCTGTCTCTCAGCACGCTTGGCGATCATCAAGTTTCTGGATACGAACGAAAGGGTAGATTGGCGTGGAAGTTTGCCTACCGTGTCGAGGTCGACCACGCAAATGTGGAGAGGCGAAGATTGGTGCCCGTCCGCTTCTCGTGTTCGGCGACGTTGCTGAATCCAGAACGTGCAAGGAAGTCGAGACTGCTGAACCTGGTCAAGAAGCAAATGGGACCGACGCTGGCTTCCAAGACTGTTGCTAGCTCTCTTACGCCGACTGACTCGCCACGGTCGGGTGTATTTGCGTCCGACGACGGTACTGCTTCACCTTCTTCGGCGTCTGCTCGACAGCTGCAGCATCGACAGCAGCCACAGCAGCAGCAGCAGCAGCAGCAGCCCAGCTCTCCCGTCCGCAGCGCCAATGGCGCTCAGTCCAAAGCCGTCAGTGGCGCCTACAACAGTCCGCTGCGCCAGATCAGCCGAGCTCCCGCTTCAGCCAATAACAGTATCGCGTCGGCCGACTCGAGCTTCTACTCTCAGTCCACAACACCAGGTCGCGACGCAAGTGGTGTAAACACATCGATGACGAGGATGCATCACCAGACTTCGCCGGTGACCAAGGCAGCCGGACGCATCACTTCGGCTCAACGCCAACTTCGGTCTTTTGCGATGGCTGGCTCCGCCGTGGGTCCTGCATCGCACGCCGAGCTGGGTCAGGAAGAGTCTGCTAATGGCAAACAACTGCAAGGGAAGACCTCACCGGCATCCCTCAGCGTTTCTTCAGCTAGCTCGAGCAGCGGGAAGCTTGCTACACCAATAATGATCAATGGGCGCAAGCTGATCCCGATCAGCCTGCCCGCCGGGCTGGCACGTAAGAACCGAATTGATCCTGCGCTGCTGCAGGCCAACGTGATCCCGAGCGTCGCCACTGTCGCCTCGGCAGAGAGGCAGAGAAGCACTTCGACCCATTCGTCCGCCAACTCTTCTTCGAACAACTGTCATCACCGCCAAGCAATCCAACAGGTGGCAGCCAACGGTGTCAAGTGTCTGCTTTCCAACCAGCCCCGTACGGGAACCAGCTCTAGTCGACCCCCAACTGCTTCCGAGACGATCAAGCTGGAGTACCTCGCCCGCAATGCCAGCGAACAGTCGAGTCCGGCAACGACTGCAGCTGCTGCACCCCAGCTGCGACACCAGAAGTCGTTCGGCGGCGCGATCCTGACGCCGCTGTCCTTCGCAGACGAAGAGCGGCAGGCGAGAAGGCGCCGGAGCAAGACCAACGAAGATGGACAGCTTCGACCGTTTACGGCTGATGCCTGGGGAGAGGCGCAGTATCCGTCGCGCGAGCAGCAGGCGAAAGCGTTCAGTCAGCAGCATCGACCTCCGACGGGTGGCGATACGATGCAGCAGGAAGGAGTCAAGCCTTTGCCAGCGCCGCCTCGACCTAGCAGCAGACCGAGGACGGCGCAGAGCGTGGCCAACAATGTCGCCGCTGACCAGACACGATACCGTCTGCCTCTGCGTGCGGTGCAAGGCGCTCAGTCGTGATTTCTTTCTCGATAGCATTCCATCAGAGGCATACATTCATTCTTTCATCACTCACTTTCTCTCCGGGAGATTCGCATGTGCATTATGCTTTCTGCTATCAATCACATTCACTTTGACGATTCAATGGCTGAAGACGATTTTGCGTCTCGGACAAGGAGGGATGGTGGATGGCATTGTAACGCGTGATGACAATTGCGATCATACGCTCCTTACCGTCTGTTGCTCTCGCTTCGAACTCGTCGATATCATTGAATCTCAGGAAGCGCCGAGCTTGACACACATCGGATCTTTTCTGGTAAGAAGATTACAGACAAACGATGGCTAAAAGTACATAGGAATGAACAAGTGACGGAAATGCAAAGAACTCAACTGAAGCTGAAAGAGGGTGTGAGGGAATCACAGCATGTCCTCCAACTTGACGGGCATTTCGTCGATCTGGGTCGAGTAAAACTGCTCTATATCCCTCAACAACCTGACATCGTCCACGGTGACAAAATTGATCGCTACACCTTTCCTACCAAACCTACCGCTCCTGCCGATTCTGTGGATGTAATTCTCTCGATTTGTGGGCAGATCGTAGTTGATGACGAGACTGATGTTGGCAATATCGATGCCTCTGGCCCAGACGTCTGTGGTGATGAGGACGCGTGAGCTGCCTTGACGAAATTCGGCCATGACAGCATCGCGTTCCTTTTGCTGCATCTCACCGTGCATGGAGGAGATCTGGAAGTTGTTCTCCTTCATTTTGGAGGATAGCCAATCGACCTTCTTACGGGTATTGCAGAAGATGACGGCTTGGGTGATGGTTAGGGTATCGTAGAGATCGCAGAGTGTGTCGAACTTCCACTCTTCCTTTTCGACGGCTACGAAGAACTGTTTAATTCCCTCCAGAGTGAGTTCGTCTCGCTTCACGAGAATTCGAACGGGATCGGTCATGAACTTGGAAGTCATCTCGAGTACGTCCTGCGGCAGGGTAGCGGAGAGAAGGACGACTTGGGTTGAGGGCGGAAGGTAGCGGTAAACGTCGTAGATCTGATCCTTGAAACCCATGTTGAGGAGTTCGTCAGATTCGTCGAGGATGAGCATCTTGATGTTCTTGGTGCGCAGGTGACGACGTCGGATCATGTCGTACACTCGACCGGGGGTTCCCGAGACAATGTGCTGACCGTAGTCCAACTTCCTGATGTCTTCCCCCACAGACGTCCCACCGATACAGGCATGACACTGAACATTCAGATAATCTCCAAGAGCGAGGACGACGGACTGGATCTGAATCGCCAGTTCTCGTGTCGGACTGAGCACCAAAGCTTGGGTTTCGCGAAGCGTGGTATCTATGGATTGAAGCATGGAGATGCTGAAGGTGGCGGTCTTGCCGGTTCCGGACTGGGCTTGGGCGATGACGTCGCGACCGCGGATGATGGGGAGGATGGCGCGTTGCTGGATGGCGGAGGGCTTTTCGAAGTTGTAGGCGTAGATGCCGCGGAGGAGGTCTTCTTTGAGATTCATGGCGTCGAAGGTGGGGGCGATCTTGAGGGTTTCGGAGGAATCAAAGGCGAGCTTGGCATCGCCAGAGTTGATTCCGCCGGACATGTTGGCGCAGACGTGGCTCGCTTTGACAAGCGGCTGGAGAGGGAGATGGTGGTGGTGATGAGCAGAGTGATGAGGGAGAGAAGAAAGCCAAAAATCATGCGCACGTGACAGCGGAAATTCGGAATGCGGAAATGCGCATTTGCCATTCATTCATTGTGCTTCCTCTTGCTCTTGCTGTTTCGTACTCCACACCACCATCATCAGCCATGGCGGATACCTCACTAATAGAGGTGGCGCGTCAAACGCACGAAGAAGCAGAACGCTACCAGCAGGCCCTCGTCGACCTCCTCCTCCTTCCCTCTTCCGGTCTCACGCACAAGGACAAGCTGAAACGAGCACACAAGGCATCCGACCTGCTCGACCGTGTCACCTCTCGCTACCAGTATCTCGATCGCTTCTACGTCGACGAGCATCAAGAACAGCAGCGCGAGCTCGATTCCATCTCTTCCACTCGCGACGACGATGCATTCGGCGAGTTCTACGCAAGGCTCGGCCGCATTCGCGAGTACCACGACAGGTATCCAGGCGCACTCCCGGACAGCTTCAACATCGACTTTACGTCGTTAGAATCCGCAGCTGGATCTTCTTCCATCGACCACCATGCAGAGTCGTCGTCGGCAGCAGCAGCTTCGGCAGGGTATACGGATGCAGCAGGGCTCGACTTTATCGATCGAATGTTTTCCGGTGAGGAGATGGCAGGAAGGTTCTTGGATCTCTACTTGCATCACGAAGCCTATCTCAATCTCAAGGGCGCAAAGCGGATCTCGTACCTCGGCTACATCGACGACTTTGATAAGCTGGTCGGACCGTCTTCCAATATTCCGAATCACACCAAAAAGACGGATGGGTACAGGACGTACCTGGTTGAGTTGAGAAAGTATCTCGATGGATTTCTCAGAAAGACGCAGCCGCTGGCGAATGTCGATGCGATCTCGGCGGAAGCGTTGGAGCGATTCGAGGTGGATTGGGAGCAGGGACAAGTCGAGGGGTGGGAGCAACAAGGTGCCGAAGTGTTTGGAGGAGCCAACTCGCAGGCAAAGGCCAAAGCTGCCGAAGCACAAGGAGAAGGGATCTGGTGTGCAGCCTGTCGAAGATTCTACTCGAAGCAAACCGTCTACGATGCACACCTCAAATCGCCCAAGCATCTCAAGGCGGCCGCACGACTCGCACAATCCGACTCACCCGCCGGCGAACCTTCCAACCGATCTCAAAACGAGGCGGAGAAGATCAAGCTCCGCATTCGATCCAAAGCCATCGCACGCGAAGAGCTCGTGATCCGCACGCTCGCCACCCACCTCGCTGCGATTCGCGCAGATACCAAATCCAACGTGGAACGAAAAGCGGCGCTCACGGATCGGGAGAGGCAAGCGGAAGCCTCTGCGGCCGAGGAAGAGTTGAACCGCATGTCTGCGCTCAACCCTACTTCTGGACTCGATTCCGTTTCAACCGCGGATGCGATGGACGAGGATGCGGATGATGAGACGGGCCGGGTGTACAATCCGCTCAAACTTCCCATTGGGTGGGATGGACGACCGATCCCGTTCTGGCTGTACAAGCTGCACGGCCTGCGCAACGAGTTCAAGTGCGAGATCTGTTCCGACCAGATCTACCACGGTCGCAAAAACTTCGAAAAGCACTTTACCGAGTCTCGTCACGCCTTCGGAATGCGTGCATTGGGTCTGCCGAATACGGTTCAATTCAGAGACGTGACGACGATCGCGGATGCACTGGCGCTGGCGGACAAGCTGCGGAAACGTGGCAAGGAGGAGCAGACGGGCGGGATGGATGCACAGGAGGTCGAGGATGAAGCGGGTAACGCGTATACCAAGAAGACGTATGACTTGCTCAAGAGGCAGGGTCTCATCTAAAGTACAGAAAAGGATGCATTGGTGGGGGTGAAGGATAGATCTTTGAGAAGTCGAGATACGTTGGTCTGGATCTGACCACGATCGGAGATGGTGGCAGAAGAGGGTCGGTTGGGCTCGGCGGTCAAGTAGGTGTTGACAGCGGCTTGCAAGGGAGAGATGTGGAATGCAAGATTTTCATCCTCTGCTGAAGCATGTGTAGAGACAGCAACTGGGTTGGGTTTCTTGGCGTTGATGGTGGTGGTGGGACCGAAGAACTTCGAGATGGAGACCGGTTCGTCGATCCATTTGACCTTGTAGCCTCGGGTCGCCGTTCCACCGGGCACATTAGGTTGCGGTAAAAGGGTTCCGTATATGCTCGTCGCAGCGGTCTGCGGGACAGCCGGCTCGGATGTTTCTGGAGGAGAGATGTCGGAGGCGAAGGATGAAGTTCGTGAGAGAGCACGTGTTGTGCGTTTAGCGGAGGAGAGTGATGGAAGTGGTTGGGAGGAAGAAGGAGGTTTGATTTTCTCGTCGAGCATGGTTCTGGCGGTAGCCCAGCTGAAACGCACCAGTCCGGGCCAGCCAAAGACGGGATCGAGGGTGCGTTTGAGGTAGGCGACGGTGTTGGGGTCGCCCGGGTATCCGCTACCGAGGGGACCCATGTTGGACCACGTGTCGTCGTCGGTGTGCGAGTCTGACTTGCGTTTTTTACTTTCGCTGGGAGTGTCGAGGTGTGAGGAAGGGGTATGGTTGGTAGCATCGCCCAGCACTTTTGGCTCGTCATTCACGTCTAATTTTCGTTGCTGCTGCTCAGCGTACATCCAACCTTCGACGCATCTGTCCCTCGTCACTTTCGCCGCAATACTCGCCGCACCCACAATGGGATAAATCGCATCCGCCTTGCTCGTCACCGTCCACTTGATATGCGGATGTCTGGGGAAATGCGAGCTCAACAACCTCTGGTAACTCTTGGGATCTCCCACCGTATCCACATAGATCTCCGTGACATCCACTCCACTGTCCAGCACCCCAGCGATGAGCGAGACCGTCGCCTGGCTGGACTGGGCGTTCAAGTTGACGGGACGACGACGCAGCATGCCCGCCGAGATGTCCTGCGGTGACATGACGCGCACCGCCCACCCGAGGTGTGATTCGTGGTGGATGAGTGCCGAGAGCAGCGTATCGCGACGTTCTGCGGTGAGCGCTTTCGAGTCTGCGAAGCCGATGGATTTGAGCTCGTCAGCGTAGGAGACGGGGCAGTAGGCGATGCCGTACACGAGCGGACCGAGAACGGGACCGCGGCCGGCTTCGTCTACGCCGAGCACGCAGGGTACCTTGATGCTGGGGTTGGACGGGTCGATCTTGCTGCATTCGGGTGGGACGGGCGATGCGTAGGTGTAGGACTGCGTGATGGGTGCGATGGGTTCGGATGGGATGGGAGGAGGCGGAAGGGCAGCAACAGCGGCTGAGTCGTCTTCGGGGATGCTCATGATATCGTCATCGTCAAAGTCGTAATCAGCAGCGATGGAGATCGCTTTCTTTTGCCTCTTTGCCGAGGGAGTAGCGGCTGTCTTCTTCTTTGGCGGCATCGTTGTGCAAGTGATAGTTGAGAGAGTATGCAAAGTGTTTGTTGGTCGTACAGAGAAACGAAGCTTTGCGAGACGCGTGTCGAATCGCGTAAAGTGGTTTGGAATACAATGTTAGACCATGGCTTTGGTGTGCTAGGAATATCGGACCTCCACCGACGAGAAAATGTGATTTTACGCCGAGAAAGTGATTTCTGAGAAGAAAGATTTTTTGACTCAGGAAAACGGCATTCGGCAATTGCATGTCGTACCGTCAACTGTACAACTTTATCGTCCTTGTTCACCACCACCACCCAACCTTCGTCCATCTCACCCTTTGCTGTGCCGCCTCACTCACAGCAGCGGATATCAAAATAGAGGCGGACCCGGATTTGAATCATGGCGGCAGCGGCAAAGGGCTCCGGAAGCTCACCCAAACCTTCCAACTCCAAAACAACTTCGGCCACTCCAGCTACATCCACCTCATCTTCCGCCGCAGCCTCGACCGCATCGACTCCAGAGCCATCGACAGCAGCACTACCCGATCCCAAAACGGATCTGTCAGCATACCTCCTCAAGCTACAGTCGGCTCTGCAACCACTCACTCGCAATGCAGCTTTCATTCCAGCTCACGGCGATCTCGCCTTCCACCGCAGCATGGACCGCAAGCTTTCCAACAAGCTCGATTCCGAATCAGATCGCATCTTGTCCTCCGTCTCGCAGCTTGCCAGCTGGATTGCTTCGGATCCTCGTGCGCCCAAGATCCCGCTCTCCAAGCAGGCCTCTTCTAGCTCCAACTCAGCAAGGAAACAGAAACAGAGCGTCAACCTCGACCTAGATATGGCAGACGTAACCACCACCGAAAGCTTCGCATCCAACCTCGGTGAGCTCGTCGATCATCTTCTTGAAAGCGCCGATACGTGCCTGGATGAATTCACGGGCAAGCTTGCACCGCGTAAGATGGCATCCGCGGCAGACGACACTGCAGCCACATTGAGCGGGAATGGAGACAACACTGCGAGCGGTCGTATGCAGGCCATGGCCGCGGTGCAGAACGGCAAATCTTTGCCCAAGACTGGTCCATTACCGTCTTGGGTCTTGAATGCACCCATTGCCTTGCCGCAGAAGCAGTTCACGACCAAAGCGGACAATTCGGTCGACACGCTCTGGAAGCCTAACCTGAAGTATGGGAAGCCCAACGCAAAGGTTCCGCTCGGACACGCGAATCCGCCACGGCTCGGTGCAGATGGCCAGCCGCTACCACGTGGACCAAGAAGAGGCATGTACTGCGCTGAAGGTGATCCGCTCGACAATCCTTACTATCACGAGATCATGCATACGGATCCTCCAACGCATGCCCTCTCGAAACCCGATGCCCACGCCAAAGACAATCCACCACCACCTCTCAACGAAAAGGACCCTTCCATCTCGACGGATGCATGCCCCTTCCAGTGGGTCTCGACCAAGCAACAGATCGAACAGCTCCGCGATCATCTCGACGAGGATCGTGTCAAAGAAATCGCCATCGATCTCGAACATCACTCCTACCGCACCTACCAAGGAATCGTTTGCCTCATGCAGCTTTCTACCCGCTGGGGCGACTGGATCATCGACACGCTATCTGACGACGTCCGACAACACGCCGAGCTGCTCAACTCGTCCTTCACCCACCCGGACAAGGTCAAAGTGCTGCACGGAGCCAACCACGACGTCCTCTGGTTGCAGCGAGATCTCGGACTGTACCTTGTCAACCTGTTCGATACGTACCACGCCACCAACGTGCTCATGTTCCCCAGCCACGGCTTGAACTACCTCATGGCGAGGTACTGCAACTTTGACGCCGACAAGAGGTACCAGCTGGCAGACTGGAGGATCCGTCCCCTCCCCAAGGAGATGCTGTACTACGCCAGAAGCGATACACACACTCTGCTGTACATCTACGACAACCTTCGTCACGAGTTGATGGAGTCAGGTGGGGTGGATGCTATCCGTGAGGTGTTTGTGCGTAGTAGAGACGTGGCTACCGCGACGTATGCCAAAGAAGAGTGGGATGGCGAAGGCGAGACGAGGGAAGGCTGGCGCAGCGTGTGGCGCAAATGGGGTGGTGAGGCCGCGGTGGGGACCGAGGAGAGGCAGGAGCTGGCGCAGATGAAGAAGGAGGAGAGGCTGGTGAGGGCGCTGCACAGGTGGAGGGACGGCGTGGCGAGGGAGGAGGATGAATCGCCGAGGTACGTGTTGGGTGCCAACAACCTGATGATGCTTGCGGCGAGGGCGCCGCTGACCAGGGAGGGCGTGTTGGCGTGTGTGCCGCCGAATGCGACCGGGTTGAAGAAGAGGGTGGCGGAGTTGGTCGGGTTGATCAAGGGTGAGGTGGAGGAGTGGCAGAAGGATCAGGAGGTGAGGAGAGAGGAGAACAGGCAGAGGCTGTCGGAGAAGTTGTTGAATGGTGAGGGTGGTGAAGATATGGATGTGGGGGAGGCTGTTGCGAGAGATGCACCTGGTGAGGGAGACAAGCAGCAGCAAGACGCAGCTGTGAAGAGCGAGATTAAGAATCTGCCCTCCATCTCCGCTATCAGCCACGTCGCAGCCACGCTTCCGCAAGTCGACGCTTCCATTTGGTCCGAGGGCAATAGCGCTTCCAAATCTACTGCTGCCGCTGCTTCATCGAGCCGCTTCGGTGGAGCTGTGCGATCGTTCGCATCCAACCTCTTTGGCCGATCCAATTCGGCCGCACCCCCAACCACCACCGCTTCCGCATCGAACCTTACTCTCAGCTCCACCTCGTCGAAGCTGTTCGGTACACCAGCTCGAGCAAACGGGAACGCCGATTCGACGGCGCAAATTGACGCTATCAAAACGGGATTCATTGGTCAAGTCGGAGGACTTTTCGGCAGCAGCGTTCCCTCCATCGCTGAAGATGAAGTGGATGATATCGACGTGCGGTCCGTGTCCCAGACTGAGCGCTCTGCTCCGTCGACACCCTCCAATGCTGTCACCAACATCCAACCCCTCACCGCCGACTCGCAAGCCGAAGAGATGGACGACGACTCGAGCGCATCCGAGAAGGAAGACTTCATCGTCGTCTCCAACACCAAACCCAAAAAGACACAGTCCAACACACCCTCGTCCAAGAAGGAGCTCAAGAAGAAACGCAAGGTCGAATCAGCAGGTCAAACGGACTCGAATTCGTCGACACCTGCCAAGAAGAGAAAGGGGAAATTCGAGGGAGAGTTTGATTTTGCTTCCACCCCGGATGCTTTCCAGACGCCGGTGGTGGAGAAGAAGGCACAACAGCCGAAGGGGAAAGATGCTGGTGGGGGAAAGAAGAAGAAGGAGGAAGGCGGGAAGAAGAACAAGGATGGGGAAGGAGTGTTCAGGCAGCCACGAGATAGGGCTAGGAGGAAGACTGGGATGGGGAGCACCATGTAGACCGCCGGAACCCTTACGTTGCAATGTTCATGAGTCTTTATGAGAAAGTCACACACGGTCGTGAGCTATGAAGAGACAGCCTTGTTCGTTTCAAACCAGGTGAAAAAGAAAAAAATACAGACGAAAGACAAAAATGTGAGGCTTTTCTCATGGAGCGACACAATCAGGAATAGTCAACCCATCCTTCAAACGCTTATTGCTATCGAACAAACCCCAATGAGCCTCCACGCCACCGTACAGGGGATCCTTCCAAGGTTCGTCGAATGCTTCAAAGATGAAGCTCGCCTGTTGAGCGGTAGCGGTAAAGTTGGCATTGGACTGGCAGACGAAGTTGTGGAGGAACGTGTTGAGGTGGCCTACACCGGCGACGGCGGCTTGGTAGGTGGCGAGACGGGTTTCGTTGGCAGCTGTTGGCCAGCCTGCTTCCGCGACGTAAAGTGTAGGTTTGTTCGGAGCGAGTAGGGCGGTGGAAGGGGCGTTGGTGGAGGTGTACTCGTACACCCAACCAGCAGCCTGGTCGACGGGTAGACCGCCAAACCATGGGTGGACGTTGGCCATGATGTAATCGGCACCGGTGGCGAGCGTGGTTGTGATCATACTTCCAGCATCGGCGGTCCCTATGGGGATGTACTTGGGAAGACCGAGGGAGTTGATCGTTGTGTTGACGGTGGAGATGTACCCGAGAAGAGTGGTTTCGCTACCGCCGTTGAGCAGGAACTCGTTTCCGACAGTGATGCCGTCGATGTTGTCGACACCGTAGGTCTTGATCGCATCCACGACGTTATCGATCTGACGCTGCACCGTCGTTGCGTTGGTATCGATCCACACGGCGAGAAAAATCTTCATATCGACTTTCGTCTGTTTGATCGCCTCGAGTACGAGCTGGGACGTGTTGCAGTCGCTCCCGTACAGCCGAATGCGCGAAGTCAGCTGCGAGAGCAGCTGTATGTCCTCCGTGACGTTGGACTGCGTCGTCCCACACGCAGGGTATTGCGCGTGGAAGGGCGTATAGCAGATCCCGTACATGGAGCGGTGGAGCCGCGCATCTTTGGTGAAGATCGACGGGTCCGACGAATCCGAGCTCACCACTCCGGCGGTAGGTTTCCCCGCGCCAGTGTTGCCGGGGAGGAAAGACGGATCGTCGACGATGGTGGAATTGGTGTTGTGACGGGTGGAGAAGAAGATGATGATGGCGAAGATGACTGCGGCAGTGACGGAGCCTGCGATGATGAGGTGTTTGCGGTACCGTTGAGGTGGGATGAAGCGAGACCATTTCGAGGGAGGGGAAGGTGATACAGCGAAAACAGCCGAATCGGTCGCTGCGAATGCGGCGGATTTGCGTTGGATGTATCGCTCCCTCGTCTGGGCAAGCGACATCCTCGCGCCGTCGTGTTCGGCGTCATACAGCCCCCAAGCGTCGGTAGAGTCTCGATGGGAATAGTAGGTTGAAGCCGAGTCGAGGTCGTCGTACGGCGAAGGCTTGTTGTAGAGCGAATCGTGACTCGTGAAGGAGGGCATGTAGGTTCCTGCGTGCATGGATTCGGGAGCCGAGGGTAGCGTCGGGAGGTAGGGCGATTGGGAGAGGAGGAAGCCGGATGGTGCCGGGTGGAGTTCCTGCATCTCTGAATGGTGTGCAGGCGAGGTCGGGTAGGGAGAGAGCGAATGGGAGGTGGCGAGGTGGTGTGGTGCGGGTATAGGTTGGTCGTCGTAGTAGTCGACCGTGTCGACGTCGACGTTGTCTTCGTATGGGCTAGTGTGGTGGGAAGAGGATGCGGTCGGGGTGGAGAGCCGAGTGTCGCCGTATGGCGAGGACGCGGTATAGCGCGACTCCATCGTTGCAGAGGTGTCAGCTCTCAGGAAGAGTAGAGCAAGACGGAACGGTGATGGTGGTAGCCAGAGATGATGGAGCTCTCCGAAGCGCTTGTCGAGATCGACTGCGGAGAGGAAGGCAGCGCCCACAGATGCAGGTGGAGGGAATGCAGCAATTGATTCAACACCGACGTGGTGTGCGCACAGACGAAGAAGTTCGCAGCAATGAGGTCGGCTTGGCAGTAGCATCCAACAATCACCGTCGAAGCAGCGGAGCTGGATAGAATGCGACCCCTAAAATGTGGTGGGCTGCAGATCGGAAAATATACGCCGGTGGTACCATGGTGGGAGCTGTAGATGCTCCTCTAACTATTTCTGACGTGTTGGCCACCCCACCCTGGCGCACAGCTAGGGCATCTGTTGGCTCTTTCTCCATCCCTTTCATGAGATTCCTCTAGCCGCACCTGGAAGCATCGATGCTCTCACAGCCTTGCTCAAGCTCCGTGTAAATTGGCATCGCTGTGCTTCAACAAGTTGCCGGAGACGAGGACAACGCCAAGGCGGAGGAGGAGAAGGAGAGACAGGGGCCTCGCTGTGTTTGACAGCTTTCCAATCCGCCTCGACCTTCCTGTTTGGGAAGTTGCGCTGAGAATCTAGGCACAGAGCCCCTGAGCAGCCGCGGCGCCTTTTGATGAAATCAAGTAAAAATTGAACATTGTTTGTTGCGTCTCGTATCGTGATGAGCACCGTCACGTGGGTGAAGAGCAACAAAATTAAGTAAGCATGACTGGTTGCAGGTCGGGCGGGAAGAAATCAAAGATTGCTGCTCAGACGATGTGCATATTCTTCTCGTCCAGCTCAACAAAATTGCTTGTCTGACATCGATCATCACGAGCATCAGGGCCATCAGTCCCATCCGAACAGCGCATCATGCTTCGAGGACTCACAAAGCAATTGGCACGCACAGCGGCAGTGCGAGCCGCCGCACCCGAGTCATCCATATGTCGACAGCAACGGCTGCAACCCTCGACCTCTCTTCTGCGCACCTTTGCGACATCATCTCGCGCGCTCAACAGCGAAAATGACAAGTCGGCATCAACACAGCAGCTCGAGTCGCAAGCTTCAGGACAACCCACCACGGATCCAACAGTAGCGGGAAGCAGCAACGTTTCGGACGCTCTTCAGAGGGAGCTTGCCTCTGCGCCGGACGCTAATGTCGATGCCGATGCTGCGACCTCATCGACCGCGTCTGGCGGTAGGCAAGCGGCATCAACCAACCTCGACGATATTCTCGGCTCCGTCTCTGCCGTTTCTGCACTCCCTGGCTCCGAAGCAGCTGCCGACGAATCCGCTTCTTCCTTCCGGGATCGAGCCTCTCCACTCATCCGCGGCGCCTCCGCCTCCCGCTACTCACCCACCCTCTTCTCCTCCAGCTCCGCCCAACCGCACCGACTCTTCGTCAACTCTTCGCGCAACAACACCATCCTCACACTCACCTCCCCCTCTGGCGACCCGCTCGCCTCCGCGTCCGGTGGCAGCGTTGGGTTCAAGAAGTCCGCCCGATCCGGCTACGAAGCAGGGTACCGTGCTGCCTTCGCCATGTTCGGCAAGATTAATGAGTTCAAGGACGCTTGGAGGATTCAGCATTTGGAGGTGCTGTGGAACGGCTTTGGTCAGGGGAGAGAGGCTGTTTTCAGAGCGTTGTTGGCGGGAGAGGGTCAGGGGACGAAGAATCTGATTAGCAAGATGACGGACAAGACGCCGGTCAAGATCGGTGGTGTCAGGCCCAAGAAGCGCAGGATGTTGTGAGATGTTTCGGTGCTATTTGTAAGAAGAAGGGCCTGCTGTCGCAACTGTGATGAACACTTTTTGGATGGAGCTCAACCGCAAACAAGACACCCTGCCACTGGACAGACACCGCACCTCTTTTTGTACTTTTACTGCTTTGCGATGCCATCACATAAAACATTCCTCGTCGCATGTTTCGATCCCTGGTGTCCAGATTGTTGACAGTAGTAGGCCACCGAGACAAGTTGACATTCGCTGCGGACCCATCTACGAAGAAGCAACTTGTCCTCGAAAAAGAGCATCGGGCCAACTCCGACCCCCCGATTCCCACGCAGGCGCACAAGCCACATTTCGCCTCCTCTCCTCCACAACTCCTCCTCCTCCTCCTTCTCTTCCATCTCGCCTGCCCTCTTGCGACCTCTCTTCTCCACTCCTCGCCCTTTTCCAGCATGTCGGATCTCTATCCAGTTCCGCTCGGCATAGCCGCCTACCTCGGCTACTCTGGCTACCGCAAAGGATCGCTCTCGCTTTCCGGCGCGGTCACAGCCTCGCTCGTCGGATACGCGACCATGGCCAACCCTTTCGTCGGATACGGTCTCACGCTCATCACCTTCTACCTCGTCGGCTCGAAAGCGACCAAATTCAAAGCATCCGTCAAAGCAAAACTCGAAACTCACTCTCCCCCCGATTCTCCGTCTCCGCAGAAACAGAGGGATACGTCGTTGGGAAATAGAACGGCTGTTCAGGTGTTGTGTAATAGCGCGACGGCTGTTGCCGCGTGTATTGCGGTCAGGGTGCTGAGTCGGGGGCAGGTGGATCCGTTGGGGACGAGAAGCTTGAGCGAGGTGGAGGTGGGAGGATGGAGGTGGGGCGTGACGAGTTTGGGATTGACGTTGGTGGTTGCGGGACACTATGCCGCTTGTATGGGTGATACGCTTGCTTCCGAGCTGGGAATCTTGTCCAAGACGCAACCGAGACTCGTCACCAACCCATTCCGCAAGGTGCCACCGGGGACAAACGGTGGTGTGTCGCCACTTGGCCTGACCGTCTCTGCACTCGGTGGGACGCTGATCGGCGTCATCACCTCGATCTCGCTTCTCATCCACTATCGCTTTTCCCCTCCCTCCTTCTCCACCGCTCCGACGCTGCAAACACACGTCAAACTCATCTCCCTCCTCACAGCATCCGGTCTCTTCGGCTCTTTACTGGATAGCATCCTCGGCGCAACGCTCCAACAGACACTCTACAACAAATCCAGCAAGAAGATCCTCATCGGTCAAATCACCGACGTCCTCGACGCCAAGAAACAGGACGACCCCAACGCAGCGTGGGAAAAGGTCACAGGCTGGAACGTATTGGACAATAACGCGGTCAACTTTGTCGCTTCTGCTCTGACCGCCGTCATGACCGTTTGGGTCGGCAGCAAGGTATTCTAGATTCGAATATGATTACAGACCCAGAAGGATGGTGACTTCTTCGGGTGTACGTTTGATCAGCTGATCCGTGTTTTCATATCCGTTTGCGGGAGATTGGATCGAGTCAACCAAGCGAGCGTAGGACTGGGTGAGTTGTTGCAGTGCTGTACTGTGGACTGTCTGTCTCGCTGTTGAGCTGGCGAGCCGCTCCAATCCTTTCGGCGACAGCAGGTCGTCCTGCGTCAGCTGGTCCAACTTAGCCAACGCCTGAGCTATTTCCGACTGCTTTGCTCCCGCCACTTTCGACAGTTCACCGGCTCCATCGGCTCCCTTCTCCATCGCTGCTAGCACGGCCGACAATCCGGCCCTATCCACAACCTGCTGCGAATGCAACTGCGTCACCTCCGCCAACGTTGCTTCCAGTGTCGCTCGAATCTGCGCCAACTTCCACTGTGCAAACGAATGCGCATCCAGGGTCGATGACAAGGCCTCCAGACAGTTGCACGTGAACAGCAGAGATTCCCATTTGGCCGTCGCTTCGGTCCGCGAACGAGGTCGTTTCGAAATGTGAAGTGCCACCATACGATGCACCATGTCCAGCAGCGGGTTGACGAGTTTGATGAGCACAAAGTCAAAGTTGGAGAGGCATGCGGTGATCGACTCTTCCGACGGCGGCGCTGTGGTGAGCTCTTTCGAGGTGCTGAAGGCCGAGTCTTCGGTGAGCGACCGTGAGAACTCGCCGATGAGCTCTTTGAGTGTTCCGACAGTAGCCACAAGCGGTGGTGGCAAGCTGAGATCGGGTTCGGGAGTGCCGTCGTAGCGTTCGATGCCTCGGCTCTGACGTTCCACCGTGTCGGCAAACGCGCTCACCGCTAGATCCGACAGCTCGCCCAACGTCCGACTCAAGGAAGCGCGTGAGCCGATCGTCTTTTCCATCGTCGAGCGGTAGAACTGCACCAGATGTGCGAGCCGGTACGATGTGACGCTGCCTTCTTGTGATCGCAGCGTCTGCTGTATACGAAGCCGCAGCGGTCGGCAGCATCCATCGAGGTTCGAGTTGAGCACCTCGCGCACCAACGCCTCGCCCGGTCCCAACCTCAGCGAATCCGGATCCGAGCCCGTAAGATCCAGCGAGCCTTCCAATCCACGTCGACGTTGACCTATGCGTCGGCCTCCTTCGCCCTCCTTTTCGTCGAACAGCGCGGTCAGGAATTCGCGTTCAGAGGCAACGGTCTGGTGGATCCACGCGAGCATGTCGCCGACGTATCGAATTGGGTCGTGGGCGTGCAGCTCGATCGGACCGGGCAGGTAGGTAGGTGGACCTGCGCCCATTGTGAGTGCGGACATGAAGGCGTTGGCGAGGATGGAGCTGCGTGTTTGGACGAGCGTGGCGAGTGCCGAGCGGAGCAGATCTTGACGTGCGTGCTTGAGTCGCCGTGTGGCTTGACGAAGACTGGGTGAGACTTCCAGGCCTTCCTTGACTGGTTGACGGAACTCGAACGAACACCACTTGTACAGCTTCTGGTACGCCTGGTCGAGGTCTTGGGATGTGGACGACATGATGTCCATGCCTGCGCGCGTGCCTCCGCCAGCGTTTGCGACGGCAGAACTCGAGCTGGACGCGGGATGGCTGGACGCCAGCGACTCTGACCCCTGCAGAAGAATCTGACACTCGCTTCGGATGCGTTCGAGCTTGTCCATGGCTTGGAAGAGGTCGTTACCGACGCGAACCTCCCTCGAGTAGATCGAAGCGCGCTCCGCTTCGGACAGCGTGAAGCGCGACAGGAAAAGCTTGGCCACTTGCACCTGGGTGAGTGCGGCGGCTCTCTGACGTTCGAGACCTTCGGCGTGCTCGACGAGGTAGCGACTGGATTCTTCGGCCGCACGGAGCTTGTCTTGGACGGCGTCGCACGAGGCGTGCATGGCAGCGACGTCATCAGAGAGTCGGACGAGACCGTTGTCTACGGTTTGCAGGACGGCGATGATGTTGTCGGTGGCGCTGAGCATGCGCTGGCGGATGTCCTTATCGAGATCGCGTCTGGCTCGCGCGGTGTCTACTAGTTGAAGCTGTTCTGTAGTGGAGGTTGTTGTCGCCTTGCCGTTTAGCGTGGCATGCTTGCTGTGGACCTTGTCGGCAGGTGTGTCGGTGTTGGCACCATCTTGAGTTGGTGCGGCAGGATACATTTTGGCCAGCATTTGGAGCGCTTCGCTGATATCGTTCGACTCGCGAGGTGCTTGCAGCAGGACGGAGCGCACTCTTGCTGCGAGCGGCCGCGAAGCCGCATGTGTGGAGGAGGAGCCTGCATCATCCGATGTGTTTGCCGAGAATCTTGACGGCCCGGGGTAAGACAAGCCTTCGCCCGACTGTACCGCAGCCATCCTACCGTCGCCGTCCGGAGCGTAGTGGTAGGCAACCGATGTGGGGATTTGTGTGCGAGAGTTGGTGTTGGGAGTCAGGAAAGTCAGAAGACGCTTCGTCGTTCAGGGTCCTCGATTCAGCGCCGTGTGGCCTGTGCTGGCCAATTGCGAATCGGGACACGATTTCGATTTCGTGCAGATGCACTGATATACTTCTGTTAGAGCGGGAATGGCGGCGAGAAATAGGAAGACAGGCAAATTAGCGCAGCTCGGAGCTTCCTTGGATCATTCTTGCCGCTGCTCTCACTCGTCGTCGATGATTGATTGGATCCACCACATCGACGTCAGGGTCCATCATTGACTGATTGATCACGCCATCGTTCGGTTCGTAGCACCGCGTGGCAACGACAAAGCTCGAGGAGAAATTGCGATTGACCAATAGAGTTGCATAAGGAGATGGTGATCTAGTCTATGATCATGGTTGCATGTTTCAGACATCGACGCGCGACGTGAAATCACGCATCGGACAATGCGGTAGCGACCAATCAAACCGCGCTCAAATGCAACACGGATAGCGGAGCCAGACCCGTCTTGCAAGACCGGTCCATGCGAAAAGACACCGTGCGTTCCTGAAAGTGGGAGAACGCGGGTCGGGTTCTCTCGGAGTGCGTGACACCGGAGTGAGTGACACAGCAAAGCGCGCAGAGGCGGGTCGGTCGTGCGATTGTCCAAACACTTCTCCTTGGCCGGGAAACAGACCGGATAGCTGATTCGTCTGTTCTTCCCAGCAACGATCAATGTCGTTTTCCCTCGCGCAATACTTGTACAGATCAGACTTCGGTGCTTCAACTCACCTCTCTTCGTTGTGTCATGTCCTGGCGGCACATGACATTTTCAGCAGCCCAGCTTTCTCGCACTTGAAGGAAGATTGGGAAGCAGTGACAATCTCTGTCCTCCGTGTTGTATGCGGTCGTGGCGGTTACCAGAAACAGCGCGTCGGAACAGGGTGGCTTGAGAGAAACGGCGGATTGACCGACGCAGGAATTCGAAATTGCAAAAAGGGAAGAAATTTTGGCAACTGCACCCCGTCAGTCTCGTGCGCTGACGAACGGTTTTCAAAAAGTTCGGAAAATTTCCTGCAAGCACGCTGCAGGAAAAGAACTGCAGCCTTGAACGGCAAATCTCGCAGGCCGCAGACACCGTTGCAGACGGGCGCATCTGCGTCCAAGCGCTCAGCCTTGTCCGCCACGCAAAGGACGTTGGTGCTCGTTGGTGTTCAGGGAGTGGTCGACGCGCTCATTGGGGTAAGTTAGACCTTCCACTGCTGTGAGCTAGAAGGTGGTCGACTCTGTTTGGACGTACTAAAGTCAGGCTCAGGACTGAAGACGGCTTTCGCTTTCGATGCCGCAATCGAATCGGCGGTTGAGGAAAGGAAGGCGCGTTCGGTCTACTGGAGCGGAGCAGCGGAGGTGCGGAATTTCAAAGGACTAGCTGCATGGACCTTCGGAACACTGTGATGCGAACCTGAGGCTTGGCGGATGCGCTGTAGGGGCATCACCTCGATTTCCGCCGCTGGCAGACGAGACCAAAACGACAAAAGAAGCGAGCTGGGTAATTTCTATAGGCGAGTTTCTTGGCGTGGTTGCTTCACCGCTCTCTCGCCTCCGAACAGCCGTTTGTTTCTGCTGCGTTGAAATGAACTTCAGTCTCACCGTTGTTTCGGTTCAAAGGCCGACAGCCGTTGCTCAGCCTCGTCTTCTGGCTTTCATTGGCTTACGAGGTCGACGCACCTCACACGACTCGAGCGTGTTGAGCGTGTCGGACATTAGAGTTGTGCCAGCAATCGTGTTCCGAGAACAGCCGGTGCTGATGTTGAACGAGAAGCAGTGAAGGGTTGGCCAAATGATCAGCACCGACTGGGTTTGTAAAAGTCGACAACGAGGCAATAGGAAGGCTTCGGCTGTGGCTTGATCTCGCATCCGAGAGTCTCCTTCGGACCATCCGACAATACCGAAGCTTGAACGATAGCGGGGTCACAAGTCGCGATAGAGGATTGCTTCGCTTACGAGTGTCCTTGTGGACATACAGCAGATAAGGAAGGATGCGGGGCACAGCGTCCACGCACTGATGAAGCAGCCGAATCGGTTCCAGGAACCAACGCGAACGCGGAGCTCAGAATACTGTGTAGGTCTGGATAATATGCGTCGCACAGCATCTCTGGCTGGGAGCAGGAGAAAGGCGCATTTCCCCATGTTGCATAACGCCTGGCTTGGGTGACGCCGGGCAGGTGCGCTCCGATCTCGATACGGTCCCGCACACTACACCCAAATGCTGTAAGCCACGCACACTCCAATGGTCCAATGCATCAATCAGGCAAGGAGGCAAGTAGAGGTTCGATGTAGGTGGTCACCCGTCTGGGCGAATGGGGCTCCCTTGAGTATTCGACAATTACAGAGACCGGCGGCGACCAGCAAGAGCGGCACTTACCGACGCCGACGATTGAGATTGTCTGCCTACGAGCTCAGCGAATGATCTCTGGTTCTTCTAGAGGACGACCGGTGTTCTTTTGATCATTCAACGCATGGACGATCAACTCACCACAGGGCGGAATCCCGAGTGCACACGGCCTCGATGAGGGATTTTTTTTTCTCGAAAGATATTGATAAATTGCAGAACTCATGGGACTTGCCAAGAAAAAACACAGGCGGAGTGCACCTGTCAAGCTGCCACATGCAGTAACACAGACGTCCAAAAAAGTTCGAGCTTCCTTCTTTGTCGGGCTCGCTTGCGCCTCTTGCACAATGCCAACTAGGATTCATTGCCTCTTGGTGTGCCCCAGTGCAGAGGTGCGCCTTATCGGCGTAGACCGAAGTCCAGGTTCCTTGCTGCCAAACACACCATCAAGCGAGCTACAGAACAGTGTGGTTCGCCCCCGTGAGAGAGGCGAATTTAGGCTTTTGCTCGAACGCCACTCTTATCGAGGAGTGTCAGCAGTCGGATCCAAACCGCTTCTCTCGCTCTCGTGGGTCATTGGACCTGCATCGCAGCGCAGCCCAGAGCTTCGGGTGTGGGTTGACTGTCACCCGACAGTCGTTCGAGGAGGCGCAACTGAACAGAGGGATGAACCGCGATTGGCCGCTCTGAACGCGCAATATCCACCCAATCTCCGTCTGCCTCGGTCGCTTGACCAATCATCGTGTGTGCGCTGCCCCCCTTTTCATCTTTGCTCCGCCTTCATCTCGTTGGTCCGGTATAAAGAGCATCCGTCGGGTCGGAAGTGTCTTCCTTCCTTCTCCTCCATCATCACCCAAAACACCCCTTCCCCCTTTTCCCCTTCTCTAGTCGTCGGCCATCATGCCTCTCGACATCCAGGACAACGCCATCGCTGGCCACGCCGAGGCTCAGCGCGACGTCTACGTCGCCGACGTCAAGGCTCACGGTGGCAAGGAAGAGGCTCACCCTGTCGCCCACCTCGAGTCCGGCGTTCGCGTCAAGCCTGACGTCTCGGATGACGACTTTGTCGCTCCCACCGAAGAGGACCTCGCTACCCTGCGACGTGTCCCCGAGAAGCTTCCCTGGACCACCTACGCCATCGCCTTCTGCGAGTTGGCCGAGCGTTTCTCCTACTACGGATGCATCCAGGTCTTCCAAAACTTCATCCAGCAGCCGCGCCCCTCCAACAGCCGCGCTGGTGCCGGTGGTGCCGATAACCAGTCCGGTGCCCTCGGTCAAGGTCAGCAGGCCGCCACTGGCCTGACCACCTTCAACACCTTCTGGGTCTACTGCATGCCCATCCTCGGTGCCTATCTCGCCGATACTCGCTGGGGCCGTTTCAAGACCATTTGCATCGCCGTTTTCATCGCCATGGTCGGTCACATCCTCCTCATCATCTCTTCTGTCCCTACCGTTCTCGACAATTCCAATGGTGCCATGGCTTGCTTCGTCATTGCCATCATCGTCATGGGAGTCGGAACTGGTTGGTTCAAATCGACGATCAGCCCTCTCATCGCCGAACAGGTTAACGGTTCGAAGCAGTCGGTTCAGACGCTCAAGACCGGCGAGCGTGTCATTGTCGACCCTATCTTGACCATCAGCCGAATCTTCATGTACTTCTACCTCTTCATCAACATTGGTGCGCTTGGTGGTCAGCTCGGCATGTCCTTCTCGGAGAAGTACGTTGGATTCTGGCTCGCCTACACTCTGCCCACCATTGTCTTTGCTCTCTGCATCCCCGTTCTCGCCTTTGGCAGCAAGTACTACGTCAAGACGCCTCCCTCGGGCTCGGTCCTTTCCGAGTGCCTGCGCCTCTGGGCCTTCGCTACCAAGGGTCGCTGGACGCTTAACCCCATTAAGCTTGTCAAGAACATGCGTGCTGACGACTTCTGGGAGAACGCCAAGCCTTCCAAGCAGACCGCCGAGACCAAACCGCGCTGGATGACCTTCGATGACGCCTGGGTCGACGAGGTGCGACGTGGATTCAAGGCCTGCACCGTCTTCCTCTGGTTCCCCCTCTACTGGCTCACCTACAACCAGATCACCAACAACCTCGTCTCGCAGGCTGCCACCATGGAGGTTCACGGTCTCCCCAACGAGGTCGTCTCCAACCTGGACCCCTTCGTTCTCGTCATCCTTATCCCCATCTTTGATCTGTTCCTCTACCCTGCTCTCCGCAAGGCCGGCATCAACTTCACTCCGCTCAAGAAGATTGCCCTTGGTTTCTTGACCGGTGCCCTTGCCATGGTCTGGGCTGCTGTCGTCCAGCACTACATCTACAAGACCTCGCAGTGCGGCAAGAACGCCTCGACGTGTTACGACATCAACGGCGACGGATTCGCCGACCCTGGTGCCGATGGATCCGAGGCCACCGCCGTCTACATCCCCGCTCCACTCAACGTGTGGATCCAGTCCGGCTCGTACATCCTCATCGCCGTCTCTGAAATCTTGGCCTCGATCACTGGTCTCGAGTACGCCTTCTCCAAGGCTCCCAAGTCGATGCGTTCGCTCGTCATGTCCATGTTCCTCTTCACCTCGGCCATCTCTGCCGCCCTTCAGCAGGCCTTCATCTCGCTCTCGGGCGACCCCAACCTGGTCTGGTCCTACACCGTCTTTGGCTGCCTCGCCTTTGCCGGTTTCATCGGCTTCTCCATCTCGTTCAGGAAGCTCGACTCGCAGGAGGACAGCCTCAACCAGCTCGACGCCGGAAAGGTCAACGCTGCCGAGAGCGCCATTTCGTCCGAGCCTGGTCACGCCGAAAAGTCGCTTGCTCCTTAAGAGTTGTAGCCCTCTGATTGCAACCTTGTATTCTGTACTTTACACCTTCACATTGCTCATGTTTCTTCCATCTTGTCACACTGGGTTTTGAATCGGATATACCTCTTTCACCTCCAATTTGTGTTCTGTGGCAGCAAGTGTTTTCCCATGAGGTCGAAATCGAAGTCCATCCAGCGTGTCACACTTTCATCCGATGTGTTGAAACTGCAATCTGACCTTCGATTGTATGAGTGCGAAGCTGCTAATGATGGTGATGATGATGGTGAGAGTGTCGATGCGCAGTGACGGGGGACAACCTTTGCGCACCGCTATTGCCACGCACCGCTGTCGGACTTGCGTCGTACATGCTGCTGTAAGAGGGCGAAGCCGACATGGGGGTACCTGTCATTCCCGCGTTCGAGGGCGAATCGCTTCCAGCGACCTTTTCCAGCTGTACCGCGACACTTTCCAGGCCGTGTATGCGTGATTTGAGCAGGTTCTCGATCTTTCTCCCGATGGCTTCTGGTGTTGTGGCTGAGGAGAGGGATGCTGCTGTGCCGTTGCTTTGTTCGCTGGCGTGGTCGTGGCGATGACCGTGGTCGTGGCTGTGATCGTGGCTGTGATCATGCACGTGTCCGTGGGTGTGATCATGGCTGTGATCGTGATCGTGATGATGAGCTCCATGTTCACCATCCGTAGCGATGGGCCACATGACCTGCACACGAATCACCCCTACCAACGTCTCGGCATCCTTCGGCCAAAACCGCGGCGAGTGGTACGACACAACTCCCTCGATGCTGCGCAGCGCATCCAACGCCTCGGTCATCTCTGTCTCGCGATGCTCACCCACTTCCAGGCAAAGGATCCTACCCGACTCGAGCACCAACGGAATCACCGAGCCGACAATCATAAACGCAATGAAGAGCGATGCGATGGGGTCGAACCCGGTCCATCCAAACTGCCCGATGAGCAAGGTGCTGATGATGACGCCGACGGAACCGAGCGTGTCGGCCATGACGTGCAGGTAGACGCCCATCATGTTGTGCGAGTGTCCATGCCCGTGGTCGTGACCGTGCCCGTGCCCGTGATCATGGCCGTGACCGTGAGAGTGACCGTGGCCATGATGATGATGCCCACCCGTCGCCCACATCCCGAACAGATTGACACCAAGCCCCATACTGCTGACGATAAGCAACTGGGTATTGTTGTGCATCACCGGCGGCTCAATGATCCGCTGTACGGCCTCAAAGACAATGAAGATCGAGATGAGGATGAGAAAGATGCCGTTGGCAAACCCGCTGAGCGTCTCGACCCTGCCGTAGCCGTAGGTGAACGTCGAGTCGGTTGGCCAGGTAGCCATTACGCTGGCAAATAAGCCCATGCCGATGGCAGCGCAGTCGAAAAACATGTGGATGGCGTCACTGATGAGACCGAGACTGTTGGTCCACACTCCCCACAGCAGCTGCACACCCATGAAAGCGAGGTTGAGCAGGAGAAATTGGAAGATCTTGCGCGAGTCTGGGTTGGCCATAATGATCTTGACGGTGCGCCTCGAGGCGGCAACGCCCGACTTGAAAGAGTCTACGAGTTCCTGTATGGCAGAGACATCTGAGGAAGGGGCAGTCGCTACGCTTCCATGCGGTGTATCTGCTTTGCTCGGTGAAGACGAGCTGAAGCGAGACGAAATGTGATCGGGCGAGTTCTTGAGGATGGTACGAAGGGCTTGACCGACGAGCAGAGCGACGGCGAGCTGCGACCAGAGCGGCTTGAAGCCGAAGCCGACAAAGCCAATGGCAAAAGAGGCGAGGATGGCGATGGGCCAGCCATGTGCCACGCGATCCTTGGTGGAAGCATGAGACTCGATAGAGGTGGCGATGAGCGGCTCGAGGATGAGGAAGCCAAAGCTGATGGCAAGGTACGCAGGCAGGTGGCTCAAACTTGCAGAGCCAGCGCTGGTTGAAGAGGAAGGGATAAGTGTTGAGAGGGGCGGGAAAGTCGAGAAGCCGAAGACGCGAAGGAACAGCGATGCGGGCAGCGTGAATGCGGAAGCGACGATGGTGGCCACGATGCCTGCTCTGCGTCGACCGCCAGTGTCTCTGCTTGCGCTCAAAAGCGCGCTCTCCCTTTCTATCGTAAGAAGCGCAAAGATGAGGAGGTAGATGTGACCTGTGAGAGTGCCGAACACGCTGAAATTGGCTGCCGAGGCGTCAACGGCGGCTGAGACAGCACGAAGCTGGGACGGCGATGCAAGTCCTGCTGGTCGATTCCTCCTCAGGCTGTCCGGCAGGTCGGCGTCTGCATACATATCGAGAAGGTGAGCCGAGTATTCGGTGGATGCGGACATCGGTGAAGCAGCGTTGGAGATGGAAGAAAGGAACGAGACGGCGAGAGCAAAGAGGGTGGTGTAGCCGCCGTAGCTACGACCTCCGAGGCTCTTTGCGAGGTCGACGGCCCAAATCTCGCAGTACTGAGTAAAGATGATGACGTTGACCGCATCGAGCTTTCGCAAAGCCATGAGCCAGACGAGCAGCTGCGCAAATGTGATGGCAGCCAGTGTGCAGAGTCTGCGCTTGTCGACTCGTTTGACGGCTGGTAACCACTGCCACGCTTTGAACCATATCGCCTGTACAACAGCGGCGATGAGGAAGGCGAAGGTGGCTATAGCCCAAGAAGTGGTGCCGCTCGAGACGCTGCCTGTTGATGAGGCTGTATTATCATCGACCGAAGATAGCTGCGAGTGTATTGATTCGCGATGCGAAGATGTGAGCCATGTGCGTAAGAGCAAAGCTGCCGAGGCAAGGAGGGTCTTGTTGAGGAGCAGTCCTAGTAAAAGGTCCGTCGGGATGGGAAAGCCAAGCATGGAGGATGAAGAGCTATGCGAGACAGAGCTGGAGGCATGCGATGGCGATGTGACGGCGTCCATGCGCACCTTTGCGCGTGTGCGCGAGTCGGGTGTGCTGGGTGCGTATGCGGACGACTGCATGTTGGCGAAGGTGTCGAGCTGGGACCAGCCCAGACTTCGATTACTGCGCGTAGGAACCAAGCCAGAGTTTGATTCGATACGACAAAGACAGGAGGAGGTGGTGGTTGCGATGAAAGAGGTGACCGTGTCCAAGTCGGTGTGCGAAGTGTTACTTTCGGAGGCTCCGTGCGTTGAGAACATGCCAAGACGAGCAAGAAGCCCAACCGCCAAAGTCATTTTGACGCTCAGCGCGTGCATGCTCAACTGGAAGGGTCGTGTCTCTCTTTGGGGTTTTTGGAGTGGGAGGCAGTTTCACGGATGTAACACACACTGGAAAAAGTCCCGGCTTCGGCTGTGCCGCGGGGCTGCGCTGCGCCGTTACGGGCCGACGTCATCCCGCACTGCAGGGGCCATCTGCGGATGATGAGGTGGAGCAGCCTTTGCTTGCTTGTCGATAAACCACCATCTACAATACCGCTCAACAGCCCTCGCAATCTAGAAGCGAGAAGTGCTCTTGTCGCACACGGACCATACGTCAAACACTCGCGTCTTTAGAGGATCGCTCGACGTTGGTTATGTCGAACCAATACTCATACTCTGGAGGGGGAGGTGGCTACGGCGCGCCTCCTCCCGGTCAGCAGGGCGGCTACGGACAGCAGCAGCAGCCATACGGTGGTGGTCCTGGAGGAGGCTACGGCGCACCCCCTCCCCAGCAGCAGCACGCTGGCTATGGCGGTGGATATGGCGGTGCTCCTCCTCCCGGACAGCAGCAGTCCGGATACGGTGCGCCTCCTCCCGGCCAACAGCAAGGAGGTTACGGTGGCGCAGGCCAGCAGTCGTCTTACGGAGCGCCGCCTCAGGGCTACGGTAGACCACAGGCTTTCAACGCCTCCACAGGCCCTCCCCCGGGAGCCGATCCGCAGCTGTGGCAGTGGTTCATCGCCGTCGACCGCGATCGCAGTGGCCAGATCAATGCGCAAGAACTCAGCCAGGCACTCGTTAATGGAGACTGGACTCCCTTCGACCTGGATACGGTCAAGATGCTCATGAGCGTCTTCGACGTCGATCGCAGCGGCCAGATCAGCTTCAACGAGTTTGCTGGGTTGTGGAAGTACATTCAAGACTGGCAAGGCGTCTTCCGACACTTTGACCAAGACCGTTCGGGCTCCATCGACCAGAATGAGCTCGCCAACGCGTTGCAATCGTTCGGATATCGCCTATCGCCTAAACTGCTTCACATCGTCACCCAGAAATACAGTAAGTGTGTCGCGCGCACGCCCGAGAACTTCAGGCTCGATCGCTAGACTGACGACTCTCTGTACTAACACCCCCTTCAGTCACTTCTGACGCTGCAGGTGGCATGCCTTCAAACGGACCAGCGAGAGCCACGCCAGGCATCACTTTCGACCGCTTCGTACGTGCATGCGTCGTCATCAAGACGCTCACTGAGTCCTTCCAACGCCACGACAACAACCGTTCCGGCTGGGTCCAAATCAACTACGACACTTTCATGGAGATGTGCCTCTCTGCGCCCTAAACTGTATCAGGAGCCTAACATCTTGTATCCGTCTTCCAAAGTCTCTTGCTTTATCTCTGTAGCCTCTTTTCTGTAAAAGCTGTACTCTTGTCGTAATCATCAAAGTCTGATGCTAGCCTTATTCGTCCTGGCTCGTGTCCACTCAACAACAACCAAGGTCCTGGCGCAGGAAGTTTGTGGACCCCTTTTTGTTACCGCAATTTCCCATTCATTTTTCTCGGGTTTTGGTTTGTGGATCTATGTTGGCCTCGTCAGAGGCATCAGCAAGCGAAGGTTAACCGTCGAGACCGTTGTTGAAGCTTGTTCATGTTCGCCAAGGGCATCCGTGCCAAGTGCGGCTCAGCAAGCAGAGATCCAAAACACAGACATAGACCGCTCATCGCTCATTGCTCAGGGCCGGAGAGTCGTGGCATCGTCCGTGACAGAACCGAACGAACGAACCAAGAGCGAGAGCTGTGTATGGCGGAATATGAGTTTGCAGTCCAAATTTCGAAAACACTGTGCAGCCTGTCAGCGGAGCATTGCCGAAACACTTGCGAAATATGACTGTGCTTGTCGGAAGAACCCTTTCGCTGAACCTGCTCATCCTTGCAAAGGCTTGAGATACTGAATCCATCAGCTCGACTCAGCCGCACGCCATCCTTCACACCACGACATCACCACCTCTATTTGCCCAGCGATTCCATCGGAAGAGCCGTGACAGCCAACGGCTCTGACGACCTGACTCGCGCTTTTAGGGTCTTTCGGCATCACCCGCGACGGATCAAGTTGGCTCACTCATCCGACTGTCCCGCGTCGACGGCATCCTCCGATACCTCGACCGTTCCCTTTGCTCCCTTCACTTCAGCGCCATTCCGACGACGAAAGCGAAGCCTTGATGCCCTCCCATTGATCGGTCAGCAGCGAGCTGCTCTCGCTCTCGCCGGCAGGGCTTGACGCCAAAGCTGCTCATCCAGCATACCTCGGCCGGCTCGCTCTCACTACAGCATTCAGCATTGCTTGGCTCATCATGGCAGTTGGACTGTTCGCCTCGCTCTTCGCAGCGTCACCCACAAGCTCGAGCTCAGAACCATCCGTGCCGAGTAGAGCGTCCCATCTCGCAGTGTCAGACTCTGACGCAACTAGCGACGAGATCGAGCAATGCAGCCCAGTCACCTCCCAAAACGATGTGGTCATAACCGATGCAGAGCCGATGGACGCGACATCAACATCGGCAGCAATGACGGTCGTGACAAACACCAAGGAGGCGCAGGACGTGGCGGACGTGGATATGCAGCTCTCATCTCCTCCTAGCTCGCCTCCGCCAACGGCGCCCTCTACCCCGCAACACCGATCACCTGCAACCTTCTCTGCGGTGCGAACCGTCAAGACGGAGGCGTCCTCGTCCTCGTCCAGCTCAGCACAGACAGCATCCTCAAATTCGCCTGACACCGCTTTAGCATCGGAGTCCTCTCTTGCAGCTGGGCGTCCAGGCCCCAGCTCAACACCGATGGTGCAACGCGCTTTGCGCCGACGAACCATGCCGGCACGCCTCTCTCAAGTCTCGTCGCTTCTCGCCGGATCCATGCTCGAGGAGGAACTCATGCTTCTCGAACCGCCATCTTCGCCGTCCGCATCCAGCTTCCATCACAACAGCACTACCGGCTCGACCAGCAAGCTCGATGGCGCGGTACCTTCGGTGCCAACCGGAAGGCAAGGTCCCGACTCTTCATCAGAGGCAGGCATCTTGACATCTTCGTCCCTTGTCGTCCTTACCTCCGACTCGCGGATCCTCGCGCGTGCCATCTTTCCTAACGCGCCATCTTTGCCCGCAGACACGATCGTAGTCAAGGCTGAACACGACGACAGCGACCTCGCGCTTTCAGCACCGACGAAGTCGGGAGACCTGGCCTGGTCCCTCCGACCCGTACCGCCATCCTCGTTTGCATCGCTTGTGTCGACTCTCGCCATCAAGCGGCAGCAGCTCATCGAGACGCCGGATTTCAAGCAACGAGACGACACGCTCTATATGCCTAAAACTCGCGGTCTCCGTTCCGAAGCCGCTGAAGATACTTCGGATGCCGCCTACGAGCGCAGACACCGCAAGCCGGAGACGGCCGAAAAACGACAGAGAAAAGCAGAGGTGGATCGCCTCTCTAAGGACAGACTGAAGCTTCTGACGCGCATCGACCAGATCAAGACGGCCGAGGCTCGTTTGCTTCAATCCATCGTTGTCGCTCGAGATCAGGTCCGGTCTGAAGCTAACGGCCAAGCAGAGGCTTCTTTGTCAGAACCGAACAGCAGACCTCTGAGTAAGCGCATTGAAGACGTCCGAAAGGAACTTCTTGATGATGCCTACGAAACGTTGAAGCGCTATGATCTGCTATTGTCGACCACTAGCGACGCCAAGCTCGCCTCGCCCGGACCGGCAGCGTTGTCGAGTAGGACTGAGTCGGCTACAGCGGCTGACGACGTCTCGCGCAGCGAATCGCCCAGGCTCAAGATCCGCATCAAGGGCGGTCGCGCCACCTGGGAGACGGCGGACAGCGCCAGTCCCACAGCCAAGCAGCCGCCAGCGTCGCACGAGAAGAGCGATCCTTCGAGAAGGGTCAGTGCTCGTCAGCCTAAGCACAGGGTCGAGAGCCTGCCAACACCTCTGACATCGGCTGCTGTGGACGCGGCCGAGCATGATCGGCGCAAGCGACGCCGATCTTCAGGCGCGAACGACCAAGAGGCTAGCGCTGCTGGAAGAAGGTCATCTGCATTCCAGGCCGACGATACGCCAGCGAAAGGAATGCGTAGACGCGGCAGCCCTGAGGTGGGGGGCACTTACAAAGGCAAAGCTATTGACAAGGAGCAAGACGGAGAAAGTACATCTTCGAGACGGCCGCAGCGCGCTGCTGCCGCTGCCGCTGCAGTAGCTTCCGCTCGACAAGGCCGGTACGCCGAAAGATCGTTCTCGGACTTTGACTACGACGATGAGGACGAAGACGAGCAAGTTGAATCCGTGCTGAATGGCAGGCACAATACGTCCCCTCGACGAGCAAGCCACAGCATACGACGATCATCGGTGAAGTCACGCGAACAGAGATCTCCCTCTGCCTCTTCGACGACGTCTTCGGTATCGTCCCTCGCGTCTTCGATCGGCTACATGTATCCTACCGTCGCCGATACGGGCTCCCTCAAGGTGTCGCAGTCCCTAGCAGAGATACAAGCGTCCGACCCGGAAGCCACATCGTCCGACTCAGCATTGACCGCTCTGGAGTCGTCACCCGGCACGAGAAAGAAGCTCAAGCTCGTGCTGTCCCAATCTCCCTCGGCGAAGGTGGGGCTCGGTAGCGAGGTCAAGAGAGCGCTCAGCGAAGCATTCGATTCCAGCGATATGGAACAAGAGGTGTCGAAGGGTGAGAAGGGGAGAGCGCTGACCGAGAGCGAAGCGGAGAGCATCTTGGCTGCCTTTTTGGGCACCACGCCTCTGGGCAAGAAGCCTGCCAACACAGTGCAGATAGACGAGGATGCAAAGGCTTCGTCAAGCGGCACATCGCTGAAAGCAGCAACGAAACTCACAGCTCAAAGCTCGGCAGCAGCTTCCCAGCAACCTAGCAACAACGCTTCGACGCCGTCCAAACGTCGCTCTAGTAGACGCAACACTACGCAATCCTTTGGAGAGAAGCTACCGGATCTGCTCACGAAGCAAGCTCCGTTCGATTTCACCGTCATGGGCTACTTTAGGTCGATCGATAAGCCGAGCAGGAACGAAAGGGCAGAATGAATGGCATGCGGAAATGCAATTGATTTCTCACGTTTCCCAAACCGTGTCTGTGCGTCCAAGATCCTGAGCAGACACGCTTCGGTGAACATGAGACGGACAAGGATGCGCTTTGCATGATCGTTGCGACGGATCTATAATATGAAGGTGCGTACAAAATTTGCAGTGGTGATCGACTCTAATGGCCCTGCTTCATCGCCCAGATCTCGAGCTTTCGAAGCAGCCCCTTGAGGTTCTTTCCACCCTTGTTGGAATTTGCCTCTAGCCACGACTGCATGGCGTCCAAGCAGCCTTCGAGCTTTTGCAGCACCTCCTGGCTGTTCAACTGCTCGTCGTCATTGGCTTTCGGGTTGAGGCAGACCATGAACAAGCTGTTCCACAGCTCTGACTGCCAGTACCTCTTCATGCTCGCCGTGATCTTCCACTTGCCAGTCGCTTCATCTCGTTTCGTCTCCATGTACCTTCCGAACAGCAAGCAGTGTGCGACGGCGGCAACGCCGAACCAGTCGGTTTCAAAGGTGAAGGGTTGACCGTTACGCATCTCGTAGCAGTCCTTGGAATCGGTCTCCCAATCAGCAATGAAGGTCTGATCTGCATTGGGGAAAGCCGTCAGATCGATGGCTCGACCAAAGTCGATCAGAGTGAGACCTTTGCAAGACCATCCGGACGATCCGTCGCGCGCGAAGATGTTGGACCAGCTGCTAGCGGGCGAAACATCGCCCAAACGAAGCAGGCAGTTGTCGATCTTGAGGTCGCCGTGGATGATCCCGATTCGATGCAGTGCGAGGATGCTGCGCAGCAGTTCGGTGACGAAGAACATGGCTAGCACTTCTTCCAGGCCGGGGTTGCTGCTGGAGGAGTCGGAGCCGGAGGCAGCAACTCCAGCGGTGAAGGCGTGGTTGACGACATCGAGGAGAGTGCCCTTCTCACCCAGGTCGAGGAGGAGGAAGGACGTGTCCGAGTAGCAGTAGAGTTTGCGCGCAGAGATGATCGAGGGAAGCAGAGCTGAAGGCAGGCGCGATCGCAGTTGAGAGAGGATGTGGAACTCCCATCGATTGGCGGGCGTTTCGACTTTGATGGCGAGCTGTTTGCGACGGTCGGATTCGTCTTCATCGTCGTCATCATCATCATCGTCGTCGTCGTCATCGTCAGCATTGCTCTTCGTTTCGATGGCAGCGGATGTGGCTACGGAGTTGATGTCGTAGCCGAGGAAGACAGCTCCGTAGCCGCCTTCGCCGAGCTTGCCTCGGATCTCGAAGGTTTTGCCGCCAATGTCGACTTTGAAGGGAGAAGAGAGCCTGCCTGTGCCGTGGAACACTGTGCCACCCATACTCTTGCGCGTCATCTGATTGGAAGCGAGGCTCGATTTGCATTTCTTCTGGAGCTCGGAGACGAGGCTGCCGCTGGCGGAGGTGGTCAGGCTAACAAAGCCAGGCACGGATTCGATGGGCGTATCGAGGCGCGAGAGGATGGCGTCGAGGACGGCGGGGTCGACGGGCGAGCAGGGGTTGCGTGGCTCGAATGCCTCAGCCTGGGCAGCTTGTTCAGAGTCCTGCATGATCAGCGACTCTTCGAATCGTTCGTGCAGTTCGCGTCGAGGTGCTTGCTCCTGAGCCTCGCCTTCCTCAACAAAGTCTGCGTCTCCCTCGTCATGGTCATCTTCGGGAGCGGCGCAGCGAATCGTCAAGCCTTTGGTCAGCTCGAATGAGGCTCTGTTATCAGCGTTCCATGCGGAGCGGTTGGCATCCTCGCCCGAGGTGGAAGCGAAGCTGCGTTCGTCAGAAGGTTGCGAGTCATCGGCGGGTGCGCTCTCGTTCGGGGCAGCAACAGCAGCGATGGGACCTGCGGTCAGAATTGCACCGGGAGCGTCATCTTCATCGTCGTCATCGTCATCGTCATCTTGACTGGCTCGGCGTCGGAATTTGAGTGCTGAGCCGATGGCAGATCGCGTCACGGTGCCTGGAGTGCGCGCATTGGTGTAGCGGGTGAATTCGTAGGTCGCCTCGGTGATGGGTGTCAGCGGCTGGAACTGTGGTCGGAAGAGGTGCTCGTTGCCTTCGTAGCCGGCGATCTGGCCATCGATGGGCTCACCGTTCTCATCGACAGCGAACGCTTGCCTGTCGTCCTCCTCCTCTTCCTCCTCTTCCGTCATAGGCTCAATCCAGCGTCGGCTCGCAGACTGACGGTTGGAAGGCATAGGTGTGGCTGGCACAGGTGCTGCCGTAGAGAGAGCGCTCTCAGCCGGTTGATCGGACAACCGTTCTGGCGAGGAGGATGCAGCGTCGAGGCGGGCAGCGAGCTGATGCTGAGACTCTGCATTTGCAACTGCGTCTGCGTCTTCGTCATCGTCCTCTTCGATGTACACGGGCTTGGAACCGAGTGCTGCGAGGGCCGACTTGGATGCAAGCGGAGTTCGCATCGGAGTAGCGCCGCCGAGGCCTAGTCGCGGTGCCAAACCGCCTGGTGTTCGCAAAGGTGTCGCTTGAACGCCGGCGTTCTCGTCATTTTGCGGTCCAGCCTTGGCGAGGTTGTTCGATCGCGACAGAGGCGTTGGCGTCGGCGGCACATCGGCAGACGAGCCGAGGTTGATACCCATGTGGCCATGTCTCGAGACGCTGGCAAGAGGTGCGATGAAGTCGTCATCCTCGTCTTCTTCGTCGTCGTCGTCGTCCTCGCTGCTCTCCTCTTCGTCCGAGTCGCTGTCGCCGTTGAACATGTTTTCGACTTCGAGCACGGCAGCCTTGGTCATGAGAGTGGGGCTCATGCGATGCTTGGTAGTGTTGTCACCTTCGCGTTTCTTCTTCTTTTTGCCGCCAGGTCGAAGGTTGAGCGCCACTGCATTGGCAACCGAATTGTCTGGGTCAAAGATGTCTCTGGAGGGGAACATGCCGGTGGTCTGATCGATGTGGACTGTCTCGGTTGGCTCTGGCGCAGCGGGGTCCTCGGGAAGCCAGCGGCCTACGAGTCGATCGAGGTAGGACCAAGGATCCTGTGGAACCTTGCTGGACTCGGCAGCATCCTCCCAGCCTTCAATAGCAGGCGCAAAGCCTCGCGTTGTAGCCATGAGTTCCTCGAGGGTCAGTTCCCTGTGCCAACCTCGCTGTTTGTAGAACGCTTTGTGGGTGCTGGATCGAAAGGAAGGATACATATGAGCGACAGGGGCGGCGTGCTTTTCGCGCTTGCCGGCAGTGGCAGCGGCGTTGGCAGCGACATGGGATGTCGACTTGCTAGACGACGAGCTGGACTGGGTTGAGCGCGAGACGGTGGTCTTGGTACGGTGCCTCTCGCCGTTGCTCGACACTTTACGCGAGGAAGGCGGTTCGGCGACGGCAGCGGCTCGAAGACTGACTGGGTCGGGGACAAGCTTGGCGTCCTTTCCCCAATAGGCGAAAGGGTTGGTACGAAGCAGATCTGTTTCGGTGGACTGCGCCTTGCGCCCAAGACCTGAAGCGAGCTTAGCAGAATGGTCTTTCGGGCTTAGCACACCTGCAGGCTTGGGTGTTGCGGGTACCTCGTCGGCTTCGCCGTCGTCGTCATCATCGTCAGAGTCTCGGAAGACAGCCAAGCCTGACCCCGGCTTCTTAGAGACACCACCAGCTGCTCCAATCTTGAAGTTCTTGTTGCCAGCCAAGCGATCGGCTTGCACGTTCTCCTGGTTGCGCGAGGCAACGGTGCCGATGTCGTCCCAGCCCTTTGTGCTCGCTCCTTGCGGTTTGGATCTAGCGCCACGTCCGTCGTCTTCGTCGCTGAAGACGTTGAGCTTGCGGCCGTTGTTGACGGAAGGGGTTGGCGTGCTTGAGCCAACGGCGCCGATGCTTGCTCCGGCACCTCGCAGTACGTTGGCGGCGTGACTACGGGCTGGGCCTGCAGCGGACTCTTTTTCTCCGAGCATGCTTCGACCTGCTGTAGCCATGGCTGCCTTGAGCGCATCCGCGTAGTTTGTGACGATGGTGGATGTTGAGGAGCCGGCTGACTCGGCGATAGCTTGTTGGCCGAGGATGATGCGCGTCTTGTACTCTTCGTATCTGCGCTTGATGCGGTCGAGAGGGTTGGCTTTCCGCGCAATTCCGAGCTTGTACATGGCATCTGCTTCGTCGTACATCCTCTGTCCCTCGAGGACGACGGCGAGCTCTTCGTAGAGACTTGCGAGCTTTGTTCCGATCTCGTTGGCGAGCAAGAAGTTGTACACGTCGCGGGCACACTCTACGTTTCTGGCGTAGAGGATCCAGAGTCGAAGGTATCTGGGGTCATTGGTGTACTGCTCGGAATCCTTAAAGTGACGCGTGGCACGCTCGAGAAGCGGGATGAGACCGGATTCGTGCGTTTGTCCGGATGGATAGTTGTCGATGCACCACTTTACGTATCTTGTCCACGCTTCGAGAGGATCGTCCGAGTCAGCATTGTCTTGGGATGTGACGGTCTGCTCATGTTCGGCGCGCTGCTGGGCGAGCAGAGTCTGACGCTGCTTGTGCTGCATGTTGAGCGTATTTGAGAGGGCGTGAGCCGACCTGCCCTTTGCCAGAGGTTGGACATTCTCCTTTTGCGCCTCGATCTTGTTGAAGTCGATGATGGGCGTGGAGGAAGTCTGCTCGATCTTGGAGCCTCCTGGTGTGCGAAGAGGCGTTTTGTGTGGTGTCACACCAAAGGCGAAGCTGTTGTGCGAAGGAGTGGTGGGTGCCTTACGAGGCGTGACGGCGGGTGGACCCATCATGGTGAAGCGTGTCGAGACCTCGTGAGCGAGGCAGTTAGGTGGCGACGACTGCAGCGCGGTGGCGCGTCTTGAGGCGGATGATGATCGAGGCAAGTGGATTGAGTGATGGAGGTGAAAGCAGTGAGGAAGCTTTCGACACATCAACACATGCACAGACAGCTCAAATCCCGCCGAGTTCAAACGACCGCGCTGAGCTGCCGTGTATTTTTGCGGATGCCTGTGTTGCTCTGGTATTTTGGCACCAAATTGTGTTGATCTGTTGCCGCGTGTGGTCACGTGCCGCATGCCCCTCCACAACCACGATTTTCGTTTGGCAACAGGCAGCTCAACGCGACACGCCCACACAGCAAACTCGAGCTTCGTTCGGGACGTTGAAATTGCCACGAAGGGTTCTGCGCACCATCATGTCGCTCTACAATGGGCCTTGGATATCGCAATAGATCGGAACGTGGTCACTGGCGCCGTAGCACTCGTGCCTGATCTCGCACTCGAGAGCTTTGGTGGCAATGCGTTCCGAGAGGATGAAAGAGTCGAGCCGCCATCCGATGCCTTTTGTTCTGCAGAACCCTCTCCAGCCGTAGAAGGTGTAGTGTCCGATGGCATCTGGATGCTTCTGCCTCCAGACGTCGACAAGTGGCTTTGATGTTGGCGTTGCGACGCCTTGAAGCAGCTCGCGGTGCGCGTCACACTCGATGGCTGTGTATCCGGGGCTCTTGTTCCACTTCTTGGAGGCAGCTGCCAGATCGCGTTCGTCCTGCACCACGTTGAGGTCGCCGCACCAGATGACTGGTTTCAATGCGTCGAGTTCAGCCAGGTAGCGAGCAAAAGCGGCGTTCCATGCTTGTTTCGTTGCCATGGTCTTTCGATCGGGACAAGGGCGACAGAAACGCAGATTGACAAGAAACAAGGTCAGCATCTGCAAGCTACAGCCAGACTGTTCGTCACATGGCGCTGGTACATTGTCGCTGTCGCATCAGGCCCTTCGATGTGAGAGATGGTGCAGCACAATGGCCGAACAGTGCTCGAAGAGATTATGAAGACAGCTTGCCTCTTTGCTGAGGTCGATCTGCGGACCGCGCACGAGATCTCCACCTTGAGGGTAGCGGAAGAGATCCACAAAGAGGGCGCGGTCCGATGTAGGATAGAGGGAGGGAAAAAGCTTGCAAACAAGGGCTGCGAGCGACATACCTTGAGACCTTCGCCTGCGTTGACGGCGTATGTTCCGACCAGATAGCTGTTCTCAAACTCAAGCGTAACTACCGGATGATTTCCAACACCCATAGAGGAGCGGCAGTCAGCTACGACACGAAAGAAGCAGAAGCATTAGTACAGCACGAAGCACGAAGAACTCACCGATGCGACCCTTGGTATCTTGCTCTTTGAGACCAGGTAGGCCGTAGACAGCCTTGACGGGTTGAATCTTGGAGAGGATGGCCAGACCAGCATAGCCTTTCTGCTTGCCGATACCCCAGTATTGATGCTTGTAAATCTTGGTGAGACCGGGATGCATTGGTGCATCGTTGACCTTTGTCTCGGAGAGCACCACGATATCGGCATCTTCTGCTTCGAGGTAGCGCATCATGCCCTTTGGCTCGCTTGACTTGAGACTGGTGATGTTCCACGATGTGATGCGAACGCTGCCAGGTGCTGACGGGCGGGCATACGAGAGGCTTGCTGGCATCTCGGTGTTCTTGGGCAAGCTAGGATCCGCCGTCGTGTCCTCTGACTTGGGAGCGCTCGGCGAGTCCGAGTCAGATACCGTCTTCTTGCGCGGCTTTTTCGCTGGCGTCGCGGCTTCCGAAGCGGCGAGCTCATCTTTCGCTGCGGAATCATCCTCGGTCGCCTCTTTCGCTCGAGACGACGACGACTCGGATGCCTTCCGCTTCGGCTTGACCGGCGATGTGGTGGAAGATGATGCCGCCGGGCTTTCGGCCGCACTGCGACTCGAAGCTCGTCGAGCTACTGTTCTTGTCGGAGTTGTCGCCGGCGCCATCGTGCTTCGTTTCGGTGTGGAAGATGGTCGTAGTGCCCAGGTAAAAGTCGGATTAGCACGGCGAACGAGGTTCGAAGACAGAGATGGAGCAGTTGAGCGCAGGGCGATGAACAGGTTGAGCATAACACTAATCACCTTAGGTTCCAGGCTGGTCGTAATGAGGTGGGCAGTCGGTTGTCGTCCTACGCATGTAAGCAAAGCCGCTCGCAAGACCTCAAGTCCGTGCATCGGGCTAGACCTGTCCACTTCTTCTCGTCGTGGCTTGGCTGACGTCCTGAACGCCGAGATTTGTTGTGGAGTGTGATTTGGAGAGAACGTAACACCTGAAGGGCAAGAACGTCACGTGCCTGCGAGGGTCGGAAGAAGCATTTCTTCTCGACGATTTCAGCCAAATGAATCAATTTGCTTATACTGCACGGTGCCTCCCCTCTACCACACCATTGCATTGCCTATCATGACCATGCCTTTTGCATCGAAAGCAATCGTCAGCGTACGACCGCTTGCCAGAGGTATCGCCTCAAGCGCCTCTCGCCTAGCAGAGGGCTCGACGCCTTCTCCGTCAGCCACGAGCTCATCCGCCTCGGCATCTCGTCCGCGACCCAACAGCCAATCGCAGCGCTCCCCTCAATCCAGAGGCGGCGCTTCGGATCGACTTCGTGCAGGTCAAAGGACCCGTAACTCTGCATCACAACGAGGCGGAGAAGGCAGCGGCGCCAAAAGCAACAACAACAACAACAACAGAAACGCAGGCAGCGATCGACGCAACAAGCGGCTGCCCTCGGTCTTTGATGCCACCTCCGCTTCCAACCAGGCCCGCGCTGGCAGAGGCTCTAACAACAAAAGTCTTTCCAACACTCCACAGAAGCTTTCTGCTCCGCTCCCCAAGACCGACTGGAACAACCCGCTCTTCTCCAAGCCTGGGTTTGAACGCTTGCTGTCATCGGCACCTCGCCCCTCTTCCGTCTTCATCCCCGATCTTGCAGCTGCTGCACCGTCCGCGCCAGCTGCTGCCGGTAAGGGCAAAGGCAAGGCCGCTGCTGCTCCTGCGGCCAAGACGGCCAGCGCGAAGCTCAACCTTCCGGGTATCAAGACCGCCAACAGTGCGCTCAAGCTCCACATCGTTCCTGGTGCACGCAACGTTCTCGGCCCCACCAACAATCCAACCAGCGTGGCGGCGGGCTTCCTGACTCACACTCGCGCAGCGCTCACACGCTCATCCGACCTCAGGGCATCCGACGACAAGTCGTTGGCAGAGCAGCTCAAGGCAGCCAGGATCGCCTTGCAGAACGAGCAGATCGGAGGCTCGTACGAGCGATTCCAAGCACAGTCTCTTCTCAAAGCTACTGGTGTCCAGACAGACGCAAAGCAGGCATCGCTCTCCACCAGGGCAGTCCAGGATGCTGCTCAAGCGCTCGCAGTCAACTCGGATCTGGCACCCGAGGGCAAACGCTTTGTCACTCAAACCATCGCAGATCGACTGGGCAGCTGAACAATCCTCGCATTTGTATTCATTCTTTTTGCAGTTTCATCATGTCTCGCCCACATGCAATGCACGCGCTCACACAATAAGTCATTTGCTAGAGACTGTTAATCGACACCGACATTACAAGCCGTTGGGTTAGACCAAGCGCGAGGTCGACAAACTATAGAGTGAGACGAGATAGCTACGTGATCACCTTCTTGGCGTCGGCGACGCCGGTGACGTTGACGGTATTGGTGAGGACCACGCCGGCCGTCTTATTGCTCACCGCCGAGGATAAATCCACCGAGCTGAACGTGACGTTGTGACAAGGTGCCACCGCCGAGCAGTTGAGGTTGATACCGTCCGGGCTTAGCACTTTGCCGGTCACGTTGTGGAAGTTGAGATTGTCGAATTGGAACTTGGACGTATCGCAAAAGTTGGCCTGATCCTTGACCTTGTAGTAGCACTTGTTGATGAACACAGCCTGCGTGGTGTTGTCGACCTCCAAATTGGTGAAGGTGACGTTGCTCACCTTGCCGCTTCCTCCGCCTCCGCCCTGGGGTGGCACTCCCATCGAGACGCCCACCCACGACTTGAAGTAGGCTCCTCCAGCGGGTTGGGCGCCTCCGTATAGCTTCGACACCTCGCCCGACACTTTAATGTCCGAGACGCTGACGTTGGTGATGTAGTCCGGGCTGCCCGGGAACTGGCCCACACTGCCGAAAGCGATACCACCACCGACGCAGGTAAAGTTGCGCAGCACCACGTTGGTCGTGTTGCCCTTGGGAGCGAAGCAGTCGTCGCCACCGCGGAAGTTCCAGTTGGCGAGGTGCAAGCCATCCACCCTCATCGTATCGATACCGTCGATGTTGGTAGCATAGTTGGACGAGTTGCCGGCGGGATCCGTGTTGCTTCCGTTGATGTAAATGTTGTTGATGTGAACATTCTTCGAGTCCTGCACCCACATGGACCAGAACTGGGGCTGGTAGAAGGAAAAGTGGTCGATGGTGGCGTTGGTGCTGTTGTAGAGCGAGATGCTGATCGGTCGACCGAATTGATTGCTCTGGCCAGCAGCACGGCCGTACCACGCCTGTCCGTTACCCAAGATACCGCCTTGCTTCCAGCCACCACCGCTGATGTGGTAGTTGTTGCCCTCGACGATCCATGCTGTGCTCTGGTTTTGGAACTCGACGCGGTGCGACTCGCCGATCCAGTAGCCAAGGTCGGGTGTGAACGACAGCAGTCCATGCACATTGAGTCGAGCGTGGTTGAGCTTCATGTACATGCGGTTGGCGATCGTGTACGTGTAGGGAGCCGGCAGCGTGATGGTACCACCATTGCCGCAACGCAGCACCGCCTCTTGGATCTGGGACGAGTCGTCGCGACCCCATCCGAGCGGCTTGACGATACACTCTTCATTGGTCCAGTTCTGGGCTGGCCAATGCGTCACAATCGGCTTGGCGTCTTCCTTGTGCAACGGCAACGAGATCTGCGGTGCGCTGATCACCTTGTTGCTTGGCACCCAGCAGTCCTCGCGAAGGGTGCTGTTGAGCAGCGGAAGCGCTGTCGGTAGTGTCAGCAGGGTGAAGGCCGAGATCTTCATGATTGAAACTATCGGAGGCAGAAGTTCAAGTATGGAGCATTCCAAGTAAATACATATCCATACCTCGCGGCATATATATCGCCCGGATTGGTTGGCAGTCAAAGTGGCGAGAGGCTCACGAACTGCAAATGGGGAGATGAAAGAGAGCAATTCGAATTGAAGGTTGGAAGAAGAAGGTATCCACAAAGGTCATTGAGGTGCTTGAGCCAGCAGGCAAAGTATTCACGACGCTGTCGAACTCGTAGACAGTCGCGATCCTCTCGCCTGACGCACAGAGCGGACGCAGGGGATCTGGATGTTCCAGGAACCTGCGTACAACCCCATTTCGGGAAGCCTTTCTGCATGTTTCGGCATGAAAGGTCTCGTTTGGACGCACGTGTTTCGCTTGGAGGTTGCTCGGTCTCTCTCGAACGCCAAAAGATGCCGCTGCTCACAGTATTGTCCCTTTCGCATGTGCCCTGTGAATAGGCTATTGCAATGCTCTTGGATTGTCAAGATTTGCTGACAATCATAACCAGCACGGCAGCCGAAGCACGCAGAAGGAGGGTTTTGATGATCGAAGTAACCTAGGAGTTACGATCTGTTTGCCAAGGCGATGCCTTTTGCATACTGTGGCTGTCAGATCCAAACCCAATTCTGCATCGCACCGGCAGAGGGCAGAGACTGAATTTGTGAGGTTGCGGGATGCAGACTTGTGCGCATGAGAGAAAATCTCCCATCAGACAACTTTGCAAACAAGAAAACGTGTCGACAGTACATACGGCACGACTGCCCGGCCTGGGTTGCACGATAACAGCAGGAATCCAATGCGTCGAGACTGGCCGTAACCATCGATGGTACAGCTAGAGCTGGTCTAGATGCGGATGACAGAAACGAATTCTTGGCTTCGAGAAACGAGACTGATTCGACTAGCTGGCGCAAGTAGACGCACGTGCTGCTTTTACAGTATCTGACAGATGCCGTGCACAAGGGAACTTCAGCCCAAAACCTAATTTCCGTGCCGGCGGCGACACGTGTGCCTTGGTGCAGGGAAGGGTCATGATCTTCGAGAAGCTTCATGTTGCCCTTGTATCGACATTGTACCACAGCGAGATCGTACAAGTTCAGGCTCCGACATTGATGCGTGAGAATGGGGTCGCCAAGACGAGCCAAGCATCCTCTCTACATGCTCGTCATCACAGCTTTGTTTGCTCATGCTTCGGCTATCTCACACCGTCGACCCCATCGATGATTTGCCATCAGAGCCCTCGTCCCTGGGCCATTTCGATCCCCACATGAGCTTGTGCCGGTCTTCGGATCTCGGTGTCCCGAAAAACACCTTGGCTCGATCTCTCCTCATCCGAGCACAGACCTCCAGAGACGGTACTACACACGATGTAGGATCATCTCCTTTCATCTTCTCGTCCGCCTGAACACGCAAGCTGCAATACACGATCACCAACATGTGCTAACAAGCAGCCTTCCTCGATCGTGAGTGAGACATGAGACGCGCCATCGAGGGAGCGCTCGATGCTCAGACACATCTTTCGCTAGCTGCCTGTCTGCTCTCCACTGCCGTCAATGCTCGTCCCGAAGCCAATTCAGTCGATTGGAGAAGCAAGCACTCCTGGTTCCGTTGTGCTGCTGCATCTAGCGGTGTCCTTGCCTCCACGATCGCTCTCTACCACAGACTTCGAGCTGCAGTCACGGATGCCCGACGTAGAGCAGCTCCTTCTCGATCTCCACGTTCTTGTTCTGACCCCTTCGAAGCTGGTCATGGTCTTCCCGAATCCAACCATGAACGTGGGCTATATGGCACGTTCGGCGTTGCGGATGGAGTACGCCTGTTGCTCGGCAAGTACGTCGACTTGATGGGCGTGCAGGAACGATGATGGCTCTTCCTCAGCGCATGCATCGCTTTCGAAAAGGTGCATGGTCGCATCAACTCTCCTGCAAGAATGAGCGAGTTGTTGTAAGGCGGCTCCAACACCATTCAACGCCTATATAAGCAGCGTCACGAAGGATGTTTGAGCTCGTCCTTATCCATCAACAACGCAGCTCCAGCGCTCCACACCTCTTCATCAATACTTAAGATGCAATTCCTCAAGCTCTCGAGCTTTGTCGTTGCTGCAGTTGCTCTGGTCGGCACTGCCTTCGCCTGGCAACCTATCGCTCACCGTGGTGTCTTCCACGATGTTGATGACAGCCAGGCCAACGCCGAGAACAGTATCGGTGCCCTCTACCGCGCTGGCGACCTCGGCTTGCCCGGTGTGGAACTCGATCTCCGTCTCAGCTCGGACGGTGTCGTCATGGTCACTCACGACGTGCTCACCAACCGCGCCACCACCGTCGACAACTACGGAGGCAAGCTGAACTCGGTCGACGTCGCTCTCGGAAGGCAGCCAGCTGTTGCTGGTATCAACATCAACTCGCGAACCGGTAGTCAGTGGAACGACACGCCACTCAAGATCTACGGTCGCAACGCCCAGCTCGTCACGGACGGCTCGCAGAAGATGCAGACGCTCGATGAGATGCTCAGCTACTACTCCAATTACATCTCGGGCAATGGCGGCGCGACATTCATGCTTGTGCTCGACATTCAGAGCCCAGAGATCTTTGAGAAGGCTGCCGACTCGGTCCGCAAGGCTGGTCTTGAGACCTCGGTCTACCTCAAGTTCTTTGCCACCTCGGCCATCGACTCGAGCCAGTACACCTACAAGGGCGCCGAGACTTGCGCAGCTTACGCCCACTACAGCGGTCTTACCGGCCTCAGGATCATCCCTCAGATCAATAACGGCGAGATCGTCAACAAAGGAGGCGAGGCCTACATCAACGTCTTCCACACTCAGCTTAGCATTCAGGACTACCTTGCCTGCTGGCGTGACGCTGAGCGCTACCGCGTGTCGGCCGACTTTACGCACGTCGCCGCCAGCGTCGCGCCCGGCGACCACGTCGCAACAGCCGGCGCCATGAGTGCCCTTCAGTGGGCAAAGCAAAACGGAAGAGGCACCATCTCGATCCTACCGAACCCGGATGCTTGCTCGGTGAACCGCGGCTCAAGCACCTACTGGTCGTTCCAGAGCAACAACGTCGCCGCCAAGCAGTTTGACAACAACGCTCGCAACGTCAAGCAGGACTTCATCAACTCGATGAACAAGTACATCGACTATGTTGTGGTTGACACCATGGGCAACGTGGGCAGCCACACCTACTACACCGACTACGACGACTTCGTCTCTCACCTGTGCTGAAAGACCCTATCGTACCCAGCCTCAGCGTCAAAGTGCTCGGAAGCGAAATCCTCAGCCTCTTCGTCTCTTCATGGCTTCGTGGCGGCTCTTACAAAATCATTTCAAACGCTCTCTCTCGCAGAACTTTGTGCATTGCAGCCTGCGGCTGCCGGAGGAGATTGTGCTATGAATGGAGATTGTTCGCAAACGATAGGTGTGATCTGTGCAATGTTCTCTGATGCTAGTGAGCTGACTAAGCGAAGTATGCGACAAAGATGCAGTCGAGCCGATTTATGCCTTGGTGAAACGCAGCGTGTAGCCAGTGTTGCTGGCATCGACGAATACAGTGGTGACGTCGTCCGACTGGCTGGCGTCACGCTTGGGCATCCACTGCGAAGGAGTGACGTTGTCCGAAGCGCGACCACCCAAGTAATTGAGCTGGTAGTAGCCGTCGCTGGTCTGTTGCATGCGGAAGTAGGCTGGGATCTGATCCTTGGTATCGTACTCTGGCGGGTTGCCGTTGACCTGGCTCTCGAGGATGAGATCGTTGAGATCGCCGCCGGTCTGCTTGGTAAAGCAGGAGGCCTCTCCGTCGAATTCATTCGACTTGAAGTGGCCGTAGGTGTTGGTGCTGTCGGATTTGTAGCCCATGTATTCGGAGTCGCACTCCAAGAAGCTGAAACTGGGGTTGCCCGTGCCGCCAATGAGGATGGTTTGTGCATAGGGGAACTGGTGGCCGTAGTCGGTGGTGACAGGATGGACCGCACCGGTCTGAGTGTTGACAAGCTCGACGTTGCCCGTTTTCACGACCTTGCAAGCGGGGAAGGTTTTCGTGGTGGGCTTGTACTCGTCGCCGATCTGCGCAATGAGCATTTCGTTCAACTTTCCGTCCTGGGGGTTGCTAGGTTGATGGCTCGAGATGAGGTAGGGGCGTTTCTTGTCCGAGATGGAAAAGTGGTAGTGTGCACCCGAGCCGAAGCTGTTGGTGTCAACGGGACCATGAACCTTGGAGAGGAAGACGACCGAATAGAAGCTGTAGAAAGTGTCGGTCTGGAATTGGAAGTGCTGGGAAGGGTCGACGTTGCCGTACGACTTGTCCGAGTTGAACTTGCACGGGCTGGTGAGCACGTAGCTTCGACTGCTTGAAGTGTCGGCGACGGTGACGCATTCGCCATTGGGAGCTTTGATGTAGCCCTGGTAGGTGTCGATGGCACCCTTGCCAACGTACGGTGCAGGCTTGTAGGAGCAATTGAAGAACTCAAAGAGAGTCTGTTCCTGGTAGTCTGGTACGGTCGATGCGATAAGTCGGTTGTTGTCGCTTGCGACTGTCAGATAGGTCTGAGGAGGCTTGTTCGAGTAGATGCCGATGGCAGACGAGTTGTATCCAAATGCACCTTTGCCGATGCTCTTGCAGTCAGGCTGATAGTTGGATGAGGTGGGCGCGGCCGAAGTCAGCGAGGCCAGCACCAGAGCAGCAGCCGATGCCGTGGCGGCGAAAGTAGACTTGAGGAACATTCTTGCTATTGACCCAAGGAGGATTTAGCTGGAGGGAGGGGTGGGGGGCTCGTTGTCGAGGGCTGATGAAAGATTGGGGTACACAGATGCTCGAAAGAAAGGTTTATATGCCTTTCGACGACAGGGTAAGTTGGCGTATGGTTCTCGGAGACACGTACTCGCGGAACGGTTGCAACACACTCTGCTCGGCAACGGGACGTGCTGCTTGCTGCGCGAGGGTCTTTGATCGACGATGTACCTCAAATGGTCTATGTCGAGCGGACGCACCAATCTCAAAAACCCTTTGCGGACTTGCAATGCTTTGTTTTGCCGGTCCGACGTCGGACGTTGCACGACTGTGGTACATCACGCCGCGTGTCTCACTCTACTGAAACAAAAGCGGCGGGTTCGCCGGCGGAAGCGAAAGCACCCACAAGCAAATACAATTTGCTCCCGCGTTCACGGAAGCTTCTGTTGTTGGTCAGCCGGGGCATCAACACAAGCGTTGCGGAGGATATGCATGTACAAGACTGCTTCTGCGTTCACGACGAGCCTGTCTTGCGGGGTCGGGCACGTTCTGACGGCGGTGGCTGAGTCTGAAATTATCCCATGCAAGCCGCCGCCTCGGTGTTGAGACGACGGCAGTGTTTGGCATTTGACGCGGGATCTTCATTTTCGCCTGTCGGGCGCGGAGTTCCCGCGACCCGTGACTCGCCTAGTGCACAGCTTGGCTGTTTCTAGGCGACAAAAGCTCGCTGACGCCTTACAACACAGAAAACAGTCGCCAAATCTGCCGCCGTTTGACAGCTGTGTCGATCCGTGACCTGCATGGCGTGGCTCGGGTTTTCTGCAACTTGCGACAATAGGCTCAGGGCGTTCTGGTTCCTGGACTATATTCTCGGAGCCGGAAGCGCTTCGACACCGGCAACGATGTGTTCAACGGAGGCGCATTCGGAAGCTGTTGACTTGATCGAGGATCGTGTGTGCCTGTCGTGTGATAGCGCAGGAATGGCGAGGCCGAGCTTTGAACCTTGTTTCACGCCTCGGGAAGAGCTTGAGGTCCATGACAACTCAGCTCTGCCCACACTTTGAGTGACCGCATAGCTGTGCGATCAAGCTTTGCTGGTGGCTCTTTGCCTTGGAACGAGGGAGGCATCAGATGCGCATACCTCGTTGCACTGAATGAAGTCGGATTTAGGGCTGACGTGCCAGAATCAGCGCTCGCAACCATCGCAACCGGTGAATGATCATTCTGGACATTGCACAGAATGTAGCATCATTGCTGCCCATCACAATTCTGTGAACAATCCCGGCGACGTCACAGAGAACAAACTATCGATCAGAAGACAGAAGCGCCCAGCTGCAGATGAGGCATCCTCTTCAGCCCTGAAGCGCGTCAAGTTTAGGATCCGGCAGAGCGTCATCTTGGGCCTCCCTTGCAAGGTCTTTGTCATGGTCATCGACTACCTCGATCCGTCCAATTGCATGAGTCTAGCCAATACATGTTGTCAGATCCACTAGATGCCTGGACCTGACCCTGGATCAGAAACTTGCTTTCAACGGCTTATCTACACTGTTGTAAATTGGAGCACATCAAAGTCAGCATCGACGTTGAGTCCAAGCAGACGCGCGGCTCTATCTGGCAAGCGAATCGGGTAACGAGCCTTTTCCCGACATCATCGATCTTGCCATTTGGGCTGCCCTTCCGGCTTTGCAGCCTCATCTCAAATCAGTAGGGTTAGGGTTAGGGTTAGGGTTAGGGTTAGGGTTAGGGTTAGGGTTAGGGTTAGG